ATGCTCTTTAAAAAGCACCCTAAGAGGCTCTCATATCTAACATCTTCTGTACTGTGGATGAGGTCCTTGACTTTTGAATTGTTTAAAATAATATAAGTGTCAGGGGTCCATTAACTTGGCATTCATATGCACGTTTTAATTTTTCTTTATTCAGTTTGTTTGCTGTTCTTTTATTTCGTGTTTACTTTTTAGAAATATTGTATGTTATACATATCGGCCCCTCCAATGAAGACTATAGTAATTCAAAAATGCTTGAGATCCCCGCCTTTCAGTTGCTCGGTATCGATGGATTCTTTTAGGTTCTCTCTGGTGGAAGAATATAGTCATATGGTATAGGCAACCAGTAAATCATCTGCGCTATATCAATCGTAAGATGCATAGAAATTCATCGGAAAGTCTTCAAATTCCAACATCCTGGTTCAAGGATTACTGGGTTACTAGACAGTCATCTTTGCAAGGGTCCATATGAAGTGTTCCTGTCTATAGGTACTTATGTTTAGACAGGAACATAAATAAACGACGAATGAGAGACCTGAGAGTTAAGTGATTGGTACAGCTGTACTCTACTTGACAAACAAATTCTATATAATCACTTTTTTACACATCTTTTAAACCATTTTTCTGTAATTTTACATTCTTGTCTACTAAAATTAGTTGGCTATGCATTCGGGGTAATTTTTTAGTTTCACCTTAACACCGTCTAGTATCATTATTCAATTTATTAAATTCAAATAGGGTAGTGGTGGGAGCACTGAACACTACCAGTAATGGTCACTTTAGCATTGTAATCTCAAATCTCACCTAACCCCCGAATTTGAAGGCAAAGGTTTTGAACATATTCTGTTGGCATCTACCAAAAGTTAAGGCAACCAGTATTACACCTTGCGCCCAATATCACAGCCGACGTCAACTACGAGCCGTGAACAAAGAAATCTGGCAACGTAGGTGGTAGTGTTACTCCCGCCGCTGCTTGCTGCATCGACGCAACTCGTGCTCAAAACGCTGAGAAAACATAACCTTTTCAATTTGTGATTTTGGAATCCCAGAGGCTGTAATTAAGAGATAAGCTTGTTTTTTAAGCTTCAAAGTGTGTGTATGTGTTCAAAGTGATCGGTGACTATAATATATGAGAAATAGAGTCCAGTTGTAGTGCTTCTGTGCTTTAAAAATAAACTAAGAAGTGTGACTGTGGCTGATCGCGCCTCAGGACGTTAAGGATTTCAACTATTGAAAACGTGCAAATTCAGGTTGTATTTTTCTTTTTTCATTTATCAAGTATTTGACGCAGACAATATGCCTCGTTGTTGCTGTGTTCCTTTATGCAATGATAACTATAATTCTGCTTTGAAAACAGAAAGCTATGTTTCAACTTTTCGCTTCCCAAGTACCGATAGTCTGAAAAACAAATGGCTTATGGCAATTCCCAGAAAAAATTGGACACCTTCAAAATATTCAGCTGTGTGCAGTCGTCATTTTAGAGAATCGGATATCATCAGGATAGAAAATATAGTTTTGGCGGATGGAACAGTCCAAAATAATATACCAAAATTGAAAGAAAATGCTGTTCCCTCCATTTTAGTTGTACTAATTGACGTCGGCTGTGCCAATATGATTGCAGCGTAAATCACGTCCAAATCTTTGCGAAAAGTTTCGTTGTGTTTAGAGTGCTGGTATGAGAATAATCTTGTTTTATGTTTGTGATTCGCTTATTTATGCCTTGTGACGTCAGATTTTAGCTATTCAATGATGTTTTCCTTGATTTTGGATTCGTGTACGTTTCGCGATGGATGTCCAATACCAGATCAAAAATAATGGTCACCTGCGTTCCTGATCCGATTTCAAATTTTCAAAATTGTTGTGGGTTCATTACGTGAGAAAAGTTGAGTCATGTATTTTAACAGCTTGTAGAACTTGTCAAAAAAAGTTGATATACCAAAAATCACACATATACAAGTCGCATAATAAGAGAGTTAGTTGACGTTATTATCAAGTTAAATGGACACGGTTTTTGAAAAAACTAAATCACAAGCTATCTCAGTGAGCTGTTGAAGTTCTTCCAGAGCATTTACTGTTCCATCATGATACACCAACTTTTTCGAATAGTCCCACAGAAAAAAATCGATGTTGTACATATCGGCCCCTCCAATGAAGACTATAGTAACTCCTTGGGATTCTCGCTTTTAAGATGCTCGGTACCGATGGATTCCTTTAGGTTCACTGGTGGAAGAATATATATATTTTAGTCATAAGGTGTAGGCAACCAGTAAGTCTTCTGCGTTATATAAATAGTAAGATGCAAGGAAATTGGTCGCAAAATCTTCAAATATCAACATTCTGGATCAACGAAAACTGAATTACTATACAGGGTGATTCACAAGTCGTGACTTAAAATAAAACATCATAAGGACCGCATTCCAAGGGGGGTTTTCTATTTGTTTCTTGAGGGCTTGATTAAAAAAAAAGTTAAAAATTAAAGACATTTTTTTAATACCTTCAAAACCGTCAACTGGAATCTTTTTTTATACTCCAACTACCACGAAGACCTGAGGCCTAAACACCCATGGGGTACCTTGGGGCTATAGGGGAATACAAATAACTACTCTTGTTTTTTTCTTAGATGAAAAACTATGTGTAAATAACATTCTCAGTCTTTAAAATTTACTATTTCTTTTATTATGCAACTTTTATATAGGTGATTTTTGGTATATCACCTCCTTTTGATAAGTCCTGCGAGCAGTTAAAATAAATTACTCAACTGTATAGGTGTCAATTTTCAAGCTGCCAACGTTGTAGCGTTTATTTTTCACCTCCTTCAGTGCGATGAAATGTGAAAAACACAAGATTGGCCAAAAAAAAATACTGAAAGACAATCTTTTTGACTGTACTTTGTCATTTAATGCTTCATTTACGATACTGAATTTTTATAACATTTTTAGCTCCGAAAAAGGCGAAAAAACCGTCGAAACGTTAGCAACTTGAAAAAAGAAATGAATATCTCAACAATCGGGAGAAATTGAAGGAAAATATCAGACACTGAAATAAAAACTTGTTTATTTTAAAGAGTTTGGGTATTTTTTTTTGTTTAGAAATGTTTTCCTTGGGAAAACGAATCAAAATGAAACAATAATCCTTACGTCGAATAAATATACTATGAAATACTGAGTGCGCCATCTATTATTTTTTTTAGCTATAAGTTTGTGTTACCATGTGAGTCAAAAGTCATGGTATGCATAAATGAACTGTCAAAGGTATGCCATTCATAGTCATGGATTCGTTTACAACACAACAACGAATTGGGACACCACTTTAGGCCTGATTGATTTACACCTCCACATCCATACAAAATCCAACTTACATAAGAATTGAAGCCGGCATACCATCAACAGCAGCGTGTTTTTGTGAATTGGATGCTGGAAAGAGAAGACGGATTTACGGCCAAAGTGCGCTTTTCTGATGAGGCTCATTCAGTACGTGAATAAGCAAAATTGCAGATTCTGGGGGGCTGAAAATCCACACCAATATCATGAACAAACTCTCCATCCTGAAAGAGTGACTTTTCGGTGCGGATTATGGGCTGGTGGCATCGTTGGATCATTTTTCTTTGAAGATGCGGTCAACGGGGAACGTTATCGCGGCATGTTAACTGACTTTTTGTGGCCACAATTGGATCGAATTGGTGCCGACGATCTTTGGTTTCATCAAGTAGAAGCAACGGCTCATACATCTCGCCAAACAATCGCCTCATTGCACACGAAATTTCAAGACCGCATAATTTCACTAAACTCAGATGTTAGTTGGCCCCCGAGATCGTGCGATTTAACACCTCTTGACTATTTTCTTTGGGAATTTTTGAAAGGAAAAGTGTATGCGAATGGTCCCCGGACAATTCAAGAACTAAAGCGCAATATTCGGACTGAAATTGCGGTCGTAGACTCGATTATTCTGGGAAAAGTCATTGAAAATTTTGATGTTTGGATTTTGGCCTTCAAACGAAGACACGTTAGTCACATGACTGATGTTATTTTTCATACATAAATGGCATGAACCAACCTTAATTTGTCAATAAAAAAAATCGATTTCACCTCGTAAAACGCGTGTTGATTTTTCGAATAGAAAAAAAAAGTAATAGATGACGCACCCTGTATAAAACTAAGGTCGCGTTCATATTGGTTCCGCTCGAGCGATGAGCTTTGAGCCCTGCCGCTGGAGCGTTGTAAAAAACTGATTCCCTCAGCAGATTTTAAATGGAAACGTCACTCGAGCAATGTATGGAAGAATAAACAATGACGCAAATGGGGCAAAATCTAAATCGAAGAATTTAAAAGATAAATTTCGAATTGAACTGTAAAGTATCCCTGAACCTCGATCAGGCTCTGAAAAGCAAGAAGGGTATAAAGGGAAATTGACTTTTTTCAACCAAATGACGTTCGTAAAAGACGTTATAATGTCGAGGGCAATCTGAACGACAGCGTGTCAGCAACAGAAACCAGCGATGCGGAAACAGAAACTGATGTTACTCTTTTGACTCCTACTTCACCAGAAAACATAAATCTTCCACACAAATAGCGACCGAAAAAACTGACTGAACTGACAAATTGAAAAGCAAAAATTAGACTTATTGAAAAATGACCAATGAAAAAATGAAGAATCAGTAATCCAGATTATCAGTTTTTCATTTATTACCCTATTTTACTCAATTTGATTCGTTGGAAAAGCTTGAACCGAGAGCAGATACTCAAAATGTTATAATGCAGGCTCTTCGACGTAAAAAAGAAAGTAACTGTAATTCTCTTGAACAAAACCGACAAAATTACTGTACAGGACATTTAAGGCCTTCTCCTGTGCATCCAGGATATTATTCAGAAACACAAGCTTCATTTTTGAATTGAGGCGATGTTCGTTTTATCGTTTTTATTGCAAGTTTTATTTGATGTTCAATCTATGTTGATTTTCTTTATATTATATATATATATATATATATATATATATATATATATATTATATATTAAATATCGAAAAAAAGATATACGAGGGATGTCCTTCAAATGACTTTATTGTTTTTCGAAGTATTCTTCACGAACCAATTTTCGAAGCACTTATTTCACTCGTTTGCTGGCAGATCCAAAACGGCATTTTTTAAAGCATCAACTGCTTCTTCTGGTGACTGGAACCTTTGTTTTTAATTTTCGGGAGAGTAAAGAAATTGTCAGATATGTTTCTATATGCAAAACTTAAAAGACATCCCTCGTATTACTTACATCCCTGGAGCCTTTCTGATGGAGAAACACGCTTTTTAAAATTAGTTGAAGTCTGGGCATTATTATGTCTAAAATATGATTAAACGTTTCCACTGACATCCTTAAAGAGTGGAAAAAACGTACTGGATCTCCGCGAAGATGATTATGATGTTCACCATAAGTGACTCCCTTTTTGTTAAGTTCATGAACGCCTTGTCTCTTTTTATTTCTTTTTCTAATTAGGTAACAACCGCTTGTTACCAAACGCATCAGATGTGAAAACGAAAACGCGCGCGTTGATAACGCTCAATATGAACGCGACTTAAGAATACACTAAATAGATTACAGTAATACCACAGACTAAACGTTTAAAATCAAAAACGACTTGATCAAGCACGAACTACAACGCTTTATTTTTCACAAAACTCATGTTCTTCTTTTCGCTCGGTTCCATATCGTTAATCGAATTATATAGCTTCACACCGGGCGTTGAAGTATATACGGAAGGAGACAGTCTGCTGCTCCTCCTTACCGGTGTCACCACTATCTTCAATTTCTGGTTTCTGAAATGAAAAAATGACGTGGGATGAGCCACATTTTTGGATTTGAAGAGGGCATTTGAAACGATTGATAGAGATATTTTGTTAGGTAAATTGAAGGCATATGGTATAACAGGAAGTGTTTTAGATTGGTTTAGAAATTATTTGTCTAAAAGGATGCAAGTTACAAAAGTTAATGACACTATTTCATCAAAAATTGAAAATACGTTGGGTGTTCCACAGGGCAGTATCCTGGACCACTTCTTTTTATTTTATACATAAATGATTTACCTGCCATAGTCAAAAAATGCAAAATTCAGATTTTCGCCGATGACACTATGATTTATATAAGTACTAAAAATATTCAGTCTGGTATCTCTTATATAAATGAAGACTTGAAGCTTGTCTCAAAATGGTTAGCATCTAACAGACTAAAATTAAATGCAAGTAAAACGAAGGCCTTGTTAATCGGAAAAAACAATGTACAAATGCTCAACTGAATACTGATGGTGAAGATATTGAATTCGTAGAAAATTTTAAAAACCTGGGGGTTTTTGTTGACTCTCGATTAATTTTTGATATTCACTATGAAAAAGTTATAAATAAGATTAGTAGTAAAGTGGGATATTTATCGAGAGTTTCTGGATGTCTGAGTTCATATACCAGAAAAATTATCTATAATACCATCATTCTTCCAAATTTCTTGTACTGTTCGACTATTCTATATTTAGCGAATAATTCCATTTTTGAAAGACTGCAAATTTTACAAAATAAGTGCATGAGAATAATACTAAATAAAGATAAATATACTCCAATTAGGCAAATGCTTAGCAAATTAAAATGGCTCAATGTAAAAAATTTTATCAAATATCTTGTAATGATATTCATTTATAAAGTAAAAAATAATATATTTTCATCAAGTCTAACTAATTTAACATCATCAAATGTCGACCATCATTTAATTTACATAATACTAGAAATAAAGATGACTTCCATTTAATGACCAAAAAGTATAACATATGCTACAGATCTGTATTCCATCAAGGGTTGATTGAATATAATAAATTATACTCGGAGATAAAAGACCAGAAAACTTAGACAAAATTTAAAGTAAAATTGAGAAATCACTTGTTAAATCTACAATTATAGGTTGCCCAGCATTTACATCATACACCATATGGCTTGAATTTACTAGTTCTAAGTTGTTTACAATTATTCTGTTTATGTAGCCAAATGTGCTAAATAAATCTTTCTACTACTACTACCTTGGAGAAACGGCCAGTTTGCTTCTCAAGTTCACTACAGATGGTACATGTTTGTTCCGGACTTTTTCTTTTCCGTTTTCTCTGCCGCTACTGGACCGATATTCAAAAACTACAAAGCTTTTTTATCGTTGGCGTTGTAGCAATATTTTTGGAAAATTTTATCGAAATCCGAGCGGTACTTTTCAATTTACAGGCGGTTATAAAATTAGCGGAAACGAATGTACATCCAAAAAATATAATATCTCATTTTATAATAATAATAATAATAATAATAAATGGGCTTTATTTCGTACCTAAGTAAAAGTACAAAAAGGCGAAGTGTCGCTAAGATTAGCGTTTTTCAACTTAACCTTATTTTAAAAACGTTTTTAAATTACAAGACTTCCTCGCCACCATTTGTGGAAATTATCACGATACAGGGCTTTTCCGGAAAGTAATAGGACTGAGTCGATTTAAAAAAATGTATTGAACCAAATCGTTACAATTCTTCAAAAACTTTCAAAATAGGCTCCTTCTGCGTCGATGCAGCGCTGCCAGCGCGATTTCCAAGCATCGAAGGCGTCACGGAAGGAATTCTCCGGAATAGCCTCGAGAGCCGCGGTGCATGCTGCTTGTATCCCCTCTTTGGTCTCAAGACGCTTGCCTTTCATCGGGCTTTTCAGGCGAGGAAACAAAGAAAGTCCGGGGGGCACATCTGTGCTGTAGGGGGCTGCGGAAGCGTTGGTATGCCGGCCTTGGCGTTGACGGTTTGTCCAGGAGAAAAAAATTCATGGCGGACGATGCCTTTGATGTCAAAAAAGACAATGAGCATCGTTTTCACTTTGTATTTGCTCATTCTTCCCTTTTCTGGGCGAGGAGACGCCGTCGTGTGCCACTCGGAAGATTGACTCTTTGTTTCGGGATCATACTCAAAGATCCACGACTCGTCACCTGTGATTACGTTATTCAAAAATTGGGCGTCACTTTCACACATGTTCAAATGTTCATGGCACACTTCCACTCGCCGCAATTTCTGGTCGTCAGCGAGCACTTTTGGGACCATCTTCGCGCACACCTTGCGCATGATCAAATGCCGTGTCACAATATCTCTGCTCTAACGAACGCTGCATTTTCGGCTTGCACCACTCACAGAAACATGCCAGTCCTGACTCTCCAAGTGATCGGAGACAACTGACCAGCCGCTCATTCGTTAGCTAGGAACGCCCTCTACCGAATCCGCGCACGCTCCGAAGTACAGTCATGGCGGAAGAAAATGAAATCTATTACTTTCCGGACACACCCTGTATAATAAAAAAATAACCAAATCAGCATTTCAGTATCTAAAAAATAAACTTACTTCAGTTTTTTCTCTTGTACCGCAAACTTGATCACTGACGACTTGAACGCATCGTGCAGCTCCCTCATTACCTTCGTCTTGCGCTTGGACAGTTTCGATCTATCGTGCAGGTCGTTTTCGATATTCAGCAGACTGAATTTCTGTAACAGCGAGTCGAGAGACTGATCAACTTCACTAACCTAAAAAAAAAAATATATCGGTACTGAAAGAGGCGTTTATTAATAAGTGTGAAAATCATCCGTGTCAGGTGCTAGGCATGTCTTGATCTTTGTTGGAACAGGAGCGGAAAGTATCATTTTACAGCTCGTGAAAAATGCATGTTCTCTTACCTCAGCGCCTTGAATGATAGCAGTTTTATAATGTTCGATAGCATCGCCGACGTTGCCTCGCATCTGCTCAATTTTCGCGCGGCACTCCCAGTACTGAGGCTCGTCTTTCAATTTTTCGCATTTTCCCACAATCTGCCCTAACCAAGATTCACAGTGAGAAGCCGGGTATTCCTAAAAATCAACATGGCATTTATCGGATCTTGATACAAGCTCAGCAAGTCTGGATTAGGACAACAGAGAAATTTAAGGGACTTTTGGCAATAAATGGTTTCATCTAGACTATGTAATTCTCCTCGCTGCTCGTAAAACATTGGAGGTTTAACTCGATTTTAATATTGACCCGTGGGAAAGTTCACTCTTCAAAATATTTATTACTATCGACATAGTCGTAAATTCGGCGAGTTTTATTTCTTAAATATAATTTCGTCCAAATGTTTGCCATATTTTCGGACGCACTCTTTCAATCGCGCGCGCAAATTCTGAAACACTATCTTGCAGAGTTCCGGAGTGATGTTTATTTCTCGTCGAATGTTGCTTTTAAGCTCATCAAGTGTCCGTGGATTATTGAAATACACTTTTGCCTTTAGATAACCCCACAAAAAATAATCGCATGGCGTGGGGTCGGGTGATCTAGGGGGCCAGTGAATGTCTCCAAACTTCGATATAACTTTTTGAGGAAAATTTCCGAAGGGCGCATGAATTACCACTCTTAAAGTAAGGCTGGATAGCAAAAGCACGTTGCGCTCCGGTCCAACGTTCCGTTGTGACTATTTAACCCGCACGCCGAACGCGTCGATCAAGACCTCTTCCCACTTCTTCTCGTATAAGGTTGCCGCGTCATTCAAATTTGTAATGTGAACTTTCCCACTGGACACCCTTTTTATTGGCGTTGTGGCGCAGTTTTGTCTTCAGGATGCAAACAGCGTGATGGTCAGCATTTCGAGCATCTACGAGGTCGTTAAAAACCTTTCTTTTCTAAATCAATCCTTTTAAGGGCCAATAAACAGAAACTTCAGAAAAATTAGATTAAAAAAATAAATTTAAAGGATTTCCATATAAAATACAAACAAAGTACAAAAACTCCTTATTTTCTGTAAGAGAAAATAGACGTGGTGTACCTCAGGGAACAGTGTTGGGTCCTAATCTATTCGTGCTGTATATAAATGATATTGTAAACGCTGTAAGAAAATGCAAAATTCAGTTGTTTGCAGACGATACAATTTTTTTCATGGAATGTGACAACAGAGACAATTTGGTTAAAATGATTATATGCCTGGTTAGGGAACAATAGTCTAAGTATTAATGTTGACAAGACTAAGTGTATCATACTGAAATCTAAGTTTAATGTTCAGGATACTTATCTCCACGACAGATTTATAATTGAAAATAATAATATTAAACAGATTAACAAGTATAAATATTTAGGAGTTATGATATACTCAAATTTAACATTCAATAGCCATGCAGATTATATTATAAAGAAATTTTCTAAAAAAGTTAATATAATGTGTAGGGTAACAAAGGAGCTTAGTTCGTGGACGTCACTACTTATACAGGGTGACTTCGAAGTTGAGTCATTTATTTTAACAGTGAGTAGATCTGATCAAAAGAAATGTTTTTTCCTTTACCATTTTTCTGGTAAAATTAAAGTAACAAAGTTATAGCCCTTTGGAAGTTTGAGTACCGCCCTGTCTCAATAATAATATTATGTGCTCGTGTTTGGCAACAACGGATATAATCCGCCTTATCGGTTCATCGCATCGGAAACAAAAAAGCGAAAGAATTTGGAACGATGTTTTTACAATTATTTTATTCAGTTGTATACAGTCAGTGTCAGTCGGTAACGCGTGAGTGAATAGTGGTGTCTGTTGCGTGGCTCAAACGAAATCAAAAATGGCACATGTTTATGCGGATCGGTTTCCCAATTGAGTGCAACCAACCCCTCGTGCCTTTGTTAATGTAGTACAACGGGCTCCTGCTGTGAGTAGGAAATAGTGTTAGTTTTAGATAATAACATTATATATATTGAGTTGTTCAGTTTGAAGCTATTAAATGAAGATACTACACAACTGCTATGCAGTTAAGAAGTGATGTTTAAGACCTTTAGAATTTTGATTGTGATATCATTCGAAGGAACAGTTATGGGTGGTAGCTCACCTCTTGTATAAGTTTAAACAGATCCTGCAATGCTTCTCTAGCAAGGTGGTCTGTTTCTTCTCCAGAAATCTGCAGTTTAGGCTTAGCTTCTTCTGGGAGAATATGCAAATCTTCATAGCTGCCGGCATTTTTAGGAACCTCTACGACATTTTCCTTGTCTTCATCTCCGACCTTTTGACCTACCAACTCCTGCAAATGCGAGAACGTCGTCGGATTTTTGCCATGCTTCAGCAACCAGCCATTCAGTCTGTGCTGCAATTCTTCTAGAGTTGGAAAGACTTTCGATTGGACGAACAAGGACCTGAAAGAATCGTTGCCTGAAGTTTGGCCACATACTTAAATAACACCGTGTATATTGAAATTATTTATAATTTGCACTGTCGCGAAAACATATTTTTGATATTTTTAAAACATCAATGTTTTTGTATAACGGTATTGTTTAAATCTTGATAATTCAAAAAAAGTGTTACCTTCTAGCAGATGTATTGGGAGTAAATTTGGCAACGCTTCTTCTTTGGTATGCTGACGGGGTCCTAAATACAAGGTTTTCCTCTCTACTCACTTCCAGTATCGGCGATATCTCGCTAGCATGTTTATTGACTGACTTCTTTTCTGATGAGTGGGAATGTGCTGACCATTTTGAACATGACATGTTTTCTGTTGATTTAGACTGAGCTCCTGGTTTTGATTCATGTGACACCTTTTCTGATGATTTGGAACGAGCTGTTGATTTTGATTGTCTCGACATATTTTCTGCGGATCTAGACCTCCGTTTTGCACTTTGTTTATTTTCTGAAAACTTAGGATGTGGTGCCAGCTTCGCATTTGACAGATTTTCTAATGATTGAGAATGTGTTGCTCTTTTTGTGTTTAACACGTTTTCTGATTGGAAATGAGGCTGCATCGCTGTTTTTGCACGAGCCACATTGTTTGTTAATTGGGAATGTGCAGCCGGCTTCACACCTATAGAAAATAATTATTAATTCTTTTCCGGCAAGGTTTATTTTTTATTGCATACAGGATGTGCCAACATTCAGTGGACATAAAAGTACATGTTTTTAAGCTCAAAATAAGTCGATTTCGCATGATTTACCTCATTGCAAAAATGCTTCGTCATAGTGGGCAAATTATTATCATGAAGATCTGCTTCTCTGTCCGGCGTTCAGATGGATAAATTATGCCTTTTCTAACATTAGCATACCACAGAACATTAGAATACCATCAAGAGCCAAGTAAATTGTCAATCTCAGCGCTATTAGTGTATTATTGTAACATGTTATATGTAGGATAAAGATAAACAGAATGGAATGTAAAAAAGTGTGACAAAACATCGTACCTTGTTTGATTTCTAAATTTTTTGTAGATGATAATTGTGGTGGGCCAAATTCGTTCTCACTCAGTTTCAACAGTGGGTCAGCTAATAGCATTCTTTTTAAGCTTGTCTTTGTTTGTCTGACCGGAGGTGCAGTTTTTCTAAACGACGGTTTTCTGTAAAATTTGTACCTTCCGCCAGTATTTGATACGCTTTCCTTACTGGTGTCCAATTTTCCATTTGCACTACAGTTCAGCCGTGCTTGACCTCCGTTCTTCTCCATATTCCTTGGTTTAATCTAGCTGACTTATTTTAAATCAAATTAAAACGATCACCTCCTATTATAAACACTTTTCAAAATCCAGAAAATCCGGTAATATAACCGTCAAACCGTCAATACAAATTCAAAAACTGACAATTGCCATCTCCTTTTTTGACGTAGCTGTTAGGCCACTCACAGACGTTGCTCTGACCATCTTGCCCGACGTTCTACAATGGTTGCGTAGGACTTTCTGCACCGTATAGAACTGGCAGTGCTACAGCAAGCCCAATTCAGAACCGTATTTTTGTGCGTGAAGCTGAACGTTACTTTAGCGTATATCGGAAATATTTCATTTCTTATTTTAAAATGAAAGATTAATATGTAACTTGCACGAGAATATCATTTTTTCTTTAAGGGACCCTCTGCTTATTATTTTATAGAACTTCAAAGTTGCATTTTGCTAATACTGTGGTATAGAATACTGCTTTATAAGCTGTTTTCTTCTTGTTTGTACAAAAGATTGTTCAAAATTATATGACTATAACATAAACTGTACTGTGATACTGTTCCTCGCAATAATGCAATCTTGCATTATTTTAATGATGAAAATAGTTCATTGTTAAGTAGTCATTTCTTTTATTTCAGATAATTATTTCCATCACTATATTACTGTCACTGTCATATCCTCTCCATCTAGTTGCCAAATCATGGATAGTAATATACCTTAATTTGGTTTGTCAAATTCTTATATACTAGCGCAAAAATATGCAATCGGCACAGGATTGTCATGAAAATGTGATTTGGAGGTGCGGCCGCCAGGTTTTACTGTACTATATCCATCTTGTGCTCTACGATAGCGTTAGCTAAAGAGACTTTTTTGAAGAACGCCTTATGCCCTTCGCAAAAGTACTTTGGTTATTGTTTTTCCTATATTATAGTTATAATCTATTTACTTTTTGTATGTATGTACTTCAAGGATTATTTAAAGTCAAGCTGATGTTACAAAATGCACCTAATTAAAATTAAATGACTTTGAAGTTGAGTCATTAATTTTCAGATAATGATTGTAGAAGGAAGATAAACCAAAATATGTGTGTAAAAATAAAAAAAAAATTATTTTACCTTGTTTTATAAAGTATCCTCCCGACAAGTATTTCAGTGCGGAGCTGTATTTGATCGTGAGGTCTTGGAGCACCGGCATGCAGTCCCCTGTGTGGTCTTAAGTCACCTGATTCACGAGCTCGTTGTACTACATTAACAAATGCACGAGGGGTTGGTTGCACTCGATTGGGAAACCGATCCGCATAAACATGTGCCATTTTTTATTTCGTTTGAGCCACGCAACAGATACCACTATTCAAACGCGTTACCGATTGACACTGACTGTATACAACTAAAATAATTATAAAAACATCGTTCCAAATTCTTTCGCTTTTTTGTTTCCGATGCGATGAACCAAACACGAGCACATAATATTATTATTGAGACAGGGCGGTACTCAAACTTCCAAAGGGCTATAACTTTGTTACTTTAATTTTACCAGAAAAATGGTAAAGGAAAAAAACATTTAATTTGATCAGATCTACTCACTGTTAAAATAAATGACTAAACTTCGAAGTCACCCTGTATATGAGAAGTAAATGAAAAAGTAGCTGTTGCAAATCACCAAATAATGAAAACCTAACAAAGAACGTTGCAAGTTTTTTGATGATTTGATGAAATGATCGTTGATCTTTATTTAACTATAATGTTGGACGATGATATGTTGGTTGGACCTGGCGAGGTGGTCCAAATCGACGAATCAACGTTCGGTATTTTTATATGCAATCGCCGCTGGTGCCTTTTGTATTTTTTGTCACGCGAGCCGCTGGAGCATTTCCCCTGTTTAGACACATACTGTTCAAAATTTCATATAGTTTTCGGTAAGTATTGGGACAATTTTTTATAAAACAATAAGACTTTTATTTTGCAAATAACCTCATTTTCTCTCAGAAAAGGTACAACTTGGTAACAATGGACATAATTTATCTTATCTGTCAAGAAATGAGCGTTATAAAATGGCCATTGAGAATTGTTTGTACTTTCACGTACAATTTTTACTGATTTCTAAAATTATTATCAATAACAAAGGAGTGTTTCAAAATGGTTTAGATAAAACTGTTGTCAACACCGCAATATCAAACTATTTGCAGCGCTTCACTGATGATTTCACGCGCTATTTTGCAAACTCGTCGATGAAATTTCTTATCGTGTCGCGTTACAAGAGCAAACTCTGGTAATGATTCTTTTATCAAATATAGTTTCGGTAAGCCTTTTTGGGTATTTACAGAGTTTCTAGTAATAAAAACAAAATACAGCAGCAAGCTATTGCTAGTGTTTACATTGTTCCATTTCCTTAAACAAGATAGTTCTTTTACTTTAATTAGCACCCCCCCTCCCAAAAAAAGAGTAATTTGGCTAGCAGTAAAACGTGGAGATTGATACGCATTATTTGGAATCTCCCAGTATTATAGAATCGCGACGAAGATAGGTACGTCGGGCAAACCGGTTAGGAAAGCATGACGTCTGTAACGGGCCTAACGGTCTTTTTACGTCAGTAATCAGCTGACTAGATGACAGTCCTTATGTCCATGCGAAAAATGACATCAGCTTATCGTGAATCCAATTAAAAAATAATAAATACAATTCGAAAATCGTTCAATCATCGCTCGCCCTGAACATGGAAGTGAATAAAGACGAAGCCGTGAGATGCCTGGAACTGGCCGAGAAATATATTCGCGAGAAAAATAGGGAGAAAGCCCAGAAATTTTTGTACAAGGCCGAGAAGTTGTACCCAACACAACGGGCCAAAGGTAACTTGATTGTCTTGCGGAAGGGCCCATTTTTTGACAGTTCCTCCTTTCAGATCTGTTATTGCAAATAAACCTGATGGCACCTGCGAGCGCGCCGGACTTGAATCAGCCGCGTAAGAGAAACGTCGCTCCTAAAGCTGAAGAGATGGAGACGAAGACTCCGGAGTACAGTCCGGAACAGGAGCAGGCCGTGAAGAGGATCAAACTGTGCAAGGATTATTACGAGATACTCTGCGTCAGCAAAGATGCCACGGACACTGATATCAAAAAGGCATACAAGAAGCTCGCGTTGCAGATGCATCCCGACAAGAATAAAGCGCCTGGGGCTTCCGAGGCATTCAAAGCTGTTGGTAAGATATGTTTCTAATAAGACAGGCCAATGTGAAAAATTAGGACTGGCTTATTTTAATATTTTTTCTACCTTATAATTGTTTAACTACCATATAAAGTGATTGTTGGCTTGAAATGGAGACAAACCATGAAAACATTTCACTGAATGCGCTCAAGAATTACCAAGAACCCAAGAACAATAGAAAAAGAAAGTTTTGAAACATATTGAAAACTATTTTAAAACGTACATAATCATTAACAATTTTAATAGTCAAAGATAACATTTGCTCTAGCATCGTTGTATGGATGGTAAATTTTGCGACTAATGCCACTGCAACTTCCACGTTCAACTAAAATCGTCCTTATTTTTCAGGAAATGCTGTGGCTGTGCTGACCGACCTTGAGAAACGTAAGCAGTACGATTTGTACGGCTCAGAAGAGGAACGGATCAGCACGTCGCGCAGCTACCATTCGTACAGCCGCGGTTTCGAATCGGACGCTACTGCCGAGGAGCTGTTCAACATGTTCTTTGGCGGAGGGTTCAACAACAGCAACGTGTACGTCAGACGAGGAGGCAGATGGCAACGGCAGACCAGCGGTAGTCAACAGGAACATCACACGCATCAAAGAGATGTGAGTTTTGTTTCAAACTATCAATTAATCAATCAATTCTTTATTCATGTCACAATACATAAAATATGTTTACATACGTCAGTAGATCAAATGAGAATTGCATTAGAATTAAAACTAGCCAATATAACGACGATACAGTTGGTATTTTTTCTGAATATTTTTCAAAAGTATACAGGGTATAATTTAATTGATGACTAAAGATACAGCATATGATTACTTATATCATTTTAGGAAGAAAAGTTTATGTGAACATACAGTAATTGACAAAATTATATAGACAAATTAATATTGTGCTGCAGAAAAAAGAAGCAAAGCTCATTAAATTATAGAAAACCAACCATGTTTGTGTTAATATTTTGTAGCATGACCATTATTATCAATCACTGCCACTTTTGCTCTAAAGCGGCAAAAAGTTCATGCTTGTTTGAATAATTTTTATCTCTTATTTGCTTATGTAAGTATTTCCATAGATTTTCAATGGGGTTTATATCGGGAGACTGTGAAGGCCATTTGAGAACTGGTATTTTTTCATCCAGAAAGAATTTCTTTACGAGATTTGATGTGTGCTTCGGGTTATTATCTTGCTGGAAGATTGATCTTAAGGGCATATTATCTTCCATATAGGATAACATAACATGGTTTAGTATGTCTGTGTATACAAACTTATCCATAATGCCATCTATTCTATGTAAAGGTCGCTTCCCAAACCCCGAAAAGTACCCCCAAACCATAAGAGACCCGCCTCCATGTTTGACGGTGGACAAAGTGTACTTGGGGTTAAATCTTTGCCCACTAGGACGTCTAACGTAATGAACATTATCTCATCCAAAGATATTGAACTTGGATGCGTCACTGAAACATACCCTCTTCCAGTCACAGATGCTCCAATCAAGATGCAACCGTGCAAATTGTAATCGGTCCTTACGGTTTTACCTCCCTCGAGATTAGCGACTTCTTACTAGGGCGACGTGCAAATAACTTCAAATCATTTAATCTTCTATAGGGTTGTCCAATAGGGACGCAGGAAAGTAAGCATCTTTGTTTTCTGTCACCGACATGTCATTTTGTTAGTTGAATGTTTACCATTGATCGCTATGGAGTCGCATTCGATTGAAGACCGCATTAAAGTTATTTAAGAGCACTACAAAAATGGTGCAAAAATAAAAAACACGTTTCGCGCGCTTCGTGAACATTTCGGTCGCAACAACCGCCCAAACGAAACAACCATCGGTCGTCTGGTGCGTAAATTCGAGGCGACAGGTTCTGTGGCAAATCTGCCAGGCTCTGGCCGGCCAAGGAGCGTTCGCACACCGGAAAATATTGCTGTTGTGAAGGAGAGTGTGAGAGACGATCCGAAACAATCAACAACGCGTCGATCCCAAGAATTGGGCATTTCGAGAACCAGTTTGCGCCGCATTCTCCACAAGGATTTGAATGTACACGCCTACAAGATCCAATTGACGCAAGAGCTGCGTCGGGCCGACCATTTTTCGCGCCGAACGTTCTCAGATTGGTTCCTTGAACACCGCCAAATTGATGCCAATTTTTCATCGAAAATCATGTTCAGCGACGAAGCGCATTTCACTTTGAATGGGACGGTAAACAAGCAAAACTGCCGCATCTGGGCGAACGAAAATCCCCGTGAGTATCAAGAGCAGCCGATGCATCCTCAAAAAGTGACTGTGTGGTGTGCATTGTGGTCAAAAGGCATCATCGGACCTTGCTTTTTCGAAAAGGCGGCCGGGGACGCCGTTACCGTCAATTCTGAGCGATATCACGTGATGATAGAGGACTATTTTTTGCCGCAACTTGAAGGAATGGATATGGACGATGTTTATTTCCAACAAGACGGTGCAACATGCCACACAACCAACGTCAATATCCATCGATTGCAGTCCTTCTTCGGTGATCGCGTGATTTCGCGCAGAGGAAATGTGCCATGGCCACCAAGATCGTGCGATTTGACTCCCTTGGACTTCTTTTAATGGGGATATTTGACAAGCAAAGTCTACGTCAACAAACCAGCCACCCTCCAAGAACTCAAAAACAACATCGTTGCCGAGATAAATGCCATAGAATCGACCATGTTGCAAAATGTCATTGAAAATTTCGACCATCGCGTGGACGTCTGTAAATCCAGTCGTGGTGAACATTTGAGCGATATTATTTTTCATACATAAATGGTATACATGAACTTTCAAAATAAAGTACCCAACTTGATTTGAATATCAATCTTTTTTTGTTTATTAATTCAGTTAATCACCACTATAATATATCCAAATTTTTACACGAATAATTTTCATTATTTATTTCAGACTCAAAATGGCTATACGGCATTCATTCAAGTGCTACCAATTCTCCTTGCTATACTTCTGTCGATGGCATCCAGCTTTTTTATTTCTGATCCTGCTTACAGCCTGCAAGCAAGCTCGTAAGTATGACTATATCTTAAAAAATAGATAATTAATAATAGGCGAAGCCCCTAATATAATTAATAGCAAACAAAATTCTAAATTGTTTTTCTCTTTGTGCAGAAAATATCCCATTCAGAGACACACCCAAAACCTGAAGATCCCGTATTACGTCAAGGATAACTTCCACACGGAATATCAAGGGTCGGTGAGACGACTCGAGCTGTCCGTCGAAGAGGAGTACATTTCAAACTTGCGTCACGCCTGCTACAGGGAGAAAAACTACAGTAAATGCCTTTCTTATATGTTTCTCACGTTGTATATTTGGCTGATGCGAATTTTCGATGTCATATTGAAGATATTCTGCTTCGCCGACGACTTTGCGTTTCAGCTGTTTCCAACTTGACGCACGATAAGTGTAGATTTCGCTGAGCGACGGCTAATACACGGTGGTTGAATATCACGATTTTTATTGAGTTTACGCGTTGATCCAGGTAGCTAACTCCGGAGTTGAAAAAGAAATGTGTGGTAGACAGTACAGAAATCTACTTTGAGAAGAGCTATAGTTTGATTCTGCTTTTTTTTGATTGGACATCTTCAGGTGGTATAAAAGAAGTCAATGCCTGAAGATATCCAATTAGAACACCACCGAAAAGAGATCAATAGCAGAACCAAACACTCTAAGTAAGTTTCTAAATTCTCTTTTGTGTTCTGATATTGTCTCCTAGTGTCTTTCACGCCGCAACACAGCGCTCTTAAGATGAAAAACTTAATCAACGATTTTGGCTTAGAAATATCAGAGACGTTTTGACAGTGTTTTCTGGTAGTTTTGATAAAGAAAGTTCTTTTAATGAATTAAAAATCATTCTACGCCTGCAGTATGTGTTTGAACGTCCGATTTAGATGAATGTCAACTACAATCTTCTCGAGTAATGTTTCTCAACTGCATGTTTCAGAAGGTTGTACAACCATTTAATTGACAATGAATCAAGGATCTTTCTTTGGCTGTCTATTGTTTGCTATGGCGCTAAAGTCATATTGAAAATATTCTCAGTTGTTTCTGCAGTAGCTTTCATCATTATTTAGACCAGCGTGTAAATACCATTAAGATGTGAACAGGCACTATAAGTTTGTCGCTACCTACACCGTAAAAGTTTTTTATTACACGCAAATCTAGAATTGTTGCCGATACTGACGGATGTTGTGATTGCAGGGGATTCGATGATATGGAAAGCGAGGAACTTTGGCGATCGAGAGCTGTTCCAAAATGCTCAAAACATCAAAATGCCTTCTTGCGAACAACTTCAAAATCTTCGCCAACACGGATAAACATTTTTTTTACCTAAATTAATGTCATATAATGTATGGTAAGAGGTGACCGAAGCTGATGCATACTTTATAGATTAGATTAATAAAATATATTATTATTATCAATACGTTATCGGTAAATATTCTATGCGAATCTGTTTTGAGTTGGTCGGAAGCTAAGAACTGGCATTTATTTTTATCATTTTCAGCACTCACGATACACTTAGTTGAATAGTTCATATCGTCTCATATTGCATGTTATTTTCTATTAGTTTTTCGATAACAAGGTAGAATAACTGTAGAAAGTATTCAAGAAATTACCAAATAGCAAATCAAACATACAGTGTCTTCCTTAATGACATGCTAATATTATAGGAGGTAAACTACCGCTCTGTATCTGAAAAGATTAGGGCATTAGTACGATTTTTTTTTTCTTAAAATAAGTCCTTGAATCACCTTCCTGAATGTAAGTACGTCATTAAGGAACACCCTGCACATGTGGAAAATATCAATTTTGCCGTTTGCATACTTTTTATTATACAGTATTTTCGATTTCTTTGATCCATTGTTACAACCCATAATATGTGTGATTATCATACCTACAATACTCCGCTTAACAGGAATCCCGGATGTCGGTAAAACCAAAAGAGAGGAAGTAGCAGCTGCCAGACTCAAAATATAACTCTGCATAACTTGGAATTTTGTAACCTGCCGAGTTTAAAAAATGCGATCGGTGCGTGTGTGCGCGTGTGTTTATATAAATATATGTATACGTCTAACGTATTAATACCGGTTGTACCAGGGCGCGCGCGCCGTTACGGTAACCGGTGGAAAACTTCGAACATTCTCTCGACCCTTCGCTAGATTGAAAGCGACACGGTGTAATCGAAAAGATAGTTCTACGTTTCGGTTATAAGACAACAACTGTCGTCGTCGTCGTATTCTCACTCGGAATGAGGAGAGATGCCGCAAATGTGAAAATATATTACGAAGAGCGAGCTGAGATCGTCTTTCGTATATTACGTTCGATCGCATTTGGACCGCTTAACGGCTGTGCGCTAGCTAAATCCGCGATCTCGCTGTGGAACGCGCGTATATATATTTATATATAACTTTAGACGTGGTCATTGTCGTCTAGACCAGTTAGGTGAAAAATTAAAGCTTCCGCCTTTTGTTGGGTACTTCGACAAAATTTAAGCAAAGAGGACTCTTTATACCTTTTTTAATTCTCTCTAGCTTTCAATGGACTTTGCCATCATCATCAGGAGCTGCAATTACAATGATAACAGTAGCAACAAAAGTGTAAAATGAATTTAGATTGACTCAACTTACAGTAGTATGTGAGGATGTTGCTAATTGTTGTTTACGTATAGGATGAGGGAAACGTCCAGTAACATGGTGAGAGCTGGATAGATTGTACAATGGTCAAAATTATATAAAATATGACAAGAACAAGTTAAAAACAGATTAAAAATTATTTAAAAAACATTACAGCATTACATCGTGAAGTTAACAAATTCTTACATAAAATTCTGAAAATCTCATCATCTGAAGTGATTTGGCAACGTTTTGGCACACGCCCACAATTCGTTCCATCTTTCAACACAGACATTGACATCCTTCGGCCTTCTGTCAAAGGGTTTCATCTCACTCATTATTCCATGACCACTAATTTGTGCAATCATCAAGTGGCTTCACGATGTAATGCTGTAATGTTTTTTAAATAATTTTTAATCTGTTTTTAACTTGTTCTTGTCATATTTTATATAATTTTGACCATTGTACAATCTATCCAGCTCTCACCATGTTACTGGACGTTTCCCTCATCCTATACGTAAACAACAATTAGCAACATCCTCACATACTACTGTAAGTTGAGTCAATCTAAATTCATTTTACACTTTTGTTGCTACTGTTATCATTGTAATTGCAGCTCCTGATGATGATGGCAAAGTCCATTGAAAGCTAGAGAGAATTAAAAAAGGTATAAAGAGTCCTCTTTGCTTAAATTTTGTCGAAGTACCCAACAAAAGGCGGAATCTTTAATTTTTCACCTTATTTATATATATATATATATATATGTATATGTATATATATATATACGCATAATGAAACATCGAGATAAAACAATAGTGTGTGTGTGTGTGTGTGAGGGAAGGACGCGAGGGAAGGACGCGAGCGACCGTTTTTTGTTCGATTTGCTGCGCCTCCTCCTCCTCACTCACTATCCACACACCGTCTACCGAGCTCGAAGCCGTTTCACAATATATATATATCGGGTTAATCAGGAGGAGACTTTGGTCTTTCGTTTTGCGAAAAAAAATCGTACCTCTATCGGTTCGTAACGAAGGTCTGTATCGAAGAAGACGAAGTACGCCAAAAAATGAATCGTCATCAGTACCTTTGAGGCCCTAAAAGTTTTGCCGACGGGAATTTTAACAGTCGGGCTCAAAATGTTTATTTTTGGATCGCTATATAATTTTTATCTTGCATATATGTAGTAGCAACAGGCCCGTACAAAGCCGAAAACATGGTGACTGTCATATATCGAAAAGTAGCATATAGTCGATGAATTTTAAAAAATCGAAACTTTCGAACGAAAAGGAATCAAGAAATAAAAAAGACGCTATCCAAATGTCCGATGTCTGGGCTTTCTCACGCAAAAATCGTTAGGTCCGCAGCTCCGTTATCTTCGGAGGAGATAGATATTGAACATGGAACAGCACGTTTGAGACCCAAAAAACGGCCAATATTCCGACGTTTGAAAATTGTTTATTCGAAGAGGGTGCCCTAAACGAAAAAAAACCTCTTTCCCGGTAATTTATAGTATTCGCCGAGATGTGCAAAATGGGTTATGCGAAACTTCAAGGTTTTTTTGAAAAGTCCTGGAAAAAAAGATGCGGATCAAAAGCGGACCCGGAAAATTCGAAACTTCCATTATTTGGCTATTTAAAGCGACCGATCCCGATACAGACTCGAGAGGGAAGTGAAAAAAAAAATAAAAGATCACCCCTTAATATTGTCGACTACTAGTCACGACCATTGTCTTATAAGGTTTGAACATTTCGTAAATTATAATAGTTGTCCAGGTTTTGAGTCGCCCTGGGTCAGGATCACAGTAGAAGAGGCCAGTGGTAAAGAAAAGTTATGCTGAAAGTATTCCTACAACGTTTTTTTCATTGAATACTTTTGAAGTTTTGGAATTAATTTGGGTAAAATGTAGCCTTTTTACCTATATTTTGATTCAAATGCAGAATGGAAATGTGAGCGGTTGAAGATAAATTGAAAACGTTGGATTTGTTTGTAAAATAATTGTGCCAGGTAGGGTTGTTTTTAGATTATATTGTTTTTACCAATGAAAGTAACTATGCTTGGTTATGCACTTACACATTTGTATAATCTTTTCGGCTATAATTAAGCAGTATTTATTTCTTTTGTTTGTACATACGAAACTACATGTTTTTGTTGATTAGTTGTTAGAAAATATTAGCACCAGTATATTTGGAATAAATTGTTTCTGAAAGATCATACGTATTTTCTCTTTTCCAAACCCAAATCCTAAGTTTGATACAGGGAAATGAAACAACTGTCGGATATGACGATACAAAATTTATAAAACAGATTGAATATACAAAGTTCAACAGTCTACCTCAAATTACAAAAATAACTATGTACTAACGTTTATATACAAAGATCATCAAAATTACGACAAATTATACTGAAAAATCATTGAACATTGAATAGCAAAACTATATATGTATATAATACTACCATTTACAATAATATAATAGCTATCAATAGTTTTAAGTGATATGTAAGTCTGAGATAATTTTCTGGTCACATCAGGGAAGTACTACAATATGGTGTGTGGCTAAGGAAAAATTAATTGCCTTTTTTATAATCGAAGTTTCTCAAGATAGGGTCTCCCAATATTCCGTAGAAGTATCACGTATTTATATTTGGACATAAATCACTTCTATGCTTGTCCGCTTGGTGCTGGTCCACGAAATATTGGGACACCCTGTGTAAAGTGAACGAAAGATTCTCTTTCAGTAATAATTCAAAGCTCCTTTTTTAGAAATAACTTTTCCACTTTGAACGCTTTCACGCTCAGATATCAATCTGTTTGATTACATTAACGTACACCTATTTTTGATCATCCCCATCTACCTCATCGTCGTCATCAGAAGCTTCCTTAGACTTTGAACCGTAAGTTTTGTGCAAACTATCGAGTTTGTTGGAAATATCCACACTTTTGGTTGCAGTAGAAGCAGCTTGGTTTACCAGATTACTCGCTTGACCTTCCAATCTTTTCAGCCTTTCTTCTCGCCGAGCAAGTCTTTCTTCAAATGTCTCGCTAGAGGAACTAGTGGAAGCCACCTCACTCGCGTCATTTTTTGCTTCATCGCCGGAGGTGTGTCCAGATGAAATGTTCTCAGTAACATCTACAGATTCGTTAGTATTTAGTCTTATATTTGTAACTTCATCGTTAGTTCTGTTAGTCGTGGTTCTGGTAGGAATTTGTATTAATACAGTCTTGTCTTCATGAGCGTTTGTTTCTCTTTCACTGGTTTGGCTTTCTGAACGATTTTGAACATTTAAATCACAGTTATCAGTAGTGCTTGTAGCTCCTTTGGAATCACTACCATTTTCAGTAGTTTCTCCATCTTCAACTGTCTCACTAACGTCACCAACGTTTTCGTCTGTGATATCTTTTGACCCACTATCTTCACCGACATGTGCAATACCCGCAATTTCATTCTGAATTATTTCCAGAACATCGCACACTTTTCCAACGTCCTCTTGGTTTTTCTGTGCGCACTCAGAAACGTCTGTTTCATATCCAGGTTCGTCTTCACTGGAACATTCTCTGTCATCGCTGTATCCGCTCTCCACGCTATTGTTTATATCGTCTTTCAATATAATCGCATTTTTCTTTCTAGATGCAAACTCGTTCCTAAGAAGTCGCCATTGCTGCTCGGTATTGGTGTTTTTCTCTCTAGCCTGAGCGGATTTTTCTCTGCTATATTCGAGTTCTTCTTTCAAATCGGTCAGCAGTTTGCGTTTTTGCGCCAGTTCGTATCGCAGGATCTTTTCTTGAGTGTGTAGCAAGTGATGTTGTTTTTGTAGTTTTCCCACCTGAAACAAAGCAAGGGTGTTAACGAATTCAAAAAATAGGCTGCTATCGAAAACGGTATAGGATAAAGAAAACAGAAAAAGATTTGTTGATTTTAAGATCTTTTTCTGCTTTCTTTGATACCAGCGCATTTTTTGACTATGGTAGGCAAATCGTTTATGTGCAAAATAGAAAGAAGTGGTCCCAGTATACTGCCCTGTGGAACACAATTTTTTGATGAATTAAAGTTATCAACTTTTATAATTTGCATACTGCTAGACAAAACGATTGAACTTTCATATTTCGCAAGAAAATCTGACGCACGAATTCTGAATAGGCTGTATTTTGCTGTGTTCAACTATATGACAAAAAAAATGTTCCGCAGAAACAGCAATCCAAATGGTGATGGAAGACTGGAGATGAAGTATAGATGAAAAAGAATATATTGTTACAATATTTTTAGACTTCAAAAGGGCATTTGAGACTATAGATAGGGAAAAATTGTTAATGAAATTGCGTCACTATGGCTTTAAACGATCAGTACTACACATTTTATAAAATTATTTAGTAAATAGAAGTCAAAAAACTAAAGTTGGAAATATTATGTCAACTGTTCAAAATATATCAGTAGGTTTGCCGCAGTGGAGTAAATTAGGGCCGTTACTATTTATTATTTATATAAATGATATCTCTGACATTTTAGAACACTGCAAAATTCAAATATTTGCGGACAATACACTTATATATATATATATATATATAGGTGAAAAATTAAAGCTTCCGCCTTTTGTTGGGTACTTCGACAAAATTTAAGCTACTTTTTTAATTCTCTCTAGCTTTCAATGGACTTTGCCATCATCATCAGGAGCTGCAATTACAATGATAACAGTAGCAACAAAAGTGTAAAATGAATTTAAATTGAATTAACTTACAGTAGTATGTGAGGATGTTGCTAATTGTTGTTTTCGTATAGGATGAGGGAAACGTCCAGTAACATGGTGAGAGCTGGATACATGGTACAATGGTTAAAATTATATAAAATATGAGAAGACAAGTTAAAGACAGATTAAAAATTATTTAGAAAACATTAGAGCATTACGTCGTGAAGCCACTTGATGATTGCACAAAATGGTGGTCATGGAATAATAATCAAATTCAAGCGGATAACCAAATGGAAATGGTATTTACCATTTTGGGCTGGTATTTACCAATCCGTTCAAGCGAGTATAGTTATTAGTTTGGTTATAAGATCCGTGACGTCACGAATCAGCTGTTATATGTCATAGTTATCACCGCAAAATTGTGGTATTTACCCAACTCAAGAGTAGTTTTATATTTCTGGTTATTATTTGAAATGTGACAAGTTAGAATTTTGCCGGGAATTGGATATTCTTATTGTACTTCAGCTTCATTTTTGAGAGAAATGATACAGGCTGACTTCAGTTTTACCATAAAGTGGAGCACCTTATTAGTTATACTCATTACGGTTGTTGGGGACACTTTAAATGTAGTTCCTATGCTTAACAAAGTATCCTGTGTAGCCATATACCACAAGAATATTAAAATATGGCCATATAAACTCACTAGATGATATCCACCTGTATACGGTTTTGCTAATTTCTTTTTTCATCGTTTCTGCTGAATCAATAAATGTTTTCTTTGACATGCGGAAAAATTTAGAGAATTGAAAGTTATCATAGCTACAAAGCCATGGTTGCATCATTAAAAAAAATCTGAAAAAACATTTCTCCCATGAGTATTATGAAAGGTGTCTTATTTAAACTTTCCATATACAGTTGTAGACGAAAAAGCACCGATTATTAAGTGATAATAAAAATAATCAGAGATTATATACGCGCTTTTCTAAAATAAAAAACTTGCTACAAAACCGCGGTTAAAACCAACGCGTTCAAGCGATTCGTGTAACTGACGTCATCAACCCGTGTGTCATCTTGAACCATATTATAACCGCGGCACATATCACAGAAATTTTGGTTATTCGCTTGGATTTGATTAATGAGTGAGATGAACCTTTGACAGAAGGCCGAAGGTTGTCAATGTCTGTGTTGAAAGATGGAACGAATTGTGGGCGTGTGCCAAAACGTTGCCAAATCACTTCAGATGATGTGATATTCAGAATGTTATGTAAGAAATTGTTAAACCGACCAGAGGCAGTTGAATAAACTATATTTTAATTAATGGGAATTTTAAATTAATAATTATTAATAAATATATATATATATATATTCTTTTAATTTCTTTGGGTAGAAGACAAAGTATTGCAAAAGTACACTCTTATAACTGAAACTCTCAAGCTTTCGAAGATCTATGTCTTCATCGTCTGGAGCTGGAAATAATTATTGACAATAGCAACAAATAACAATTAGGAGAAAAATATTTAGTTACTAAGTCGGCGAGATTGTTGCTGAAATTGTTTTTAAAACAACAGTGAAGGGAACACATAGTCGACGAATAAAAACTTAACTGATGAGGTTCGATTAGGACGGAATTATTTTATTATTAAATGGCAAATCATTTTGGAAGGTTTTTTTGATTGATTTTGGAAGAAATGTTGAGATTTTTTCTTCCTGGCGGCGTCTGTGAGGACCGTGGCAGTGGATCGCCTTCTAGATCGACGCGAAGTGACCTCCAATATTCTAGATGTCGCTTTGTGGTTCACCTGGCCTTTCTCGAAGCAGCAGTTGGGACTATATGTAACTCGGCGGCCGGGAGATGGAAGCAGAGTACGGAGAACGGTAGAGTAGCAGAGCAGAGTGGAGTATAGTGCAGGCAGTGGCGACATAAGATTAGTCTGACATAAATAGTGTAGTTATCAAGTTAGTGCATTTCTTTTTGTGGAATCCAGTGATTTAATCCACACCCAAAAGAACCCAGAAAAACGCCACACTATCAGAACGAACGAAATTTCAATAATGTTTCACAATGATTGGTTTTTTACTTAAGAACTATTTTATTGCTAATAAACGTTATCATGTTTTTCTTATAAAAAATTTGAACTCACCACATGCCACGTTTTCGAAAGTTCGCTCTGCACATGTTCCAGTCGTTTCGCTTGGTCCTGCAGCCTATTCTCTAAATGTCCATTCAACTGTTTCAAATGGTTCGTCTCTTTCTCCAACGCCTTCTTCTCCAAGATGAGGTCCTTCAGCCTGATAAAGGTCTGACTGACGCTGGCGACCAGACTGGGACCTTTGGCGGTTTGGACTGTTTTGTAGCACGGATTTTCCGAGTCGTCTTCTCCTGACAGGCTGTTAGTCGGAGCCATCTGGTGGCTCAACAGCTCGATCAGCACTCGCCAGACTTTCGGGAGGTTCTGGACGATCTCCTCCGGGCTATTCATCTTGCTGTTGATCGCCGGTTGTTGGCAATCTAGAAGAGAATATCAAATAAGAAAGTTTTTTCTTATTACTTGTCAGTAGAATTTCATTTCAATCTTGATCTAAGACTACCTGATTGCCAAAAAATCAAGTTGTAGAAATTATTCACCGACTATATTAATATCGACTATATTAAGCGGTGATCAATTGTTTTTTTAGGTAGGTATTGGTAGGCGGTGCAGATACGGCGTTTGACATCGACTCGGTTTTTCCGGGTTTGCGAAACGTTTGAATGGAAAGCGACACCGTTTCGGAATTCAGAAACTCGGCGCTTTACGACCGGGTGAGAGCCGTCGACGTAAGAGGAAGAAACGCGGTCGAAAACGGCGGTCAAAGTCGTAAAAACGGAGACTTTTTTATCAGCCGTCTCGCCGTTTATCAAAATATCGACTCGAGATTGGTCTCGTCAAGTATATTACCTGCTGATCCTCCTTTGAGACCCTCTGTTTCTATATTTTCTAGCTCCGTATCACAGTCTTTGCTAGTATCTGCATTGTTCAGCAGGTCCAGTAGAAGTTTTGGCAAAGCGTATGAAACCTCCGACGATACTTCGTTGACGACGATATCTTGTAAGAGATCATGATGGTCTTCCAATTGCCTCTGAAGCTTATCAAGGAAACTGCGCTAGTCGACTATATTAAGCGGTGATCGATTGTTTTTTTAGGTAGGTATTGGTAGGCGGTGCAGATACGGCGTTTGACATCGACTCGGTTTTTCCGGTTCTTTTTCCGGGTTCGCGAAACGTTTGAAAGGAAAGCGACACCGTTTCGGAATTTAGAAACTCGGCGCTTTACGACCGGGTGAGAGTCGTCGACGTAAGAGGAAGAAACGCGGTCGAAAACGGCGGTCAAAGTCGAAAAAACGGAGACTTTTTTATCAGCCATCTCGCCGTTTATCAAAATATCGACTCGAGATCGGTCTCGTCAAGCATATTACCTGATGATTCTCCTTTGAGATCCTCTGTTTCTATATTTTCTAGCTCCGTATCACAGCCTTTGCTAGTATCTGCATTGTTCAGCAGGTCCAGTAGAAGTTTTGGCAAAGCGTATGAAACCTCCGACGAAACTTCGTTGACGACGATATCTTGTAGAAGATCATGATGGTCTTCCAATTGCCTCTGAAGCTTATCAAGATCTAAAAAAAAAAAATAATTCGTAAATTTTACGAGAGAACCTGGTTTTGGTACTTACCAATGTCTTGAGAATTGTTGAAGCCAAGCAGGATTTCTGAAAACAGTTGGTTGATGACTGTCAGTTCCGCTTGATATTGACGACCCTCTGCTTTTGCTAGACCCAAACTGGATTCTAGATGTTTGATTTCGTCGTATTTTTCAGAGTTGTCGGCTTCCACCTTTTCCATTCTTTCTTGTAGCTCCCTATAAAGTAAAGGGACCTCTAGGTAATGTGGACTGAATAAGAAAAATCGCAAATTTGAGATAGAAAACGGTTCCTCCTGCGGCCTGGCGTCAACCTGGTATAGGATTCAAAATTTACACAATAGATTCCCTCATAAATATACTTACTTATTTTTGTTTTGCTCCTGCTCCATTTGCTTTTTAATCTCCTCCAATTGCGACTGCATTTGTTCCCTTTCCAGTTTTTCAATTCTGGATCTTTCCTGATACAATGTCCTCAAACTTCTCATGTTCTCGAGCTGCCGTTCATATTCCATGCGCAAGTCTTGGGATAGAATGTTCATTTCTTTTTCTTGTAAGGAAGCCTCGATACTTTCCACCTTTTGCTTCAGCTGAAGCAAAAATATGATAAAATTGCAGACTAAGGAAGGGAAGATTGTAAGTTGTTTATATCATTCGTTCATTCATCTCTTTATAATACTAGTACAATTGCGTGCGTACACAGGTCAAAATCGAAGTTAAAATACAAAAGTTTAAAATCACGAAACAACAAATGTTATTGGAAGGAACAATACTACTTTCAAAAGTTGCATTTATTTTCTCAATGAAGCTGTCGATAGCTAGAAAAGTAGACTTACCTGATCTGAAACCGAATTGATAGTCAGTAAATAGGTTGTTTCAAAATAGTCATTCTTTCAAAAAAATCTCAGGGGTATAAGTGAAATAAGTCCATAATTTGAAAGGTCTTTGGAATCGGATAACTTTCGACAGTTTGAAAATATCAGGAAATATATCAAATGAATAATTTTGTCAATGGTATAATAATAAGGTTTTGAAATGGTTGTAGTAATTTTTGCATTGAAACCGAAAACATCAAAGCTGCCTATTAAATTAACTTAGTGCTTTACATCGACCACAATCTTACTAATTTTTATAATCTAATCTAAAACGTTTTTAAATTGGGTAACTAACAATAAACGGCATTAAGTTTTTCTATGTTAAGCCAAAATTTGCAGTCATTAAGTAAGTTTCATTAATCTAAATATTTAAAACACACATGACAACAGCGCGTCGGTCTTTCCTCACTCTTATCGAACCGGCAATCGATCGCAAACGGTAACAGTGGTTAGTTATCGTTTTGCATAGATAAATTACTTTATCGTTTTATCGAGCAGCGCATCGGGCGTGTTGTTTTGTTTTTGTTCGCGTACGTCTTCGTGTTTCACCCATTTAAATAATGACTATCATAATGTTTACAGCCTGTATAAAAAGTGACAGCCTGTATAAAAAGTGAACATCTCAGAACCATATCACTACCATCTACATTTCTCTTCTACTTACTTCTTTAAGTTGAGCTTCTCTAATCTGCAGCATATTTTTAGATACGGATATCACATCTTTGAGTGCCAATACGTGCGTGTTATACTCCTGTCTCTCCTTTTCGAATTCGATCAATTCGGTGTTCAACTCCTGCAATTCCTTTTGCATTTTCGAAATGCTGATTCTTAGCTCTCTGTTCTTCTCGATCAGTTTTTCGCTGTCTTCTAGCAGCCTTGATTTCTCGTCGAGGATCATTTTCAGTCCATCGTTTTCTCTTCGTAACTGATGAAATTCGGATCACATCAGATTGTTATTTATCGCTTATATTTGTATGTATGCAACGCTTGTATACAATGACCTGACCTAGATTTAATCAAATAACAAATGATCGAACTTACCCGTTCATTTTCGTTCAGGATGTCATCCGGACAATCAAACCTCTTCTGCACTTCTAGCTCACGTTTCAGCTTGACGATTTCCTTGCGAAGTTTCTCGATCTCCTCCTTTTGAAGACAAGCCTCGTTTTCTTCGATTGCTGCCGTATTTTCTTCCTGCGATTGGGACGCTGGTTGCAATTTCTTGTAACTCTCATTCTCCTGCTTCAGTTTAACCACTTCTTCAGTGAGCTCAACGATTTTGCTCCAAGATTTCGTTGTATCTTCTTCTTCTTCTGTACGGAAGGATTTCAGTAATATGTTTTCCTTGAAGCAAACAATACGTATTTAGGTACAAGGTTTTATACGTGTGTTTATGAAGCATGTAAGATCCAAAATTAATTTAAATATTGTAAAATAGGAAGACGTCCTAATATTTGACTTTTGACTTTACTCTAAATGGTTCTAGATCCTTCATTACATGTAATATATGAGTCTTCCAGGTCATATTTGCATCAGTATGTACTCGTAGGAATTTAGCAAATTAGTTTATTGTATGTAAATCACTTTTTCAATTTGTCATGCTTTGATCTGAGATGACTTCAATTGCCATATGACTATTAACTCTTAGCTGTGTCAGCATAATATAGGGTTGTCCAATAGGGACGCAGGAAAGTAAACGTCAATTTGACATAGACGCCATCTTTGTGTTCTGTCATCGACATGTCATTTTGTTAGTTGAATGTTTACCATTGATCGCTATGGAGTCGTATTCGATTGAAGACCGCATTAATGTTATTCAAGAGCACTACAAAAATGGTGCAAAAATAAAAAACACGTTTCGCGCGCTTCGTGAACATTTCGGTCGCAACAACCGACCAAACGAAACAACCATCGGTCGTCTGGTGCGTAAATTCGAGGCAGAAGGTTCTGTGGCAAATCTGCCAGGCTCTGGCCGGCCAAGGAGCGTTCGCACACCGGAAAATATTGCTGTTGTGAAGGAGAGTGTGAGAGACGATCCGAAACAATCAACAACGCGTCGATCCCAAGAATTGGGCATTTCGAGAACCAGTTTGCTCCGCATTCTCCACAAGGATTTGAATTTACACGCCTAGAAGATCCAATTGACGCAAGAGCTGCGTCGGGCCGACCATTTTTCGCGCCGAACGTTCTCAGATTGGCTCCTTGAACACCGCCAAATTGATGCCAATTTTTCATCAAAAATCATGTTCAGCGACGAAGCGCATTTCACTTTGAATGGGACGGTAAACAAGCAAAACTGCCGCATCTGGGCGAACGAAAATCCCCGTGAGTATCAAGAGCAGCCGATGCATCCTCAAAAAGTGACTGTGTGGTGTGCATTGTGGTCAAAAGGCATCATCGGACCTTACTTTTTCGAAAATGCGGCCGGGGCCGCCGTTACCGTCAATTCTGAGCGATATCACGTGATGATAGAGGACTATTTTTTGCCGCAACTTGAAGGAATGGATATGGACGATGTTTATTTCCAACAAAACGGTGCAACATGCCACACAACCAACGTCAATATCCATCGATTGCAGTCCTTCTTCGGTGATCGCGTGATTTCGCGCAGAGGAAATGTGCCATGGCCACCAAGATCGTGCGATTTGACTCCCTTGGACTTCTTTTTATGGGGATATTTGAAAAGCAAAGTCTACGTCAACAAACCAGCCACCCTCCAAGAACTCAAAAACAACATCATTGCCGAGATAAATGCCATAGAACCGACCATGTTGCAAAATGTCATTGAAAATTTCGACCATCGCGTGAACCTTCAAAATAAAGTACCCAAGTACCCGCCTTTAGTTGGGTACTTCGACAAAATTCAAGCAATGAGGACTCTTTATACGTTATTAGTCTCTAGCTTTCAATGGACTGTGACATCATCATCAGGAGAATAGTATGTGAGATTGTTGCTAAATGTTATTGAAGGCTAACATTTAGTAACCTGGTGAAAGCTGGATACATGGTACATTCGTTAAAATTAGTATAAAATACACACAGCTGTATGTCAGGAACACATCAAAACGGATTCAAAATATTTGGAACGAAAGTTAAAATTATTACATGTTACATCGTGAAAGGTGCAGCATTGCCACGTAGGTGTCACTCAGTATATATGACATTTGAAGCCAAACTGCCAAAACACACTCTCTTTTGTACCTAAAGAACGTTATAAAAAATGTTGTCACTGTTTCCAACTTACCTGATTCAGCCTTTCAACTTCGCTACGTAGCCGATCAAACTCCATCTTCTTGTCCCGCAAAATTCCCCGTCTCTGTTCTCGTTTCGTCTTCAGATCAGCCTCGAACTCGCGCAATTGCTCAATATGATCCGTACACGTCGCTGTTTCGTCTAGAACTGCTTCCGAACTGATTCCGTCCGTTTGAACTTCGTATTTGGCACCGATTTTCGTATTCTCCAAAGTCGGGTCAATTTCCTGATCGCCAGAATACGCCGAACTCAGAGCGTTGCCCATCTCAAATATTCGACCAATGGGGCGGCTGCAATCCAAACAAAAGAACTCCGTCTGAGGCTAAGCTCACCTTGAGTGCGTTGGAAAATCCGCGTCTTACCACGTTGAAATTTAAAAATACCTGATCGGCGAAGTTTCGTACGGTTGGCAACGAATGCGTTGTTCTGAGAATTCGTCGACTAAATGTTATCATGTGGTGCAATGATTAAAAATAAGCGAATTATTAAATTAGTAAGTTCTGGTGCAATCCGAAGCTTTATACGCATTAGTTGCTACCCTTGGGCGAAATGCCATCATTCAATTTTATTCTCTGAATAAGAATACGCAGAAGCAAGCTTTTCAATTCCAAAGTATCTCCCAAGTATAATATAGTAATGTGTTAGTTATATATTCTTCACTTCGTCTATACAATACATAAGAAACAGTTTGCAATAAAGTAGAATCACGTAACAGAATAGTTGAATAGTTGACAAAAACTGAATCTTGCACTGACTCAAATGTCCTATAGCGGCTGCAAGAGGCTTACACTTTTGTTTTATAACTGTTACCTGCAGCCCTTATACAACCTCTTAAATGACTGGTGTCCTATTAGGTGTGCCCATTCCGCTTGTATAGCAGTTCTAAGAGGGTTTTGCCAATGTTCTTACCGTATACAATCCAGTTTAAGGGATACTGTATAATTATTCTTGCAACTCTAATAGGAGTGATAATTGTTAGTTGGGCTCTCCTCTTGTATACAGAGGTTTGAAGTTTGGATTACATGATCTGTGATCGGCCGATTCAAATATTCATCGAGAAATTAACAAGTGAAGCTGCTTTAAGGAAGTCGCAGATCAGTCCTTTGTTATGTCAATCACCAAGACTACACAGTTCCACAAGTTCGCTAGCAAACACCTATGATACTCGCAATGTGAAAAACATTAAATTGTGCAATTCAGGACCAACCAAATTCAAATTTTTCCACCACGAACCTCAAAATAAGCAAAACTTGACGATCTTCCTGAACCCAGGCCACATATTCAATATTTTTTATGTTGTGCCTTGAAAGGAAGATGTCGGAAAGGGTGGCAGCTGAAACGTCAATGAGTAACAGTAAATATAAAGACGATGGAATGATCTTACGCGAATGGAAATGTTCGCAGTTTTAGAAACAAGGAACAGGTTGCCGACCAATGCGCAATACAATTTTCTAATTTTAGCTCTTCTTTGTGATAGATATTTTACGAGAACGCTACCAGTATAATATTAGCATGACTTCTGCTAAAAATACGAGTCTACAGACTTGGATTCTCTCTCGACCATCACAAGTATCAGGAAGTTTTTCGCTTTATTTTTAACTTCAGGAAAAGTCGTAATTCAAAGATATTTCTCATAATATGGATTTAATTTGTATAAACTGAATATTTGCTTTAAATGAAAGTCCTGTTTATCTACAAGGTATAATTTAATGGATACCTAAAAATACAGGGTATGTCTCCTTAGCTCATTTTAGGAACAAACATTTATATGAACCTCTTAACTTTCGAGCTACAGGGTGTTAAAATTTCAAGAGAAAATTCGTTTTTATCATAACTTTTCTAGATATTTTCATGAAATTCATTTTCTGATGTAGAGCATTTATTAATATTTCTCGCAGTGGCGTTCGTACTGGAGATTTTTCAAAAAGAAATATAGTACGAAATTGCTTTCTGCAAAAAAAAATTAAAATCCTCATGCAATAAATTTGATCTTTTGACTTTTTTCCACCTCATGCACCATTTACGCGTAAAAAATAAAAACCATTTTCATGCATTTGTGGTATAACGATATTATTCAGAATTCTCTTTTGTTTTTAAAATAACCATTTGATCGATTACGTTGCCGTCTTATTTTGACAAATACAGGGTGACTTTGAAGTTGAGTCATTAATTTTCAGATAATGATTGTAGAAGGAAGATAAACCAAAATATGTGTGTAAAAATAAAAAGAAAATTAAAAAAAAATTTTACCTTGTTTTATAAAGTATCCTCCCGACAAGTATTTCAGTGCGGACCTGTATTTGATCGTGAGGTCTTGGAGCACCGGCATGCCGTCCATATGTGAGGTCTTAAGTCACCTGATTCACGAACCCGTTGTACTACATTAACAAAGGCACGAGGGGTTGGTTGCACTCGATTGGGAAACCGATCCGCATAAACATGTGCCATTTTTTATTTCGTTTGAGCCACGCAACATACACCACTATTCACCACCGACTGACACTGACTCTATACAACTGAATGAAATAATTGTAAAAACATCGTTCCAAATTCTTTCGCTTTTTTGTTTCCGATGCGATGAACCGATAAGCCGGATTATATCCGTTGTCGCCAAACACGAGCACATAATATTATTATTGAGACAGGGCGGTACTCAAACTTCCAAAGGGCTATAACTTTGTTACTTTAATTTTACCAGAAAAATGGTAAAGGAAAAAAACATTTATTTTGATCAGATCTACTCACTGTTAAAATAAATGACTCAACTTCGAAGTCACCCTGTATATTTATTAGATTGCAAACCTTGGTGAAGGCTTCATCCTACTTGTTCTCAACGTTAGGGCCGTATCGTCAGTCGTTCCTACAATTGTAGGACGCCTTTATGACCTACTTGATTTCCATCGTCTTTTGTATACTTCAGAAAGGATGGGATATTTTTAGAGTTCTACTATTCCGTGTCAGAGTGGGCGCTCTCTTATTGTGAGGCTATGTTTTCGTTTTGAATTGAAGGAAATTTCAGGCTGTATAACAGATGATATAAATCAGAATATTGAAAAGTTTAATGCAAATGGATATTTGTAACATAACCTCAAAATAGAGCGCTGACACGGAACAGTAGAAAACCATGAAAATCAAGTAGGCGATAAAGGCGTCCTACAATTATAGGAACGACTGACGATACGGCCCTTTTTCGTCGTGAATTCGGAGACAACGAAGGAACGTTTTGATCTATTTATAGTTAAATATAGTCAACGCCAAACAAAGTGGCGTGCACGTCATCACGATAAAAATTCCCCGACCTAATGCCTAGGTTTCTATCACAAACAATTGCTCTATTGCAGTTTCATATTAATGTGATATATAAATTGTAAAATGGTCATTACTCTCTTATTATGGTTAATAGTCATATAAACATTGTTATTAAAATATCACATAAGTTGCTTTCTGATAAATTTAGACGCATTATGCGAAATAAAATGTTTTGCAAACGCTCCAATCACTTATCGACATGTAAACGCACTAAACCGATTTCGCAGCGTTGACACATTGTCACCTTGAAACTTATTTAAACTGGGAACTGACATTTGTATTAATTTTGAGACTGAATCAATTTGTGGCATTTCAAATCTTTATAAATCCTTTGGCCCCGCATACTGTAAATCAACAACTGTTTGTTTCAAAACAAAATTATTCATTTTACGAGTAGATAAAGGCAATTTTGGTATATAAAGATGCCCAAACAGTTAAATAGTCGGTGTAAGGAACTCGTGGCCTCGTTAATGCACTACTTTGAGCAAGAAAGGGACAACAACGGGCCTTTGTTGCCTTTAAATGCTGTTCAAGAGGTAGGTTACTAATAATTATATGTAATGTATATTAATAATAGTGAAATTTTATTTCATTTTTTGGAGCGTGTTGCTGCTGCTTTAAAAATTAGTTTAAGGACAGTTAGTCGTATTTCAGAGTGTGTGAAAAGTGATGCAAATTTAGAATCGCCCAAGAAAAAGCGGAGTTATATTAAACGTGTAACCAACACAGCGACATTGGATACAAGTGCCATTCGAGAAGTGATCTATAATATGTATCACAAAAGTAAGATCTTATTATAATAACTTATCAGAAATTTGCATTAATTTGTTAACTAAATTATAATGTCATATTACACATGGTTTCAGAAGAACAAGTTACGATACAAACTTTATGGTCTCGATTAAGAGATAGGGCATTATTTGATGGTAGTGCCACGTCTTTAAGGCGGTTGCTTAGAGATCTTGGATTTAAGTGGCTTAAGGACAATCCGCGACGAGGGCTCATGGAACTACCAAGTATAGCTTTGAAAAGGGTGGAATTTCTAAGGCAATACAATCAAGCCAAGGTTGAGGCCTTATACCAGTTTGTCTTCCTCGATGAAACTTGGATATTTCAAAATGGGACCATAGATCGCTCTTGGCAAAATGGAAACCAAAAAAGCGTGAAAGCTATTAAAACAGATGGTAAAAGGTATGTACTTTTACACAATTTGCACTATAAAATTTAAAACTAATATATTTTAGATACATTATATTACATGCTGGAAATGAAAATGGGTTTATTGAGGGTAGTGAAGCGATATTTTCTTCGAAAACAAAAATGAGCGATTACCATGGAGAGATGAACCAGGACAATTTTTTGAAATGGTTTCAACATCAGTTATTAGAAAAATTGGAGAGTCCATCTATGATTATACTGGATAACGCCCCTTATCACAGCATGATATTGAACAAAGTGCCCAACAATGCATGGACAAAAAAAAATATCCAAGACTGGTTGACAAATCAAAACATACCATTTTTAAACACAATGTTTAAAACAGAGCTATTGAGTATTGTTGCTCGGTACATAATGCTTCTTAATTATATATATTTTGGTCGACAGTTTATATTTCTTTTGTTTATTCCTATTCTTAAAATAACTGCTTTTTTAGAAACAAACCACCTAAAATATACGTGATTGATGAATTGGCGGAACAACATGGGCACAAAGTTCTTCGTCTGCCTCCTTACCATTGTATATATAACCCTATTGAGTTAATTTGGGGCATAGCAAAATGTTACTATAACAGGCATATTGGTAGAGATGGTAACAGTGAAAAAGACTGTTTGGATATGTGGAACGAGGCTCTACAAACGGTTACCCCAGACATGTGGAAAAATAGTGTTCCACATACTGAGCAAGAAATTTTTAAATGGTATGAAAGAGAACGAATTTTTGATCGACCAGACATCGAACCTTTAATAATCAACTTTGAGAGTGATGAAGATTCAGATTCAGACAGCGCTGAAGAAAGAAACTCCGACTAACTTTATTGTACAGAAAAAGCTTACACCAGTAGCTTACCTAATTTTAGAATGCATTTTTCTGTATGAATTCTGTAAAATAAATACCATGCATAAAATTTGGAGGACCCCATTTGGATTTTTATTCAGTACCTTTAAGCTATCAATTAAATATGGTAGTTTCATAGTGTCATCTGATCAATAATTGTCATACTTAATGATTATGCAAGTACAGATCTATAATTTTATTATACTATTATTTTTGTTCTCATTTGAGGTTAATATTGCTTATAAACCTAGATATGTAAATAATAAATTTTATTATTTTACAAAAAGTTTGGCAACAATGTAAATTTTTCAACACACCCACCTTGATGACGTGCACGCCACTTTGTTTGGCGTTGACTATAGGTAGAAATTGTGCATTGCATCCTGTGCCGAAAGATAATAATACGTCGCCCACGAACGCCTACAGTTTGTTGAGTCGCCGTTGTCTGGGAAATCCGATTTTCTTTGAAAATTGAATGAGCTGCAGTTCAAGTATAGAGCATTACATATAGTTCTGGCAATCTACTTGAATTTGATACAATCTTTTATTAAGCAAAAATAGAACGTTTTCGTGACAAAGTATAATTTTGCGGATTTTCAGTATCACAAGCTTTTTCAGCATTTTTATAGTTCACATTGCCAACTATAGAGGAAGTCCGCAAGAAAAAAACAGCTATGAACGCAGCTATAAAAATATATATGCTCATTATGTAGCTTGCTAGTATTTGCATCACTCAAACTTAGCGATTTAAAGAAACGTGTCTATCTATTTTTATTTTTGTACATAAAAGCCACACAAATAAAAATAAATCCAACTGAGGATCACATAGTTCCATCCTCCAGTGACGAGCTTTTTTATTTGGCAATCACAAATATAGCACTTTTATCATTATGTGCAACGGATGACGAAAGTTTCATACCTAGTGATTACGTTCGGAATTGTACACTTTATGCATCACGACTTTATTTATAAACTAACGAAGGTTTGTGAAACAAAAATCTATTTTTGCGTTATTCTTACGGCACATACACATCCTAGCGTTCCCCAAAAGTCAAATCGTTTATGTAACACTCACTGAGAGAAAAGACGCATCAACCATCCGCAGATTTGAAACAATCACTTTCACTAAATCAAAATGTCGAAATAAAGCATTAGTAAGGTTTAAGAAATGGATAAATACTTACGGAATGGATAAATTCGTACGGATTTTCTTACGCTGTCGGCATGGGACACATAGACGTGAACGAGATGAGAACCGCGAGTTATTTTTAGAGGAGTTCTGTTTGGATTTGGGCGTCAATGTTTCCAGAGAGGTAGACTAGGGAACCGAAAAAAAAAAAAAAATAAGAAAAGGCTTAGAATAATGGAAACTTGAGCGACATGATCAACTGAAACTTATATAAGATGAAAAGCATCCCAAATTTTGTTAGTTGTAGCTGTTTAGTCCATATTAAGTGTTTGTACCGAATTCCCCTGTATAGATAAAACTGCAATAATCGTATCATCACGCTTTAGGTGTTGCCCTTTTTGGATTTAGAACCTACAAGATTTTTTTTCTTTTAGAGAAAAAACATTTTTGAGAAATACTGTTGACATGCGACATAAAGAAGCAGTGTTTTTAAGATGGATGACTCTAAGCTGCTGCCATTTCACCAGGACTTTCCCTACATCCTTTTTAATAGTTTAGATATGGCTTTTCTTATAAAAAGCAATTTTTTCTTGACCTCTCAACATTTTGTTATTACCTCCTAGGCCAAAACTGGCGAGAAAGTATTGGAATCGAGAAAAATGTATATTATGAAAGGTACCGCTAGCACTTAGATGATTTTTTTCGCAAAAGGTTACTACTATGCTAAGGAATAAGAAGCTTTGTAATTTTTGAAAAAAAAACAAAAAATAAAAATCGCTTAAACTTCGTTCATGACATTTTAGAGGTTCCTGATCATTTTCGGAAAAAAATTTGTAGTGGTTGAAACTTGCTATTTTGCGAAATTACGAGTTACAATTTTAATCACTTTCTATTTATCGATAAACCTAGGACTTGTAATAGTATGCTCAAAATTACAGCATTCCTAGTCGGTATTCGATTTTCCATGTCATTTAGTATATAATGTGCGCATACTTCTGAAATAACGTGCAATGGGTAACAAACTCCAACTAGAATGCGGTGGTGTCGTCACTGACACACTGCTACAGGAGAAATATTTTTATATTTTATAAAAATTTGGATATTAATAGTAATAGGGAGTGTAGAGTCAATCTACTGGACGCTATTTTTTAGGGAATTTATTTACATAGAAATACATTCAAATTGTTCTATTAGTTTAGAATCACAATATATACAGGGTGGCGCATCGAAAACGAAACAGACGCATTTACTGGCAGCTCAGTTTTTTTTGTAAAAACGCTCAGACTCGTCGATTTTTTCTTCGAGGGGTCACAAGTTTGGCAAAAAATCACGCTAACACGTGCAGCCCCCTGGGCGGGGGTGACACCAACCCTAAAATCGTAAATGGAAAGGGGGGTCGAGTGATACCTTATTTTAAAGGTCTTTCAATTCCCTTTATAATGATGTAAAATACATGAGCTCCAGTTCATTAGTTTTGAAGATTTATTGATTTAAAGGTTAAAGTAGACTTTAATAGGTACATCAGATTAGTTTGTACTACTTTCAGAAGAAATTTGACTAAAAGAATTTACTTAATAAGTAAATGCTTTTCTTCACTACGCCCATGGTTTGTTTAGCATTTTGTTGTTGAAAATAGCTATTGGAGCGTTTTTTGTGGCAAAAAAGTTATTTTTTGAAGAAAGATAAGGAAATATCTCGTACTTATTTTAAATATGAATTTAGTACATAGTTTGCGATTGATTTGACCAAACTTTGTTGCTAAAAAAACTGAGCTGCCAGTTTCGTTTTCGATGCGCCACCCTGTATTAATGCCTAGTAGAAAGTATGGCACCGATTTTCGGAAGCCATGTTCAATTTTGATACAGAAAGCACCTCGAGACTCGCATGCGTTTTGGCAATGTTAGCAGCACGATAGTCAACAAACAAATGCAACATTAATCTCTAGTGCAGCTAAAATTATAAACCGGACAACAAATAGTGCACTTGGCACTGTCAGTATCTGCATCTAAAATGATTCTGAAGGTACGTCTATGCGAACAGTGACGGCGTATTTTCTAGTGAGGTATCAAGGTAAAACCCAAATCAGAAAGACGAATATCACTTATCTGTGGTTCTGAAATGCGTTAAAATAATCCTCATTTTAATCAAAACCACTGGTTGTTGTAAATAGATGATCTAGTTTGGACGAATGATCGAGCTTTAGGTGAAACCAAAGTTCGGACATAGTTGTATCATTCGGAAGAGGGGTCTTCCAAGGGGACTCTCTAAATCCCCTGCTCTTCTGCCTCTCATTGCTCCCGTTTTCTGTTGCGTTGAGAAATGTGAAAGGATACAGTTGGGCATGCCCAGCAACCTCCCCAACGGATGAAATACTGATTGGTCTTATGTCAGAATATAATGTTGGTTAATTTATTTTAATTAGAGATAATTCTAATGCTTGTTCCATTCTGAAAATAATCCTTTTTTCAGGTAGGTATTTAAGATGTGTAATTTTGCTTAGCATTCTGACTGACACGCCATCATTCGCAAGGCATTCGATTTCAGAGTCGGTTGGTTTAAACCTAAATCGATTACTAAAATTCTCAATCAAATATACTCTCGAAGTGCTTCTAGAGTCTGAGGAGGACGTTGCAAATTGAGCAATCTCCTACTCATCATATCCCACACGTGCTCAATTGGGGATAAGTCGGGAGATCTTGGTGGCCATGGAAACAATGTGACATCATTATGTTGAAAGAAGCCTATTGTGACTCTTGCAACATTTGGTCGAGCATTATCTTGTTGGAAAGTTGGATCTGCCAGGGTGTCAAGATAGGGTAAAAGATGGGGTTCTAGAACTTCGTGGATATAACGCTGCGCGTTCATGTTACCTCTGATGAAGATTAAAGGTGACCTGGAACCATAAGCTATAGCACCCCAAACCATAACTCCAACAGTGTGATGAACATGTCTTTCAACAAAAAACTGTGGATTCCTCCTTTCACCACGTCGCCTTCTAACCCTGGCACGACCATCGTGCATGCCTAAACAAAATCGAGACTCGTCACTAAAGACAATACTGTTCCATTCCTGATCCCAGAGTGACCGTTGTCTGCACCACTCAAGGCGATTTTTCAACTGCTCGAACTGTCTTAAGTATGGTCCTACCAACGCGTCAAGGTTATCGTACCTTCGCTTGTAAATTTGGTTCTTTAAGTAACCCCACAAGAAGTAATCAAGTGTTCCTATCCACTGATCATTAAAAGTAGTACTTAGAAAATGATAAGTACCTCTGGAGTTGTGGGCAGGTGCGCCATCTTGCTGAAAATGCAGATGATGTCTACTTATAAGATCCAATTCGTCTAAGAAATTAGTCAGAATTTCTGACATAAATTCCACATATCTTTCACCAGTTAGGGTTCCCTCATAAAAGAACGGGCCAACAATTTTTGAACCAATTATACCGCACCAAACGTTGAAACTGAAACGGACTTGTGGGCCTCTTGGATGTACTAACAAAAGATTTTCTCTTGACCAATAATGGTGGTTTTTTCTATTAAACATTCCAGAATTTGAAAAATTTGATTCATCTGTCCATAAAAGGTAACGAAAGTTATTTACATTTTGGCGACAGAAGCTAAGATACCAATGGCAAAAAACAAGTCTTCTCTCTGGATCCCCTGCCAAAAGCGTTTGAACTGGTCGGTACTTATACGGAATAAATTTGTATTTTTTTAAAATCCTTTGAACAGTACCAAAACTGAAATTAGAGTCCTTGAGAATATCTGCTATTGAATTCTCACGATAAGCTTCAAAATATCCAATAACTGCAATTTCCGTGGCCTCGCGTATTATGAATTCTTTTTTTGCCCTTGTTTTAGCAAAAACATTTTCGTTGCCCCTAAATTTTCGATAAAGTCTCAGAAAATATCGTTCATACGGTTGAATGCGAGCGGGATATAATTCACTGTAGTATTCTCTTGCTCTCAAGGAGGATTTTCTGCACACTAAATAGCATTCTAACATATCACACTTTTCTTCATGGGAGAACATTTTTCTTTAAATTAATGACACAATAAAGCTTATAAACAAGTATTTACACTAATGTTTGACATTATTTGATTTTATCATTGTTTTCCAAAGCCTTCTAGTTGCGAGTATGTCCAGTTTAACAATTTGTCGCTTATCTTAATGCTGTCAAATCGCGAACGCCATGTTGTTTTCATAGCCGTCTTAATATTATAATACTGCATATAATTAAAAATATTTATCGTTATTTTGACTTTATTTTTGACTTTAGCGAAAAAGTCATTATGAACTTTTTTGTTTAAGATTTGATGCTTTAACAGAAAAAAATATAATATACAGGGGTTTCCATTTAAAAAAATGTTATTTTACTGAAAAAAATCAAAATAACGACTCTCAATTGTTTTTTTTTATTTCTCATTTTTACCAGCGTTAAAAATGCTGCTAGTTTGCTAATTCAAACAACTTTGTATTTTCACTAATAACAAAGTTACTAATGGTGGACACTTAATTTGGATAACCCTGTAGTTTGCTATTCTACGATCGGCAGAGGAAAGATTTTTCGTTTTCTATTTTTCTATTAAAGTTCCAACAGCGTCATGGATACACCACTGACCGATACATATTCCAATCCGTGCCAGATTTTAAAAATATAATCAACACCGATGCGTCCGTCTCTTTCCAGCGTGAGCCAGAAAATGAGGATAGAAAATTTCCTGTGAATTATTCCAGATTACTAGCGTATCTCGCGAACCTCGCGAATTTTTTTCAAAAATAGTCATCTTCGGAAAGATCTCGTGGGTGGTTGGTGGAAATATGTGAACGTTAATCGGTGTTTAAGTTAATTATCAATTACATAACAATGCAGGAACACGTCGTTTTCGGTGGTTCAATGAATAGCTCGAGTTACTGATCGGTTGGAAAAATCGTGCCAAGCACTCGCTATGAGGTATGTGTTGTGATATTTTTACTATACACAGATCTACTCAGCTATTTAATGGTACTAGAAACACTAATTTCATACACCACAGTTGCTATTTAACCTACTATCAATATAAAATCACTTCCACTAAGTATGAAAATTGACAGTATTACTTCTAACCCCCAAGTAGCTAGAAAAAATACGGATGCTGCCCCAAAGTATTGCTTAAAATTGACTGAATATGTTGAAAACTTCTCTCAGGAAATGCTTGAACTAAAATGTATTATGATCTGGTGAAAATACATTTAATTTTCTGATACAAAATCAAAAATATCCAAATAGTTTTGTTTAACTGCACTTTGACATTACGTATCAAGGTTTCCCTGTTAAAAAAATGTTTTCAAACTTTTCAGGCTTGCACCGAATCTACTCCTCCTAACAGTATGTCTTTTGGTGATTGCCCCTATACAAGCTGAGAAAAAATCGCACGCTGCTGAAGTTCAAGATAAAAGCACAAAGCATCGATATGTCAGTGATAACGAAAATACGTGCAAAAGTAAAGGCTGCGAAGAACAAGAACAAAGATCTTCCAGGTTATCCAAGAAGGATAACAAAGGCAAAGATCTTGAGGATCGATTAACAGAAACGATTAGGGAAACTGAACAGAGACAAAAACAGAACAAAAAGAGCGCTAAAAAGTTGGCTAAAGATGAAGATGAACCACGAAAAGCGTTTTTTGAACGGATGAGAGAAAACATACAGAGCGTACTCAATAGGCTTCATCGAAATGATGACGACGATGAGGAAACACGTACACAGAAAAAAACACCGAAAAAAGGCGAATCGAATAAAGGACAGAAGTCTAAACGAAACGATAATGACTCAGAAGAAGATGATAAAAGGAATGTGGCCGATTTTCGGAGTAAAGGTGATGCGAATAAAAACAAAACTAGAATCATCAGTAAGAAAGATAAACGAGAATCTGATGACGGCGATGTTGACGGCTCAGCAAAGAAAAGAACTAAAAATATCGTTAAGGCAAATGCGAGAGATGATGATAACGATAGTGATGAAGACGATCAAGTTAAAAAGGAAGTTAAAGTTGTTAGCGGAAAAAGTCAGACTGATGTAAAGAATCGTGCTGGAAAAGGCAAAACAAAATATGAAAAGTCAAGGACTATTAGCAAAGAAATTGACGACGATAATGACGATGATGATGGCGACGATGATGAAAAAAGAAGTAACAAACAAAATAGGCCAAAGACAAGAGTAATAGGCAATAAGAGCAAAAAGGGTATTAGAGGACAACAAAATGAACACGATCAAGCGGAAGACGTAGACAGTGATGACGATGATAATGAGAAAGACAGTAAAATTAAACCCTCACTTGATGCACGCAAACAAAACAGACCAATGACAAGGATAGTAGGCAGAAAGGAGAAAGGACACACTAAAAATGTTAAAGATAAAGGCAAAGATGAAGATAGCAACGCTGATGATGATGAAGATGAAGATAATGGAGACGATGATGATGACAACAGCGATGATGAAGAGGAAGACAAGAAAATTAAACATCTATTCACTACAGATAAACAGAATAGGCCAAAGACAAGAATAATAAGCAAAAAGAACAAAGGAAGAGCTAAAAAAGGACAAAATGATGATGATGATGAGGACGAGGATAGCGATGAAGATGATGATAACGATGACGAAGATGCTGACGACGATAATGATGAAGATGATGACGATGCTGATGATTCTGATGATGATGAAGAAGAGAAACAAAGAATTTCCAAAGTAAGAATAATAGGAGGCAAAGGAAAACTGAAAGCTAGAGATAAGAAACAAGAGAATGATGAGGATAGCGAAGAAGATGACGATGACGATGATAGTGATGAAACAACAAACGTACAGAAGAAAATAAAGAGCAGAATAATAAGCAAAAAGGATAAGCTGATGGCTGCAAAGCGAAAGAACGAGCTAAGTGATGATAGTGATGACGATGATGACAGAACAAAAAAGCATTATCGATCTAAGACAAGGATAACAAGCAAAACGAGAAAGCTAAAGTTAGAAGACGATACAGATGATGACGACGACGATGATAACGATAATGATGATGATGATGGTGACAGCGATGATAATGATGAAAGTGTTCAAAAAATAAAAAACAGGCCCAAAACGACAATAATAAGCAAAAAGAAGAAACTTGGGATCGAACATGGCAAACGTGATAAAGGTGATGATGACGATGATCATGATGAAGACAGTAATGACAATGACGATGGTGAAAAAATAGAGAACAGACCCAAAACAAGGATCGTGGGCAGAAAAAGCAAAAAAAGAGTGGGAGATACAAAACACGATAAATATGATGACAACAGTAAGAACGAAGATGACGCTGATAATGACGATGACGACGACAGTGATGAAAAAGCCGACGATGGTCAAAAAGCAAAGAATAGACCTAAAACGAAGATACTAAGCAAACAGAACAAGCTGAGAAAAGAGAATAGGAGACACGATAAAGATGATGATGACGATAGTGAGGAGAGTGACGATGATGATGATCTACAAGGTAAACCAAAAACAAGATTAATAAGTAAAATAGCCGAAATTAAATCCAGAAAAGGAAAAATTGCTGAACATAGCGATGACGACGATGATGATAATAAAGGTAAGAACAAAGCCAGAGTGGTAGAAAGTCAGCTCAAAATGAAGCATCGTCATAGGGATGATAAAGATGATGATAGTGACGATAATGATGATGATGATGAAGGGATCAAAACCAGAAAACCGCTCAGGATAATTGGTAAAGCAAGCAAGCATTTTACAAACAGTACTTTGAAAAACTTTGATCATACTTATCATGGTCATTACCAAGAGAATGACAAATTATCCGCTAAGAAAAGCAAGCTAAAGGTGGTGGATGATGAGAAGGTATCAACAAGGCTGGAGCATATACATCGTAGGCCCAAAGCTAGTAAACATGAAGTGAGTGACAACGATGATGACGATACAACGGAGAAAAAAACTGAAAAGAGGCACCAAAAATCACACAAACAGCAAAGCATGAAGAAACCTAAATACGATGAGAGTCACTCTGAAGACCATGGCAACTTGAAGGGAAAGCGCAGTAGCAAAGGTATGTTAAAGTTTTCTATGTGCAGCTTCAGTTGATATGCACGAATGAAGTGCTTTTTTAAACGAAGTCTAAGTGAAGTCAATGGAAGCCTGAAGTATTTGCTTAAGATTACTATGTTTTTCAGGTGGCAAAAATGATAAAAATTACGGAGATGATGAAGACGACAACGATCATAATGATGGCAATGATGATGACGACGAAGACGAAGATAATGAAGATGATGATGGTAGCGATGATGATGATGAAGACGATGATGATGAAGACTATGATGATGAAGACGATGATGATGAAGACGATGATGACGAAGACGATGATGATGAAGACGATGATGGCGAAAACGATAAGAACGCTCATCGGAAAAATGGGCAGCAGCCATCTCGAAAATCTCAAGGATCAAGAAAATCTGCCAAAGATGAAGAGGAAGATTTAAGCAAGAAGAAAGTTAAGGAGAAGGCAGAGGAACCTTCAAATGAAGGCAAAATACAGTACAGTATCAAGTTCGCCCACGAAAAAGATAAGCCAACGAATACCACCGAAATTGACATGTTCGTGAGAAAAATACATGGGCTCGAGAAAAAGAAAAAGGGCAGGTGAGTGAATCCTAATAATAACTATAAATTTTTACACCTAAACTAAGTACAAAAGAAATTTTGAATGTATGAAGTCACTATGGTAATAGTAGTGATGGGGATTGAGATGGTATGACATGAAATTAGAGCAAAACCTAGGGCCGCCTGGGGTAGCTTGTTTAATCTTGTTTTGTATTCTCAGATTCCAAGATGACGACTATGATTTCGAATCAAGCGAAGAAGATGATATTCCGAAACGGCTCCACTTATTTGATGACGACGAAGATGACTACTGAAGTCTGAATGAAGAATTCCTACTAATTTTCCCAATCTTGTCCAATTGTTGATTATTCCATTAGTATTGTTGTTCCAAGTATTTTTACAATAAATATTTTATTACCTATACCTCGAACGTTTCATTATTAGCGTTGAGTATGCCTGTAACTTATTCATGTAGGATGATCATTAAGAAAACATGATTTTTTTCAGTTTCACGACATAGTCTAATCATATTAGACGCAAAAACCCCTGGCTTGCGAAATAATTGCAAGGTTTTATTGATGCAAGTTGTTCAAGAGGGTACCTATTTAAATCATGGACGCATAAAATGGGTACACCAATTTTTTGTTCCTGACAAAACTTTCTATTTGAAAAAATCAAGTAAACTGAAAAAGTTATTGTTTTTAACTTTAAAACGACTGTTAGGTCGTTCTCCTCAAAATTTTGAACAAAAATGAAGCGATTTACAGGATCCATGGCATTCTAGATCGAAAAATAAAAAATGTAATAAAAATGACTATATTTGTTAAATATTGACAAGTGAGGTGTTGTTAAGTTTAGAATGTCATTCTAGTTCGAAATAAGTAAAATATATTTGAATATATATAAAAATCTAAAGATGGAGTTCGTGTCTGGTCAAACCAGAGGTATGTCAAAGCAACTGAATATGCCAAAAAATGTAAATTCTTCTATGATACGCCACCCCAAATTTCGTTTTTCTGTCTTCAATAATAAAAAAGTCACAGGGGTGAGCCACCCTGAAGATTCACCCGGTATAGATTTTCTACGTCAATTATTTATTTATGCTACGATATTTAATAAGCTTTTACGGTATTTAGGTAATAAAGCTTGTTCTACGATACAGTAATAGAAGAGTAACGCTGTCCGCGACATCGGAAATATGCTCAATTGATTCATCCACACAGTGCAATCGAACTACGTGTTAATTATACGATATGGTAGAGTAAGTCAGCAGAATAAATCAATTCTCGCTAAAAAATTCACAGCACTGTCCGATCTAACCGGGAAATTGCCATATTAAGGTAAAATGTACATCGTTAAGCTCACGCAAAGCGAGTCTGAGCTCAAATAAGGGTTATTTTAACGACATTGTGTCTAGGGAGTTTGGTACATGCACAAACCATGGCAGAAGGTAAGTAGAAATTTACCAATTCACACCTAGAATGCATGTACCTTAGAAATTTGGGGAAACAGGATACAAAAAACTACACACCTCGACGATGCTTCAGTTTTTATTTCCCATGCCATTGTCATCGCGAAAAATTTCGAAATTGATACCTAACGTGTTTTTTGATGTTATCTGACATGTATGTACATCACGAAGAACCAAGTCACTCATTTTTGTCGGTCTACAACAAATGTTTGAAATGTCCACCAGCCATTTCCGTACACCTTCTCACTCGACGAAACATTGAACGATGTCTATTTTTTATTTTTTTCAGGTTTTAAAGTTACAGAAAAGCAGTGACACATTTTTTGCCAATAATATTCGCTAAGGTTTTCTAGAATATCTACGTCTAATTTTCGAACACCCTGTATGACAGGGTTTCATAATTTCTCAATTTTGTTTGATATGGAGGATCTAAAGAAACAAAAAAGCAAAAAAAAAATCACTGTGCTTTCTAGGATCGAACCCGGGACCGTAGGATTCAGATCCGTGTATCTGACCACTGCACCAATCAGTGGGTTGCGGAAACATCTACATAGTCGTACCGAACCATGGCTAACTAGATTATGCTGAGAGATTGAGCGACCGACGCACATTGCAACAGCGCAATTGTGCACCGGCTGGGGATATTTAAATATATTTGCTACTTTTGTCCAATGTTGCAGTCGAGGATGCGGGTTTATCCGAAATGGAATTTAAGCAAATAAAAAGACTTTCTTATGCATTTAGGTTAAAAAACCATAATCAAGGAGCCCGGCCGTTTTTTATCATTTTGATGAAAGGAAACCATGGATTTTATTTTGTTGCCTCTGGTAGAAGAAAGCAATCCTATTAAAATTTCTAAATTTGGTTGCTGCCCACGGGTAGGCGTAGCGTTGGTCTTCCTTCATGTGCTCCCGCTGAACTTTTTTTCAGAGAAGCGATCGTCGGCAAGAGACAACCTGTTGTGAAAGAGTAACTGCTCCCAAAGCTTTTTGAAGAGCGGGGGTATCAAATTTTCTCACGTCGAAGTATCTATGCAAATTTGAAAGTCCATCTAGATTTGGACAAGGAAAAATGTTTAAAAATCTTGGCAAAAAAGTTGAAAAAAACTAGGATCTGAAATCATTTTTTCATCAAAAACAACTGGTGTAGCTAAACTATAAGTCAACGCCAAACAAAGTGGCGTGCACGTCATCACGATAAAAATTCCCCGACCTGATGCCTAGGTTTCTATCACAAACAATTGCTCTATTGCAGTTTCATATTAATGTGATATATAAATTGTAAAATGGTCATTACTCTCTTATTATGGTTAATAGTCATATAAACATTGTTATTAAAATATCACATAAGTTGCTTTCTGATAAATTTAGACGCATTATGCGAAATAAAATGTTTTGCAAACGCTCCAATCACTTATCGACATGTAAACGCACTAAACCGATTTCGCAGCGTTGACACATTGTCACCTTGAAACTTATTTAAACTGGGAACTGACATTTGTATTAATTTTGACACTGAATCAATTTGTGGCATTTCAAATCTTTATAAATCCTTTGGCCCCGCATACTGTAAATCAACAACTGTTTGTTTCAAAACAAAATTATTCATTTTACGAGTAGATAAAGGCAATTTTGGTATATAAAGATGCCCAAACAGTTAAATAGTCGGTGTAAGGAACTCGTGGCCTCGTTAATGCACTACTTTGAGCAAGAAAGGGACAACAACGGGCCTTTGTTGCCTTTAAATGCTGTTCAAGAGGTAGGTTACTAATAATTATATGTAATGTATATTAATAATAGTGAAATTTTATTTCATTTTTTGTAGCGTGTTGCTGTTGCTTTAAAAATTAGTTTAAGGACAGTTAGTCGTATTTCCGAGGGTGTGAAAAGTGATGCAAATTTAGAATCGCCCAAGAAAAAGCGGAGTTATATTAAACGTGTAACCAACACAGCGACATTGGATACAAGTGCCATTCGAGAAGTGATCTATAATATGTATCACAAAAGTAAGATATTATTATAATCACTTATCAGAAATTTGCATTAATTTGTTAACTAAATTATAATGTCATATTACACATGGTTTCAGAAGAACAAGTTACGATACAAACTTTATGGTCTCGATTAAGAGATAGGGCATTATTTGATGGTAGTGCCACATCTTTAAGGCGGTTGCTTAGAGATCTTGGATTTAAGTGGCTTAAGGACAATCCGCGACGAGGGCTCATGGAACTACCAAGTATAGCTTTGAAAAGGGTGGAATTTCTAAGGCAATACAATCAAGCCAAGGTTGAGGCCTTATACCAGTTTGTCTTCCTCGATGAAACTTGGATATTTCAAAATGGGACCATAGGTCGCTCTTGGCAAAATGGAAACCAAAAAAGCGTGAAAGCTATTAAAACAGATGGTAAAAGGTATGTACTTTTACACAATTTGCACTATAAAATTTAAAACTAATATATTTTAGATACATTATATTACATGCTGGAAATGAAAATGGGTTTATTGAGGGTAGTGAAGCGATATTTTCTTCGAAAACAAAATTGAGCGATTACCATGGAGAGATGAACCAGGACAATTTTTTGAAATGGTTTCAACATCAGTTATTAGAAAAATTGGAGAGTCCATCTATGATTATACTGGATAACGCCCCTTATCACAGCATGATATTGAACAAAGTGCCCAACAATGCATGGACAAAAAAAATATCCAAGACTGGTTGACAAATCAAAACATACCATTTTTAAACACAATGTTTAAAACAGAGCTATTGAGTATTGTTGCTCGGTACATAATGCTTCTTAATTATATATATTTTGGTCGACAGTTTATATTTCTTTTGTTTATTCCTATTCTTAAAATAACTGCTTTTTTAGAAACAAACCACCTAAAATATACGTGATTGATGAATTGGCGGAACAACATGGGCACAAAGTTCTTCGTCTGCCTCCTTACCATTGTATATTTAACCCTATTGAGTTAATTTGGGGCATAGCAAAAGGTTACTATAACAGACATATTGGTAGAGATGGTAACAGTGAAAAAGACTGTTTGGATATGTGGAACGAGGCTCTACAAACGGTTACCCCAGACATGTGGAAAAATAGTGTTCGACATACTGAGCAAGAAATTTTTAAATGGTATGAAAGAGAACGAATTTTTGATCGACCAGACATCGAACCTTTAATAATCAACTTTGAGAGTGATGAAGATTCAGATTCAGACAGCGCTGAAGAAAGAAACTCCGACTAACTTTATTGTACAGAAAAAGCTTACACCAGTAGCTTACCTAATTTTAGAATGCATTTTTCTGTATGAATTCTGTAAAATAAATACCATGCATAAAATTTGGAGGACCCCATTTGGATTTTTATTCAGTACCTTTAAGCTATCAATTAAATATGGTAGTTTCATAGTGTCATCTGATCAATAATTGTCATACTTAATGATTATGCAAGTACAGATCTATAATTTTATTATACTATTATTTTTGTTCTCATTTGAGGTTAATATTGCTTATAAACCTAGATATGTAAATAATAAATTTTATTATTTTACAAAAAGTTTGGCAACAATGTAAATTTTTCAACACACCCACCTTGATGACGTGCACGCCACTTTGTTTGGCGTTGACTATAGATAAATCTTGTCTTTCGGTGTTATCAGTTTAACAGGCCACCTCATCATAGTACAGTCAAATTCCATAGCTGAGAACAAGTCAGCTAGCGTTTTTTAGCCGACCGAATGATATTGAAATTCTGTGTTATTTTTAGATCCATTTGGTAAAAACAGCGATGAATATATAATAGACGTACCTCCTTTAGACTATAATCCAGAAGAAAGAGGTTTGGGATATCAATACTTTGAGAGCATGAAGAATTATGGTGATAGAATTGCGCAAGTATGTTTTTATTTAATTACAATTCTTTATAACAATACAACACTAAGCGGAAAAGTCCGATGACACTGTTGTACAAAGTCTTTTTTGTTTTCTATATCCATTCATAGATCTGACGTGTAAGCAAGGAATAGCTGAGGTCCAAGTACAGAGCCCTGTGGAACACCACTCAGCACTAGGTGTGGGTCACTTAGAACCCCATTTGCTCTTACTTGGAAAGTTCTGTCCGCAAGAAACGCCTCTTTCCAATCATCTAAAAATTTCCTTTATCAAAGGCTTTTTCGAAATCAAGATATATTATATCTGTGGAATTTCCATCGTCATCCATATTTGTGCATTGTTGTAAAGTATGTGTATGACGTTATTTTGGAGTAAGAATTGTGTGAGTTCCCGCGATATGATTTTTTGCATGAGTTTACAAGGATTACAAGCTTTTTATCACCTTTTTGTATATACTAAGAGCATACATGTTTTTTCAATGTTGAGATTCGATCTTCTTGTAACTTGTATATATTGGAAATTAATTTAGTTTCAAGCTAACTTGACGTCAATTATTCTTCTTTTCGTCGGCCAAATACGGCAGCGAGACGTTCTGAGCGTTGCCAAATGAGGAAATTGTGTAATATATATTACGATTTATTCTTTAGTACATCGAAGACACTGATGAAGAGGACACCTACGAAAACCTCCTGACAAGGTGCATCAGGGTTGCGATATGGCTGAAATCTAAAGAGCTGACCAACGAGGATGTGGTCACCTTGTGTTCAAAGAACCACAAAGACAGTTGTGTACCGTTCATAGCTTGCTTGTTTTTGGGGATACCTGTAGCGTCTTTGGATCCCATGTTGTCTGCTATGGATACCACGCATTTGCTCAAGGAAGTTAGGCCAAAAATATTGTTTGTGGAATCCAAAAGTGTCAGACTTATCGACGACTGTTTGACTGAGGCTGGTGAGTAAAGACGTACTTGTTGTACACACCAAGAATTAGTAGATAACGCGGTGTGTCTCAGTGCCGTATCCTCAGTCGTTAATGCAATTGTTAGGGCGCCTTTATGGCCTTCTTGATTTCCATAGTATTTTATCTCCTTCAGAAAGGCTGGGAAATTCCTGTATATCTATTGTTCTGTCTCAGCGTCAGCGCTCTCCTATTGTGCTCTGTTTTTGAATTGTAGGAAATATAAGGCTGATATAACAGGATATAAATCAAAAGCATAAACAACTTGATGCTAGACATTTGCAACCTAACCTCAAAATAGAGCTCTGACACGGAGCACTAGACAACTATGAAAATCAATGAGGCCTTACAGGCCTCCTACAATGCGCTTTCTAGTTCATTCTGGTGAATTAGTTCAAGAGGTCACCCTCACTAAAACGAACCATTTTACACAAGAATAATAATGTCATGGAAAACGTCACTTCTCCATCTTTCATCTGATCTCCGGAGCTAAGCAGCATCGGGCGCGGTTAGCACTTGGAAGGGTTACCGCTTCGGAACACCTCGAATTGTTGTTTTCTTTTTGTATTTTTTTAAGATCGATGTTTCAAATTTAAATACTTCCATAAACTGTCGCTCACATAGCAGATGTAGCTGTGAGATACACGTTTTCTAACAATCTCAAATAATATACACTTTTGTTTTTCAATGACACCAGTTCAGAAGGTTTTCAATAAACCTAGGCAACACTAGATATGTAGTACGAACTGAGGAAGAAGAAAACAGAATCAGACCTTTTGGACGATTCTGACCTTGAGGTAAAACGTCTTTGCGCAGATTAAAATCCAGTCGCAGCAGGCACTATCGAACGAGATAAATATTTCATGTCGTGCTTTTGCAGGAATAGATGCTGAGGTTGTTGTGTATGGCGAAATAGAAGATCACGCATGTTTTCAAGAATTGTTAACGCCCCAAGAAGATGAAGGTGAATTTCAGCCTGAAGTCGTTGCTAGCTTAGAAGAAACAGCCATTGTTCTGTTCAGTAGTGGCACCACTGGGTTGCCAAAAGGAATCATGATTAGTCATTACGCTTTGCTTATGCAGTGTCAAAATATGAAGTGAGTTGACTACTACAGAGTTTTACCAATCGCCTATTCTGATTTTTACTTTACTAGAAAAACTAGTGTTTTTCCTAAGTCAACTTTATTCGTTCTAAACAATAACAACTGAACACAATTGAAAATTCTCGATATTCGGCGCAAGGTGTAATACTGGTTGCCTAGACGCTACGATATTGCCAACAGGATATTATGTTCAAAATGGACCTTTACTGATACAGTGTCCATTACTCTCACAACTACCCTACGGCAAACGTAGGAAATCAGAAAATGAGTTTTAATCTTCGCCCGAGGAAACACGTATCGGGTACTGAAAACAGGTTTGGCGATTGATAAAATTTTGTAGAGCTGCTATCACCCAAATAACTGACGCCATACACGAGTTTCAAGAGTCCGGCCCAGGATATTACGTATCTTGAAAAGTGACATATAGATTTTTTTACGTAATAACATTATCAACAACTGAAATGGCAATCTTTCAAACTTCCCACAATAAGCAAGGTTACCTTGAATACACTAGGATTAAATTAAACATCGTGTATCCTAAACAGTCAAATAGAAAGCAACCCTACGTTTACTGGTGTTTATATGTCATTGCAACAGATGTCGCTACCAGTATTCGCCATAAATCGTTATCATTGCACTGGACATTCAAATTATGAAACAAACATTTAAATCTACTAGAATTACTTCGAGTTTATTATGAAAGCCAACGAAAATGTACCGATATCTAACATTCATCTTTTATGTTACTAATAGGCCAAACAAAAACCCCGCATTCGTACCACATATTTTCCACTCGCCTTTTTTCTTATTTTATTTTATCACGTTAGTTAGATGTCCTTAAAATGTATGGTGTATCTGAAGTCACTTGAAATAGCATAAAAACCTTTGGTCGGCGCGTCCTTTGTAATTTCATGACGTATCATAGGCGTGCGGTCATTTATTTAGAACGATAATAATAATGTTTTTATATCACAATAAATGGATTTTACTATCTTCTTATTTTTTTGATTTGGGATAAAAAATACTTATATTGGGAGTTTAATTTATGTTGACTGAAAGTTAAGAAATGGAAAAATTACAGAATTCCAACGTTTGACATAGGCAAATATTTACATAGCAGGTAGGTATATAAAAAGGTATATAAAGACTTACATTATAGGTATTTATATATCATCCTCGCCTTCGGAGCTGTCGCTAGAGTCATCTTGTAGAGGAATTACAACGGGATTTACAGGAGGCAAAACACAATATTCATTTTCTTTTTCAATAATATGCCTAGAACACTGCTTCCATAGGTCTGTGGCAGCAATATGAGATACTGCATCTCTTATTGTGGCCAATAGCGATTCACTTAATTGAGGGGTCTGATTATGTTTTCTTTCTATTTTTTTATGCAGCCCAGATCAACTCAATCGGGTTAAAAATGCAGTAATAGGGAGGTAGATGTAATACTTCATGGCCATTTTGCTGAAGCAGATTGTCAACAACATACTCTTTTTCAAATTTTTGTCTTTTAATAAGATCCAATAATATGGCTTTGGTTGATTTTTGTGGTATTTCCATTCCCTTATCCTTCATAAAATCAATAATATCTTGTTTTTTTGTGCCTGTATTCGGAATTTTGTTTTTCTGTCGGGAATGGTATGGCGCATTGTCCATAATAATCGCTGAATTTGGGGAAATGTTTGGTATTAACTGCTGCTCTATCCACTTTTCAAATAAGTCGGAGGTCATGTCCTCATGATAGTCGGCACATGATTCTTTGATAACAGATAACAGCAAGGCATTAGGTATAAATCCATTTTCACTGCCAGCATGGAGAATAATGATTCGTTTTCCACGGTTGCATGGTGCATTTAAAATGCACTTGTTGCTGTCGTCAACCCAGCCGTACTGCACAACATCATGGGTATCATACCACGTTTCATCCAGGTAAAATCAGATTTCTTTTCTGCTCTCTATAGATTTTAACTTTGTGCAAAAATTCTTGGCGCAATTCAACGATTCGAGACGACTCCATAATCACCATTCTTTTATCTAATTTTTTGTATTGAATACCACACAGTTTTACAATACAGTGCAGTGAGTCTAAGCATTTGAAATTATAAAAATCTTCAGGATAATCTTTTAATTTATCCCGTATCATTTCCAACGTGGGCACCAAATTTTCTTTATAAAATCCGTATATTATACGACGAATATCTTCCTGAAAACCCACGTCTATTCTTTTTAATTTTTGCCCTATGCGCTTTCTGTGGAAGGAATGGTTGACTACATCTCCCCTTTTTATAACCCGATAAATGGTAGACCGACTGATTTTTGTCAGGATACAAATTCTGTTTAAAATTTGATTTTGCGAGGAATCTGGATTTTCGTTTTTCAGACAATCATACATATTTAGGATTACTCTTTGGGTCTGTTCCTCTAAATCTTTATGAAAGAATTCTGCCTGCACAGGTTCATCAACCATCTCCTCGTGGCTTGGAGCATTTTCCCAAGGTCTCCAAAGAGTCATATTTAGGACACACAAGAACAATCAACACAACAATTAAATCAACAAGTAAACTGAGTATTCAAAAGTCAAAAACACACAAACTAATAAAATCTATGAAAAAACACGGACAGACTAAAGAAAACACGTTTATTCACCGCTACACGGCATTGGCTAAGCTGTTTCAATTTTCAGTAGCCACCTGCACTTGTTCGGAGCTCTGAAATACACGCTTTCTCATTGGCTATGTCCACGCATAGGCGTGCTTTACTCCAGGTGGACCGGTGAAACTGCCTTTGATCTTATACGGGGGATATTTGCTTCGAAATTTGGCGATTTTTGCAGCAACAGAGCGTGTTAAATATAGATATATAAAACGCACCCGGTATTTCACAGTGTTTCAAGTGACTTCAGATAAAGTATACCTTTCAAGAGGTAGGCATGAGAATGATGGTATGCCATATGGTTATATAAACAAAATGTTGAATAATAAAGTTTCTCATCATGTTTTTATTCTTATAATTGTAGGCAGTCGGAAAATTTCGGGAATGTTATGCTATCTTATGCTACTTTATACTGGATCTCAACAGTTATAATATTGACTACTATGACTTACATAGGAGGAGCTAGAGTGATATGCTCTAAATTTAATCCTAAACAAACGTGGTTACTTATTGAAAAGTATCAGGTAGGAACTGACGTGTTTGATCATTTTAGAATCGAGAGATTTCTGTGGACGTCGAGACCTCGGTTTATTAAAATTTGAGTTTATAGGTGCATGGTAGGTTCCTATTTGATTTCTTTTTCTAGATAACATCTATGTTTATACCGCCAAGCCAAATGGCGGAATTGATAGCATGCGGTAGACCAGAAAATTTGGACACCTCAAAATTGCACTGTTGTATCAGCGGGGGAGCGTCAGTGTCTGAAAAGCAAATGAGAGAAATAAGGGACTTGTTGCCAGGAACATTCGTCTTTCAGGTACGCTCGCAAATCTCGGGATCAACGGACGTAAAACGTGAGGAGGGCAGAGAGAAAAAAGTTAAAAAATTCGTTCATCTTGGGCGTGTCTGAGTACAGACCTAAATTTTTTATCATTCTCCCAAATGGAATACAAAATCACGTCAAGTACAATTTAAAGGAATTATTAAAAGATAAAAATGTTTTCATGTTCGTGATTTTATCAGTGTTTTTACCTTTTTACCTTCATCTCGGTTATACTTACCTTAGGCTTTTGCCTACGAGGCTGTTTGGGAAATAACAAAAAGTGAGAGCCGACAATATGGATAATGCTGATTTTTATATGTACATACATATCGGGGAACATTTTAGGTCAACCTAGCATTCAAATTGAAACTGTGTTTTCAGATGTACGGTCAGTCGGAAATCGCAGGAATTATAACAATATTCAACTCAAACGATGTGAAAGATGTCCTCTTACTGGACAAGAAACCAAAATCTGTAGGAAAAGTCGTAGCTGGTATCTGTTGTAAGGTTAGCATCATCCATATTAAACAAATTAATCTACATTTTTATATACAAATTCTTTATTTTTAACGTTAAATATCATAAGCAAGATTTTTTGTAGGTAGTTAATCCTGACACCGAAGAACTGTGCGGCCCAAATAAAAATGGCGAGCTGCGTCTGAAATCGAAGATGTCGATGAACGGATACTACGGCAGAGATTCCTCAGAATCATACGATTCTGATGGATGGCTCAGAACCGGTGATGAGGTCTACTATGACGAGGATAAGTGCTTCTACGTTGTGGACAGGATCAAAGAGATGCTCAAATACAGATCTTGGCATGTCGCTCCCGCCATGATAGAGCAGGTAATGGTCTGTTGAGCTGGGAAAATTACCACTTTTCTACATTAAACTATTAGTGATAGTGAGCGCGATAGATCTGAAATCGTTGAAATATGCTTTGTGATACATGAAAAAGCGATTAGGGTACGGATCGCCACGAAATTCGAGCCCGTTGTACTACATTAACAAAGGCACTCGATTGGGAAACCGATCCGCATAAACATGTGCCATTTTTTATTTCGTTTGAGCCACGCAACAGACACCACTATTCACTCACGCGTTACCGACTGACACACTGACTGTATAAAAACATCGTGATCAGCGTTTCAAATTCTTTCGCTTTTTTGTTTCCGATGCGATGAACCGATAAGGCGGATTATATCCGTTGTCGCCAAACACGAGCACATAATATTATTATTGAGACAGGGCGGTACTCAAACTTCTAAAGGGCTATAACTTTGTTACTTTAAGTTTGCCAGAAAAATGTTAAAGGAAAAAAACATTTCTTTTGATCAGATCTACTCACTGTTAAAATAAATGACTCAACTTCGAAGTAGCCATCATGTAAAGCGTAACATACACTTGTTTAGTATAATTAAACATTTATTGAAAACCTTCCAGAAGAGCCGTTCAATTGATCACGTTTTCTCAGTGTTGCCGTTGCTTTTTAGATACTGATGACTCATCCAGCTGTTAGCAAATCGGTGGTGATAGGCGTTCCGCACGAGACAGACGGCGACCACCCACTGGCTGTGATAATCCTGAACGAGAATCAAAAAGACGTGACTGAAGAACAAATCGCCGATTACGTGGCTAACAAAGCTCCCGATCGGATGAAGTTAAGAGGGGGCATCAGGTTTTCTAAATATATTCCGATGACTCCGTCAGGGAAGATCAAGAGAAAGGAACTCAGGGATATGGTTTTGAATGGGAGGTTGTGAAGACGAAGATCGTGTTATGTAGACTATATTTGTTCTTTCCTGTGTTTCATGTTAAATAAATAAAAAAAGTGATTTCCAAAACTGGATTAGAAGACTTGTTTTTGAAATTATGACGTGTTTCATTTACTTACTATGCCAAAACTGGAGAGGAAGCATTATTTGGTGGGTTATAGATGAATAGGAAGCGCATGCGAGGTACGGCTCACAAAGTATATATTGGGGTTTTATAAAATCTCAATTTTGCTTAATATGGAGTATCTAAAAAAGAAAAAAAACAACCTGCTTCCCAGGATCGAAGCCGGGACTGTACATTTTTAATCTGAGTATCTAACCACTACACCAATCAGTCGATTGTAAATCGGTTTCAGAAACATTTACGAACGATTTGATTTTGTGGTATGTTAGAATCTTGCCAGCCGTCGCGCAACGACTCACGTTTATTGCAACAGCGCAATTGTGCACCAGTTGAGGATATTTCAGTAGATTTTCTACTTTTGTCCAATGTTGCAATCCAGTATGCGCGGTTATCCGGAAAGGACTTCAAGCAAATAAAAAAAGGACGTTTTCAGGAAAAAAAATTATAATTAAGGAGCGTTTAAAATGATGGAACGATGCTATAGATTTTATTTTGTTGCCTCTCATAGAAGAAATTGCTAAATTTGAGACAACCCTATGTGAAAGTGTACCTGCTCCCAAAACTTGATGCACTTCATGAAACGCCTTTATGCAATATATGATATATGAAAATCTTGACCCGGGTCACGGACGCCAAATTAGTATCTCACCGAGCATATCGTTATACCTGAACTCAATATTTGTTGACTTTTTGTCAAAAATGTAACCTCCCAACATCTATCAGTAATTAGGTCATAAGAGTTTTTTTTAAAATGGGCGAACTGCTAAGATCCATCCTTAAAAAGCGTGTAATTTTCAAGATAACTGAAATTGTAAGTATGTTAAATTTTATATAATTATATAGTATAGTTTATTTGAACTATGTATTCGTTGGTTGCCCTCTTCTTTATTGAGGATTTTCAATAGCATAGCTTTAGCCCCAAGAATGTTCTTCTAATTACTTCAAAGACATATATGGTAGGTATATTGTAGATCTCTTGCAGGTTCTTTGTATAATAGCCCTTGTAATGGTGGAATTAACGGAGCTCTACTTTTCAAGATGTGCGTACGAAATGGTGATCTTGGGCACGGGAGGATACCTGCTGATTTGCTCTGTAATGCTGTTGACAATACTTGCGGATGAGTTATCACCGTACGCCGAAATATCATTCTTGTTGTTTGGATCCATCTTCAATCTGTTAGGGGGTATCCTCATGTTCATCAGGTAAGCCAGATTGAGTTCACATTACCCACTACGTTGAACCTTATTATTAGAAACGTAATGTAGTATTCCATTTTTTTTTACTGGATCATATCACAGTCTTGTTTTGAACATTCCGGTACTCAAAAATATGGTGAGGGTATTCAAAAATTGTGTAACGACTATTTGAAGTCTAATTTATTACTTCTACGGTAATTTATAACAACACTTGCTCACCGCCCGCTGTTCGTTGACTGACTGTCCTTTGAAACTGACGAATTCCAGAGACTATGTCCACCGATACTTCTCGATGATGCCGCAATCTCTACCGGCCTTGTTGCTCGGTGGCGTAACTGTGGTTGCCTGAACGTTGATACTGCGTTACTCAACCTCCTAGTTACGAGATCATTACAATTGTTTTATGCTCTATTTTGTTGAGTTTCAGATCCGGCTTTTACAAAAAGAACTTCAGGTGGACTTACGTTGGTCCTGTGAACGGTACAGCTACCGAAAAATACGAAGTATTCGCTGCGACCGCTGTTACCGGACTCAGTTCTGTTATGATTGTCGATCTGCTTGTCGAACTTTTCGCCTTAATTCTCTCTTAATATTAAATACTTTTCAATAGTTAAAGTGAACAAACCTGTGTACGAAACACCATATTCTCGTTTCAATTACCCTAAGAGAGGGATTCGTTGCTAATTGATGCAAAGTTCTGTCGAAAAAATAGCGTCAATCTATACGTACTACCTACTCCTTCGTTGAAGGTTTCAAAGACAAGGGTGTCAAATCGTTTCAAAAGGCGAAATCAAATCGTGATTAGGTAGAATCACCTTCGACCTTTGTACACATCAAATTATATAAAGCAATTTTCCGTGATTTCTATACTACCTCGCAAGTTTTGGCATATGAAGTAAAAATATACGTATGTTCTATTTGTGATAACATTTGCAAATATTATTTAACGCAAAAAAGAATATGTTTTGTAATGCTTATCATTTCTTAAGACCCCACTTGGTAATACCACGATAAAAAGTTCAACAGTTTAATATCAACAAATTAGAAAAATATCAGACAGTGTTGCCAAACTGCTAACTGCAAAGTTTTATAGTGAATATGGGCGTTGGAGTTTAAATATACAATGTGGCATACTATACTACAACTATTTAAAACTGTAATGACTCATACGCGTGATCAACACGTGATCAGAGCTCGATCCCGGCTTCCTTCTAGTACAGCCGTATAGCGTACGACATATGCCGTTTCTGTGGCTTTGCGGTGGTCAACAGCACAGACAGAGATGGAAATAATGGCTGATTGTTCTCCGCCGGTAGAACCAATGAAATCAAAGACGCGCCTCGACCGGCAGACTCATAGGCGTCGGCAACGCATTGGAACGTGTTTCGTTGAGCGATCGCATATTGTGTGTTTTTATAAGAATTGTTGTGTGATTGTTATTGTTTCTGTGGTTACTGTTTTGGTTATACTTAACCATGGAGAGTACAAATGGCACGAGTGGAAGTACTGAAAGCCAGGGAACAAGTAGACGGCTTCGTAAAGCACTGAAGAGGGACGTGAAAGAAATCGTGCTCAACGTGTTCAATTATCTGAACAGAACTATGTCGCAGGGAGATGCACTCGCGCGTTGTGAAAGTATGACAGGCGTTCCAGAGTGGACCATTCGCAGGGTGGTGCATGAAAAGAAGAAAACTGGAGCTACTACTGATCCAAAGTTTAATTTGAAGGGACGAAAGGCCGTTAAATTGGATAACGATAGCAAAATGGCGTTAAGGCGAACCGTACATTCATTCTTCTTTAGGAATGAGATACCAACCCTCAAGGCTGTACATGCAGCGATCAAGGAAAATGAAATTATACCCCAAATGAGCGTCGAGGTAATGAGGAAATCCCTGCACGAAATTAATTTTCGTTACGAAACGCGTAATCGGAAGTCAGTATTGATAGAGAGACCTGAAATAGTCGCCTGGCGTCGAAAATACCTACGCGAAATGATTGAATATAGGCGACAAAGCAGAAAAATCTATTATTTGGACGAGACATGGGTAAATGCAGGTCACACAGTTAAAAAAACCTGTATAATCAAAAACGTAGTGAGTAACCGACAAGCAAGCATTGAAGGTTTGTCAACAGGTCTTCGTGGACCGTCAGGGAAAGGTCAAAGATTGATCGTAACTCACATTGGTAGCGATAGTGGCTTTTTAGAAGAGTGTGACTTGATTTTCGTCTCTAAGAAAGGAGGTGATTACCATGATGAAATGAATGCCAGCTGCTTCGAGAGCTGGTTTCAAGGGGTGCTTCAGCGAGTTGAGCCCAACTCTGTAATCGTCATGGATAATGCTCCCTACCATAGTCGTCGAGCCGAACGTGTACCGACTATGGGATCTCGAAAAAGTGACATGCAGCAATGGTTGCGCGAAAGAGGAATCCCGTTTGACGATTCATGTGTGAAAGCGGAATTGTATGAAAAATTAAACAGCACAAACCTGCGAACATTAGTTACGTGACTGATGAGATCCCGTCAATGTGGTGTCACTGTGCTGCGGTTACCGCCCTACCACTGTGAACTGAACCCAATAGAGCTCATCTGGGCTCAAGTGAAGGGTCATATTGCGCGCCATAACACAACCTTCAAATTACCAGACGTTAAGGTTTTACTTGAGACTTCCATACAGCTAGTAACGCCCGAAGCTTGGCAGAATGCTATCCGTCATGTTGTGAAGGAAGAAACAAAAATGTGGCAGCTTGACCACCACATCGACACCATCATAGAGCCAGTTATAGTCAATTTCAACGAGGAAAGCGATAGCGACAGTTTATTACTGTCAGATGTAAGTGGAAGCGACGATGAATAAAGGTAATTCCCAAATTTTTGACTTACAATATGTTTCAACCCACTCTTTATTAAGCATGTGACAAATCTAGTTCACCCATGTTAAACATCCATACCCCGCCTATGAACAGCCGACTACTGGTAGTTAAGTGATGTTCACGTGAACATCGATGAGTCATTACAGTTTTAGATAGTTATAGTATAGGAGGCAGAATTATTGGGCCATATTTTTTCGAGCAATCCTTAAATGGCAAAGTCTTTCTTGACTTTTCGAACCATCAATTACCGTTGTTGTTGGAAGATGTGCCACTGGAAACACGGCATAACTTGTTTTTGTAGTTGGTTGGCTACCCAACACATTTTGCGAGAGCATATTAATGCAGTACATATTTCTACAGCGGTCGATTGGAAGAGGAAATCTATTTCAATATTTTCAGACTCAACCTACAGCCAGAGAAGGCATGAAAAACCGGATTCGTAAAGCAATACGTGACATACTGAGAGCGGAAATTCAAGCTGCAGCTTTGTCTACCTATGAGAGGCTTCAGGAATGCATCTAGCATGATGGCTAGCATTTCGAGCATTTACAGGGGCATTAAAAACCTTTCTTTTTTAAAGCGGTCCTGTTTAGGGCCAGAACTTAATAACAGAAAGAAAAAAAATAGTTTAGAAACATACAAATTTAGGGGAATATGGACTCAGAAAATACCCTGCGTTACAAACCTCTCTTAGTGTCATTTTCATAGTTTCCTATGCTCATTGTTTTACGTCCGCAAAATTCCGGATTTCCGTAAAGACGCGGCAACGTCGCGCCACGGCGTCGCGCCGCGATTCGATCGTCGCCGCGCTGCGCGAAACCGCGGATCAGCTGCTTCTTGATTCAGTTTACAATTTCCCATTTTGAGGTTATAACCCGCGACCGTGGTTCCGCTAAAAATTAAATTTTCGCGTACGTTTCGACGCTGAATTGAGCAAAAATGTGTTCGGCACAAGAAAATGTGGACTACAGCAGCCCGTACGCGAACTATCGGTCGCCTCTTAGCACCAGATATGCCAGCAAGGAAATGCAGTACAACTTCAGTGATCAGAAGAAGTTTTCCACTTGGAGGAAGTTGTGGGTGAATCTGGCCAGGGCGGAACAGGTTAGTGCAGAGTTTGCAGGTTATCTTGCGAATTTTCAGAGGAATGGCTTATGCTACTTCCAAGAAAAAGTGTTGCACGGAATAATAGTTATTTATTATACAAGCAAGGCAATCTTGTTGCGATAATTGTCTCTGAAAGTTGTAAAAATTATGGCGCGAAAACGTTCTCGGTTGAGTTGCATTTTTCTAATGACTTGGTGACACTTAAACATTCACTGTAGTGAGAACACTGCACGTATCGTTGTGAAACTTTGAATTTAAGTTTACTAAAGAGTGAGGTTAAGATTCAGTACTGACGTTCGATCCGCGCGGCCTACTATGTTTCTATAAATATGCAAAATTTAAAAGACAAAAAGACATCCTTCGTATGTCATATATAAGAGGCGCTTGCCTTCGCTGTTGCCGGACTGGGCTCGGCATTTAGGGAAAACTAATTACATTTCTGAAACAAAATGGGAAAGGTTACAAGCACAAGAAAGCTGCGAGTACACAAATTAGTGATTTTTAAATAATGTTCCCGATTAAGTTTATTTAATGGTTGCTGTTGTATTTGGGATTGCAGGAGCTTGTCGAATTTGTGAAATCAGCCAGGTAACATTAGATGATATGGAAGATTCGGGAACGTTATTAATTGTGAAACTTAAGGAAACAAAGAATGATGTAAACAGGAGATTTGAAGTCACTGAAAAATATATTAAATAGATAGATCCACTTTCTTCAAATTTTCTTATCAACTTAGAAACATACTTATCGTTAATATTTTTGTCTGCAAGGTGAGATTATAATACTTGTTTCCAATAGAACACTCGTTTTATTTATTAGCATTTATTGTAACCTTTTTATAGCCTTATATTTTCGTGTCAAAATCCAACGTCTTTTTAACACTGAAATACACGTCCAAGCCGTACACGGCACTGTTCACATAACTGAGCATCGCGGTGGCCACCAAACACCTGATCCTGATCAAGTCCGCCTTGTCCACTCTGGTGAGCGCTTCGTAAGTTGTCACAGCCGCCGAGGCCAAGTACAAAAGCGCCCCCAATATGCCGAAAATCCTGGTGAGCAGCTGCGGCACTGGACAGCCGAGGAGTCTGCTCAGGATGATCACACCGGTGATGATCAGGAAACTGCTGAAGACTACGTTCGGGAACATCATCGAGCTGATCGAATCGATTACGATCTTCAGTCCCTCGGAGTAGAGACCGATGCATATGAAGCCCACTGCCTGCGAAACGAACCAGCATTTTATGTGATATTTGGAAAAAAAATAGGTTTTGGTCGCCAATTTTGTGCTTACAGACAAGGTTCGTTTGAGGTTTCAAAGAAAATGAGTCATTCGTTTCGAAATGTGAAATCGGATCATTCATTTAGATACAATGCATCTCCGACCTCTGTATATCAAATTATACAGGGTGACCCAACGAAAAGATCGCATTCCCATTTGTGACTCCAAATAAGTAGTCTTGAGATAATTGCATTTGAAATATTTTTCTTGCATTGCGTTGTATGCGTCTTGACATGAGTTAAAAAGTCGTGACTTCCTTATTATTACAGATAGATCGATGCTGCATATAGCAAATGAAAACTCACAATATTATCATGAGCTTAACATATTAAATTCATTTTTCATAGGTACAGATTCAGAATCTCGTCTAGAATCCAAAAATTGTATTCAAAGTAAGCAAGATTGCAACATAAGCAAACGCTTTGTTATATTTCAGACTTACCAATTGTACAACTTTCAGTATAAATTCCCTGGCCCACAAATCAACCAAATCCGGCACTTGGATTCCTGAAGTAGTATGCGGTAAGTTGACCTCCGTGTCGGTGTCCACGCTGAAGAATCTCATCAAAGCCATCGCGTTCGATCGACTCACACTTGGACTGTTATTCTCCTCCATATCGAAGTACTAACGAGAATACTGATTTGAGCAGAGCAACTTAGACGCTAAATCTGCTGTTCGATTCTGTTTATTTTTCTACCGCAAATAGATTCAGTGATCGGATGAACGTATTCGTTACTCGTAGCGAATATTTTGGATAATTGGCGATTCTGCTTTTGAGCGATGTTAATGACATACTACAGAAATATACCCGGGGAAACATTGCGGGCTGCACGTCGCGTAAATGAAAATGAAAATACGCTGGGCCCAGCCTACGCGTATCAAATGAGCTATAATAATTCTAGATAGTAAGGTCAGCTAAGACAGATACAATGAGTAAATCTTACGATTTTTTTCTCGATATACAGGGTGTCTCAACAAACATGGAGTTAGGTTTATGAGCAAACTATACTAAGTGACATAAATCCGAACACCCAGTTTAAATGGTTTTATTTTAATAAAAGTTGGTGAATGTATTTATCTTACTGTAAATAACAAGTGAAAACATTTTCAGCCTTATCAGTTGGACATTCCGGTTTTTATACTTCTTTTTTTCAATTCACTAACGCTCTAAAAATGAATATTTCAGCCGCAGTAAAGAATCAACGTTGGCGGATTTTGGTTCTTGACATCCTTTACGATCGGTTACGATGCCTAGAATACGGAGACATGTACGATTTCGTCAACTTAGTGAGTTTGATAGGGGCCGTATAGTGGGACTTCGGGAAGCTGGACTTTCTTCTCGGGCAATTGCAGTTAGAGTGCAAAGAAGTGTATACACTGTGGTTAGGTGTTGTCAGGCATGGCTTCGAGAAGGCCGTACGCAAAGAGCAAGGAGCACTGGACGCCGCCGTAGAACAACAGACCCTGAAGATCGCCGCCTAAGATTATTGGCCTTAAGGGACCGTTTCTCCACTACCAGGTCCATTGCAAATGAATGGTTTACAGAACACGGAAGACCTATTGGCATGCGAAGTGTTTACCGACGAATGAGAAGTTTTGGCTTGTTTTCATACCGGCCACACTGGGTCCTCCCTTTAACTCGAGAACACCGACGTAATCGCCTTGAGTGGTGCAGGCAACGGTCACTCTGGGATCAGGAATGGAACAGTATTGTCTTTAGTGACGAGTCTCGATTTTGCTTAGGCATGCACGATGGTCGTGCCAGGGTTAGAAGGCGACGTGGTGAAAGGAGGAATCCACAGTTTCTTGTTGAAAGACATGTTCATCACACTGTTGGATTTATGGTTTGGGGTGCTATAGCTTGTGGTTCCAGGTCACCTTTAATCTTCATCAGAGGTAACATGAACGCGCAGCGTTATATCCACGAAGTTCTAGAACCCCATCTTTTACCCTATCTTGACACCCTGGCAGATCCAACTTTCCAACAAGATAATGCCCGACCACATGTTGCAAGAGTTACAATAGACTTCTTTCAACATAATGATGTCACATTGTTACCATGGCCACCAAGATCTCCCGACTTATCCCCAATTGAGCACGTGTGGGATATGATGGGTAGGAGATTGCTCAATTTGCAACGTCCTCCCAGACTCTAGAAGCACTTCGAGAGGAGTTGGTGGTTGCCTGGAATGAGATACCACAGGAGGACATTGATCACCTGATCAGAAGCATGCCTAGGCGCGTTGGAGAATGCGTAGCACATCAGGGTCCATCCACACATTATTAAAGGTCAAAGGGCTTCAAAGCAGTGCAATCATTTTGAAATTTTTATCATTTATTATTATGCTTCATTAAGTACTTATACAAAATTTTATTAAAATAAAACCATTTAAACTGGGTGTTCGGATTTATATGTCACTTAGTATAGAAAAGATACAGTTGGGTGTCACCGTTCTTCGCTAATCCTCAGCGAATCTGCTAGTGGGTAACAGGGGACCGCTGTTTTCATTCTCGTCCTGGAAATACTCTAATAAATTTAGCATCAGCTGTCGGCCTTCTCCATTGATCGTAATCCCGGGCATTGCACAATTTTATATTGAAAATTGAGAACAGGAGAACTCAAATTTCACGCTGATTGTCACTCTGACAAATATTATCGAAGGGCACACATACGTAATGACAAAGTTTTCGAGACGGAGTGCTAAAAATTCTTTCTATTTAAAATTTCAAATGGAACATCCTGCCTGTTTCTACATCGTTTAATAATTTTTCTAGTAAACTATATAAAGTATATACAACTTTTTTCCAAGCGTTTTTCAAGTTACTTTATTACACGTTTCGTATACATACAGCTATTACAATGACACACTATCGTTTCTTATCCGGTTTGTGCTTGTTTTTCTTAAATAGGAAGCATCTCTTCTTATCGTCATCTGTTCCTACGGATTTTTCCGAACGATTCCTGCCAAAAAATTGAATCAATAGTCAACAAAAATGTAATTCTATCCTCTAAAAAGTTAGATTGTTGGCATCACCTCGCATCTTGTTCTAAAAAGGCTCTAAACGTTTCGTCTCCGTAGCAGCACTTTTTTTCTTCTGGTCTTAAACATTCGCTGAAAGCACACAAATTCAACAAGTATTAAAAATTAATATTTCGACTCGATACAATAAAACAAAGTCGTTGTCGGTCCAGTGACGATGGCATTTCAACTATCTCAACTATACAGGGTGTTCATTTGAAAACTTCTTTCACCCTCTGTCCACCAGGATCATCCCCTTAAAAATTTTAAATGACAAGGGGTATCATCGAGCCATAGTCTTTGAATTGTAGATACATACGTATTTGACAATCTTCGCTAATGTAGATCACGCAGGTTTGAACAGGTTACAACTTGTACGCGCCACTGCTATCGTGCTCGACGCATAAGCATTGTTTTACTTAGTTTGAATTTGACTACTTGTGATAGCGGTACGGCCTAGCGTGCGTTCATTGTTTACTATTTATTTCATTGTGTATTAAGTATAGTAAATAGTAATGTCATCACAAACTCAGAAGCGAAAGCACAAAACATTGACAATTAAAGAAAAATGTGATATTTTAGACCGCTTAAATCGCAATGAAACTTTCAGTAGTTTAGCAAGTGAATACGGCGTAGGCCGATCTACAATTTATGACATTAAAAGAAACCACGATAAGATTAAGAAGTTAGTGTCAACTACTGACTGCGGACCAGGCAAGAGACAGACACTCAAGAAAGCTGAACATCCAGAAGTGGAAGAAGCTTTGTACATGTGGTTTCTTCAGGAAGGAAATAGGCATGCACCAATTTCACGACCCAAGTTGGCCATTAAAGCTAAGTTTTTTTATAAGGAAATAACAAAAAAGATGATTTTGTGGCCAGCAAAGGATGGCTAGAACGCTTTAAAAGTCGTCATGGCATACGTTTAATGACTATTACAGGAGAGAAACTTTCTAACGATGCCACCTGTATAGAGCCCTTTAAATTAAGATTTTTGCAAAAGGTGAACGATTTAAATCTTGACCCGTCACAGCTGTACAATGCAAACGAATCAGGGCTTTTTTGGCGTGTGATGCCTAACAAAGCTTTCGTTTCTTGTAACGAAAAATCCGTACCTGGACGAAAAGTAAGTAAAGAGCATGTAACCATACTACCATGTGCTAACGCTGCGGGAACACACGCGCTTAAGATGATGGTCATTGGGAACTCAGTGATTTACCTTTACTATTACGACAAAAAGTGCATGGATGACAAAAGACCTTTGCAAAAAGTGGTTTGATGAATGCTTCGTACCTGGAGTTAGAAAATGGTTAAAAGATCATAATTTTCCTCAAAAAGCGTTGCTGCTTCTTGATAACGCTCTCGGTCATCCGTCTGAAGAAGAACTAACAACTGAGGATAAATGCATCACTGCGATGTTTCTTCCGCCAAATTGCACTGCACTGATTCAACCAATGAACCAGAATATCATTCAGTTTGTCAAGCAAGACTATAAGAAAAACCTACTTCTGAGAGCCGTATCAAAAGACCAACCAATAGAAAAAAACTTTAAAAGAATTTAATATGAAAGACTTGGTTTTTGCTCTTTGAAAAAGTTATGGCCAGATATAGTCACCACTCCTAGCAACGTTCCACAAATCAGTGTTACTTCGAAAGTTATAGAACAAGTCGCTACTGAAACACAGATAAGTCCGGAAGATTTGGAAATCTGGTGCCGTGGAATGGATAAAGAGGAAAATGTTTTTCATGGAATGTTTGACGAAGAGATTATAAAAGAGGTTTCTGATTATACAACAAACGACGACGAATAACGACGACGTGATAGCACCTGTTCGACAAGTCACAGCACAAGACGCAATTAATGCCTTTGAGCTTGGTTTACAATGGACTGAAGAGAATGGTACATCCTACAACGAACTTTTACTTTTGAGAAGACTGAGGGACAAAGCTCCGATCTCGCGTTATAACAACCTTAAACAAAAAAAAATTGATGAATATTTCCAAGCTTCATAATTTTATAAATTCATTAATGATTTTGATTAATAATTCTTGATTATTTTGGTACATATGTATGTGCATTTATGCTTAATTTTATAATAAAACGTAAGCTGTAAATTGTTATTTAATTTACTAAATTCGACATAACATATATAATCTTACCATTGGATATGTAATTTGACGGATTACAAGGTACACTTTTGTAAAAAATGCAGTGCTCTATAATCCGACAAATTCGATAGTCCGACACTGCCCTGCATAATGTTTATCGAATTACCGGAGGTCCACTGTATAAGCGGATTGTAGATTCTAACGGGCAACATTTTGAACACTTATTGATTTAAAAAGTGATATTTTCGTGTGTTTTTGCTTTCCATCTGAACAAATTAAGATAAATAAGGATTTTTCTAATTTTCTCGGAAACGAATCGACGGATTTAAAAAAATCAAACGTCAAAATGAAGGACTTCGGAAGACCTTTCAAACAAGCTATTAGTCGATAATCCTTGTCATTTTAGTTTTCAAATGAACCCCCTCTAGGTATTGCGTCAGAAATTGAAATCTTTAATTTTAACGCTCACAAAAAGCAAAACATAATAATAATAATAATAATTAACGTCTTTTATTTGTAATATTCTTACAGGAGGCGAGATTTAGATTATATAGCTATTCTACCATCTAACCCCCTTAACAATACGAGATGTAAAAAAAAATAATTTGTTGAAAATTAATAGGCACCTGTATACAATAACGACAGAATAAAGTATAATCCAAGTAAATACATAATGAAAATATGAGGACACTTATGGGTTACAACCGATTTCGCTGCTGATCAAGAAGAACTTGTTTCACTTTTTTCTTGAATTTGGATAATGGATTGGTTTCTTTTAAACTGCGGTCTAAAGAATTATATGATTTGATCGCATTGTAAATGTATGTATTCTGAAATAGAGACGTGCTGTGGCGTGGAATTGAAAAAGTCTCTCTATATCTAATACTTTTTTTGTTCTATTGGCGTATACCAACATATTTGTCTTCAAACGGTTCAAACGAAGATTATGATTACTACTGAACTTTTCAATTTGGGTAAGATCTTGATTAATTTTATCATTTGCCGTTTCCAAGTGATTACTCCAAAATAGTAGGCAATTTGAGTATCATCTGCAAAAAATTGTATGCTGCATGATTTTACCTCTGTTTCTAAATCTGAGATATATAATGAAAATAATAGCGGTCCTAAGACTGATCCCTGTGGTACACCAGAACAATTTTTTTGTTCCGTAGAGTACTGTTGATTTAGACGAACTTTTTGATACCGATTTTCAAGGTAGGTTTGAATAAACGAAAGAGGTTTTTCAGAAAATCCATAATAACTGCATTTATATACAAGAAGTGAGTCATTAATGGTGTAAAATGCTTTAGTAAAGTCAAGAAGTATGAGAGCTACTGCTTTTTGGTTATCAAGTGCCATTGTTATATTGTCTGTTAAATCACAGAGTGCCGAAGCTGTGGAACGCATTAGATTCTTTACAGTTCTGATATCATCAAGTAGGGAATCTAGTGTGTTCCCTGTAAGCATCACATTCTGTCGACAAGTGAGAAACGCGCTTCGGTTGCATAATGAAATTCGCAAATAATATTTGGTCAACTTACTTGCATACACGCCTGGGCTCTTGCATTGGTGAATATCGCCCCCTGGAAAAAGTTACGAACTAGCCTATAATAATAATAATGAAGCACCCAGAATTATTTATTGCATGTGAATTGAACGTACCCAATGCGATATTGTAATCCAAGAGGCATCGCTTGAGATGACGTACTCTTCATCCTGACAGCTGAACGAGACTCCAACTGCTGGCAAGGAAACGGCCCTAGCATACAGGGAGTGATCCGGCGTGGCGGTGCTGGTTCCTCTTCAATGCTAAGAAAAATTAAAAGTCGAACAAATTTTTTTTTTATTTGAAATCATACAATTTACTAAAATATGGTGACAAAAATGCCAGCAGTATTACAGACAAATTTCAGCTACTGAACCAAACCTAGTGGCAGGACTTTTTGAGACCGTTGTCAGTGCAGTACTGGTTAGATTTCTCAAGTCAAATCCTTACTAAATTATAAATGAGAAAGCGTGATGTAATTTATGAAAACTCTTAATACACAGGGTGGCGCATCGTAAACGAAACATACGCATTTACACACCAACACACCAACTCCTCTCGAAGTGCTTCTAGAGTCTGAGGAGGACGTTGCAAATTGAGCAATCTCCTACCCATCATATCCCACACGTGCTCAATTGGGGATAAGTCGGGAGATCTTGGTGGCCATGGTAACAATGTGACATCATTATGTTGAAAGAAGTCTATTGTGACTCTTGCAACATGTCGTCGGGCATTATCTTGTTGGAAAGTTGGATCTGCCAGGGTAAAAGATGGGGTTCTAGAACTTCGTGGATATAACGCTGCGCGTTCATGTTACCTCTGATGAAGATTAAAGGTGATCTGGAACCATAAGCTATAGCACCCCAAACCATAACTCCAACAGTGTGATGAACATGTCTTTCAACAAAAAACTGTGGATTCCTCCTTTCACCACGTCGCCTTCTAACCCTGGCACGACCATCGTGCATGCCTAAACAAAATCGAGACTCGTCACTAAAGATAATACTGTTCCATTCCTGATCCCAGAGTGACCGTTGTCTGCACCACTCAAGGCGATTACGTCGGTGTTCTCGAGTTAAAGGAAGGACCCAGTGTGGCCGGTATGAAAACAAGCCAAAACTTCTCATTCGTCGGTAAACACTTCGCATGCCAATAGGTCTTCCGTGTTCTGCAAACCATTCATTTGCAATGGACCTGGTAGTGGAGAAACGGTCCCTTAAGGCTAATAATCTTAGGCGGCGATCTTCACGGTCTGTTATTCTACGGCGGCGTCCAGTGCCCCTTGCTCTTTACGTACGGCCTTCTCGAAGCCATGCCTGACAACACCTAACCACAGTGTCTACACTTCTTTGCACTCTAACTGCAATTGCCCGAAAAGAAAGTCCCGCTTCCCGAAGTCCCACTATACGGCCCCTATCAAACTCACTAAGTTGACGAAATCGTACAGGTCTCCGTACTCTAGGCATCGTAACCGATCGTAAAGGATGTCAAGAACCAAAATCCGCCAACGTTGATTCTTTACTGCGGCTGAAATATTCATTTTTAGAGCGTTAGTGAATTAAAAAAAAGCAGTATAAAAACCGCAATGTCCAACTGATAAGGCTGAAATTTTTTTCACTTGTTACTTACAGTAAGATAAATACATTCACCAACTTTTATTAAACTAAAACCATTTAAACTGGGTGTTCGGATTTATATGTCACTTAGTATATATTAAAAAATCGTAAAAATCTACACCCTGTAATCGTTTAGGAACTGTGTTGCCTTTAATCCTATTTTTAGATTTATTTTCTGCTACAATTTACCCAAAATTTGATATTTCAAATCGATTTCTAAGAAGCTTCCTATTAATGGCAACATTAAGCGAATGCCTGAATCAGTGGTGGTTACGAATACGATAAAAAAGAAAAAATCGTAGTGTTTTGCCTGCATTTTTATACCTGGCACCGTTGGGACACGGGCAACATGGAGTGCTCCTCCCTTGGCATAGCGATCGCACAGCAAAAGGATCACCCGTCATCACCATTTCTTCCCTGGAATACGTCTCCGTCCTGCAATGGATAAAGGCTTAAAAAAGATAGCAGATAAATATGGTTTATTGTATGAAGTTTAACATGAATCTTATTGGCAACGCAAGGGCGGATTTAGATGGGGGAGGGGGCGGTGCTTCTGGACCCTCAAGTCTGCCGTTTAAAAAAAATGGCGTCTAGCAGGCTGCTTTTAGGTATTTTATCGAATGAGAATCAGCGCGTTTTTACAATTTTGGGAACGGACACACCAAAAAGGAATGCTATACAGTAGAACCCCGATTATTCGAAATCTGCTTTAACCCAAACAGTTCGCATACAATAATTTCCCCGTTTGCGGAATTCACTGTTATGTGTGCGTGTATGTTTGTTCCACTCAGCTTCATAATCGCTAAGGTGGAGCAGCATAGAAATAAACGTAACCGCGTTGTTATTACCATAGAACAGAAACTTGAGGCAATAAGACGTACACAGAGGTAATTTGCTTAGAAACGTGGCAAGTGATTTGGGTGTGAGCGTGAATACAATTTCAGAATGGAAGAAACAACGCGAGAAAGTTTAGAAATACGAGTGATGTTTTTGCCTCCTAATGTAACGTCACTGATTCGGCCAATGGATCGACGAATTTTAGAGAATTCAAAACGCAATTACAGACGTTTGTTATTAGAGGAAATTTTAGATCGAGTTGGTAATGGTTGTAACCTCGTTGATTGCTTAAAAGAGATTAACCTCAAGAATGTGGCACATTGGATAGCAGAAGCTGGAGGCAAGTAAAAAATTCTACTTTGCAAAAATCTTGGCAGAAAATAATTAAGCAATACATGGAACATTGCTCAGACTATGTGAATAACAACGAAAATTTTCATGAGCTCGTCGTAAAAATAGCATTGTGTGAAAATCTTACCCAACCAGATGTTGGTGGAAGAAATAACTGATACAGAACTAATAAACACTGTTTGTAACAATGGCGATGAGACAGTTTTAAATGATGCTAGTGACAATGAGATAGAAATCTCTGACAAAATATTACATTCTGAGGGATTAGAAGCTCTACTAAAAGCGTTGATTTAACGTCGAACAACAAGAAAATGCAGCTGATGTGCTTCTTATCGAACGTTGGAGGGATATTGCTGTCAAAAATAGGAACAATGCAAAACGTGTACAGTTAAAAATTACTTTCTTTGTTACTAAATAGTCGTAAATATGTATGTTTGTATCCACATGTTTATATCGGGTTGTCCAAAACAAGAAAGATTGATATTCAAATCAAGTTGGGTACTTTATTTTGAAGGTTCATTTATACCATTTATGTATGAAAAATAATATCGCTCAAATGTTCACCACGACTGGATTTACAGACGTCTACGCGATGGTCGAAATTTTCAATGACATTTTGCAACATGGTCGGTTCTATGGCATTTATCTCGGCAGTGATGTTGTTTTTGAGTTCTTGGAGGGTGGCTGGTTTGTTGACGTAGACTTTGCTTTTCAAATATCCCCATAAAAAGAAGTCCAAGGGAGTCAAATCGCACGATCTTGGTGGCCATGGCACATTTCCTCTGCGCGAAATCACGCGATCACCGAAGAAAGACTGCAATCGATGGATATTGACGTTGGTTGTGTGGCATGTTGCACCGTCTTGTTGGAAATAAACATCGTCCATATCCATTCCTTCAAGTTGCGGCAAAAAATAGTCCTCTATCATCACGTGATATCGCTCAGAATTGACGGTAACGGCGTCCCCGGCCGCATTTTCGAAAAAGTAAGGTCCGATGATGCCTTTTGACCACAATGCACACCACACAGTCACTTTTTGAGGATGCATCGGCTGCTCTTGATACTCACGGGGATTTTCTTTCGCCCAGATGCGGCAGTTTTGCTTGTTTACCGTCCCATTCAAAGTGAAATGCGCTTCGTCGCTGAACATGATTTTTGATGAAAAATTGACATCAATTTGGCGCTGTTCAAGGAGCCAATCTGAGAACGTTCGGCGCCAAAAATGGTCGGCCCGACGCAGCTCTTGCGTCAATTGGATCTTGTAGGCGTGTACATTCAAATCCTTGTGGAGAATGCGGAGCAAACTGGTTCTCGAAATGCCCAATTCTTGGGATCGACGCGTTGTTGATTATTTCGGATCGTCTCTCACACTCTCCTTCACAACAGCAATATTTTCCGGTGTGCGAACGCTCCTTGGCCGGCCAGAACCTGGCAGATTTGCCACAGAACCTGTTGCCTCGAATTTACGCACCAGACGACCGATGGTTGTATCGTTTGGGCGGTTGTTGCGACCGAAATGTTCACGAAGCGCGCAGAAACGTGTTTTTTATTTTTGCACCATTTTTGTAGTGCTCTTGAATAACTTTAATGCGGTCTCCAATCGAATACGACTCCATAGCGATCAATGGTAAACATTCAACTAACAAAATGACATGTCGGTGACAGAAAACAAAGATGGCGTCTATGTCAAACTGACGTTTACTTTCCTGCGTCCCTATTGGACAACCCTTTATTTTATAGGTATGTACTCACTTAACACACGAATTTACTTTTTTTCAATAAAAGCATTATAATTATAATCGGGGTTCTACTGTATATCAATCTACTTTCAAATAAGGCAATGTAACTGCTTAAGTTTGTGCTTTTCCCTACTAAAAAACTGATTATTCTTGTAATAAAGAGAATCTTTGCTAGTTAAGTAAGCAATTTGTAAAATCTAATTTATTATCCCAAAAATTTGATGGTGTTTGTTTTGTCAAGATCAAGGAAGCATTTAATTGACAAACTTTGTCTTGCTAACATTGAAAGTCCAGTAATCGTTGTCACACTATTTTTTGTTTGATTTTATCTATCAATTTTTGTTTTGCCAAAGTATTGTGGTATCGTTAGAAAAAACTACGAATTTACTATTTACGTTTAAATCGTTGATATAGACTAAAAATCACTCAGACCTAACACTGATCCTTGAGGTACCCCTGCGTTTATATCTAATTTGTTTGAAAAACAATGTCTTGATAATTTTACAAGTTGGGATCGATTATTTGAATATGTCCTAAACCATTTGAAGTCTCAGAACATGATGTACACAGTCAAAAGCTTTGAAAAAGTCACAGAAAAGAGTTATTGAAATTTGTTTATCGTTCAGACTAAATTTGTTTAAACATTTTTAAATAAATTACAGTTATTTTCGGGCTTAATGGATCATTCTGAACAAGACAGGCTTCCATTTACTTTTTTCTAAATATGACCATTGTATAGTTATAAACGATTTAATGTCTAACGCCCCGGAAATGAGTATATTCAATGCTTGAAAAATCGGTTAACATTTACAATTTTTGAGGTAGACAATAATGTTAATTAAAGTTTACTTTAAAGCGATTTTTAGCCTTGCCTATTAGGCCAAAATTGGCAAATTTTAGGTTTTTGTAGACTACGAATTTCTCTCGTATTCTGGACAGACCTTCACACTTATATACAGGGTGCTAATTAAGTGTGTACCATACATTTGACAGACGATTCTTCTTGTAATTTTAAGATAAGATCATATAAACATAGGTCCGTTCTAAAGATACAGGGTGTTAAAATTGAAAATAATGTTTTATCGTTAACATTTTTTACCTGATTTTGTTGTAATTTGGCGGTGGTATTTATTAGGATTACTGAAAGAATCGTTTGTTAAATTCATGGTACATACTTAATTCACACCCTGTATATTTATTTAGAGAGAGAAAAGCTCCTGATCAGTGGAAATTGGAGTCAACAATTGTGATTTCCCTGGTGACTATTAAAGAAATACAATGATATATAAAAAATATGAATAAGTATATTTTAAAAAAGTTGATCTTACATCGTCATTTGTTCTTTGCTTGGTTGCGACCGTATGTTTGTTGTTTGGTGTCTGCTAGATGCCTGGTCCATACTAGACTTCTGATGCATGGAATATGCTAGGACCTCCCTGTTTTCGACTTTTGGATTGGCCATTACCTCTTGATCAACATAAACGACGCCTGTCTCCGATTGCTTACGAAAATAATATACAATGAATTAATTGTGCTTTTATGTTGAAGACATCTCGTTACGATACTTTGATGCCGCGATTCCTCCGTATTGTGTCATTGGAAACAGAAAAAGACAAAAGTTGGCCACTAGGAACTGGGAATTAATTCAAAAACATAACAAAATATATGTATTGTTGTCTCGAGCTTTTCCCCTAGAATATACCAGCAGAGTGGCAAATCGGTGTGCGACCTTATCGTTGGGCGACCCTGTATAAGCATATCTTTACTACATTAGCTGGGGGACACTTGCTTAATTCGTTGACATCACAATGGATAATCGAATGTTTTATAATAGAACCATAAGTTTTTCATTGTTTTGTCAGTTTTGTAAATAGTCCTGTCGAGTGGCCGCCTAGATCGTGTGATTTAACACCTCTAGACTTTTTTTAGGGCTACATTAAATAATTGGTCTATGCCGACAAGCCAGCGTCGTTAGAGGTGCTCAGAGCCACAGTAACGATAGATAGCGGTCGTTTCTGTTGAAATGTGTGGCCGAGTCGTTGAAAATTGGGTTCACCGAATAGACGGTATAGTTTTAAAATTTGTTGTACGAGCTCCGAAAATTCAAAGAAGTAGGTTAGCGCTAAAATGATTTTCTTTTCTTACCTACCGTGCAAGACTCCTTGACTGGGCACTGACTAACGCAAGATTCGCTAGGTGGCATGAGTATGTTACAAGTGCAAGCGCAACTGCATTTCTTCGGGTCCTTCCTGTTGATGCACGACCGGTTGCCATCTAAAACAAGGTTCTTTGGAATCTGCGCGGGCCCTAAGTTGGCAGGAATAGTTTTACAGTCCTTATTTTTCAGATGCTCAAGTGAAACACCTGCGAGCATTGACACGATGAATACGAATTATTTTATATTTCATATAATCTAGTTTCATAGGGTTTCAAAGCCAAAATTTGATTCATGAATATCATTTTTTCTGACGTACGCCTTTTTGCATCCTGCAGCGTTTTTGCTAAAAATAATACAATAGGACTTTTACTGTGTGAAATGGAACAGTAGACTAAGGGGGAAATATAGAACACGATATCGTGTGAATTTTTTGTTGAATTTGTGCTTTCATTATACATATTTTTCCCAAAAAAGTAGATTTTATGCTTGGATAATATACTTATCGCAGTCAACAGAAAATGCTGAATGTTATCTGCCATTAACACAAGTACTGTGGACGATGGGTTTGTATACCAATGAATTCGGACTAGGTATAAAATGTAAGCCTACGATTTGTTCGTCTCCAAAATCTCAGTCTGCAGTTTTTTCAGTCAGAGATCTGTATTCGTATTTTTAGTGTTATTTCTTAAAATTACGAGTCTTTACAAATAATTGTGCTGTTTGACGGTTTTAGGACATCGTACCCCTTGCATACTTATCAAAGAGCGATACAAGCCTAATGAAGTTAGATCTTTTCACCGGTAAGTATTCTTATGTTGAAATGATTACTTAACTGTTTTCATATCTACACATATATTTATGATTCTTAAAAGTATAACACATTTCGCATAACCTTTAATATGTGTCACTCTGTCTATGATGGTTCTCTGAATATTTCGTCAAGTAGATTGACTCAGTACTTATGACGCATTGATATACAACAGACCCGGACTGACAAACCGATATAAATGAAAAAAGCACGGACTATGTGATGCAGATATCTTTAAGCAACAGAAAACTTAAATTAATTCGTTAAAAGATATTGTTACAACGTTTTAGAGGTTCCTGCTCATTTTCAGACATGGTTTGGTGGCGATTAAAATTGTAGGTTGGAAGCTGTATGCGGTAAATCATTGTGAATTGTTGTTCTGTTATTAAAAAGTTGCTGATCTCGGTGTTACTATGCCCTGACAGTCATAATAAGCTGCATATTTTTCCTATTTTATTTTTCAAAAACGTATTATTTACTGCAATACAAGGCTCAATCTTTAAAGAGGGACTGACATTAAATGGATATGAAAGGTCTGCTTACCATGGCATCCGCAATAGCTTGAGTCTCTTCTTATTTTTGCCATGTTATCTAAAAAAAGGTAAGATGATTTTTGAACTCAATACGCTTTCGCAACGAACAAATTGGTACGTGTGTTAATAGACAAGGAGAATACTGAACAAATTATTGAGGTATAATTTGGACGGACTTACCTCTCTCCGGCAGCTCTGAAACAGAGTTATAGTGATAGTTAATTTCCATATAATAATATCTAGCCAAATAAGTGGCTTGCCTCTGTAGTACGATCTTTAAGAAAGGCGTCGCGCAATGAGTATATAGTGAAAAATAAAGAGAAAAGATGCTCCGTTTGCGGGAAAATTTAGTTTACATTTCCGTAAATTTGATCTACAGTAGCTTCATGTATAGTGGGAGAATTTTGTTTTGCCTCATTTCGCGTGGTTGTCTCAGTTTATTTCGTCAGGTCATGTCCCACCTTGTTTCGTCATGTCGTGTCCCTATTTGTTTCGTCAGGTCGTGTGCCACTTTATTTTGTCAGATCCTGTCCCACTTTGTTTCGTCAGGTCGAGTCCCACTTTGTTTCGTCAGGTAGTGTCCCACTTTGTTTTGTCAGCTCATGTCCCACTTTATTTCGTCAGGTCGTGACCCACTTTGTTTCGTCAGGCCATGTTGCACTATATTTCGCCAGGTCATGACGCACTTAATTTCTCAGGTCGTATCCCACTTTATTTTGTCAAGTAGTTTCCCATTTAATATCGTCAGGTCAAGTCCCACTTTATTTCGTAAGGTCTTATCCCACCTTGTTTCGTCAGGTTGTGTCCCACTTTATTTCATAGGTTGTGTCCCACTTTGTTTCGTCAGGTAGTCTACCACTTTGTTTCGTCGAGTAGTGTCTCACTTTGTTTTGTCAGGTCGCGTCCCACTTTATTTTGTCGGGTAGTGTCCCGCTTTATTTCGTCAGGTCGTGTCTCACTTTATTTCGTCAGGTCATCTCCCACTTTGTTTCGTCAAGTCGTAAAAACCTTATTTTGTTGAGCCGTGTCCCAGTTTATTTCATCAGGTCGTGTCCCACTTTGTTTCGTCAGGTAGTCTCCCACTTTGTTTCGTTAGATAGTGTACCACTTTGTTTTGTCAGCTCATGTCCCACTTTATTTCGTCAGGTCGTGACCCACTTTGTTTCGTCAGGTCATGTTGCACTATATTTCGTCAGGTCATGACGCACTTAATTTCTCAGGTCGTATCCCACTTTATTCTGTCAAGTAGTGTCCCACTTTATTTCGCGTGGTGGTGTCCCATTTTGTTTCGTCAGGTAGTCTACCACTTTGTTTCGTCGGGTAATGTCCCACTTAGTTTTGTCAGCTCATGTCCCACTTTATTTCATCAGGTCGTGACCCACTTTGTTTCATTAGGCCATCTCGCGCTTTATTTCGCAAGGTCTTGACGCACTTAATTTCGTCTGGTCGTATCCCATTTTATCTTGGTCAGGTCATGTTCCACTTTATTTCGTCAGCTCTAATCCCACTTTGTTTCGTCAGGTTGTATCCCACTTTGTTTCGTCAGGTCGTGTCCCACTTTGTTTTGTCAGGTAGTCTCCCACTTTGTTTCGTCAGGTAGTGTCCCACTTTGTTTTGTCAGCTCATGTCCCACTTTATTTCGTCAGGTCCGTGACCCACCTTGTTTCGTCGCGTTTTATTTCGTCAGGTCGTATCCCACTATATTTTGTCAGGTAGTGTCCCATTCTATTTTGTCAGGTCATGTCCCACTTTATTTCGTCAGGTCTTATCCCACTTTGTTTCGTCAGGTTGTGTCCCTCTTTGTTTCATCAGGTTGTGTTCCGATTTGTTTCGTTAGGTAGTGCCCCACTTTATTTCGCGTGGTGGTGTCCCACTTTATTTCGTCAGATCGTGATCCACTTTATTAGGTCAGGCGGTGTCCCACTTTGTTACATCAAGTAGTATTCCACTCTGTTTCGGCAGGACGTGTCCCACTTTATTTTGTCAGGTAGTGTCCCACTTTATTTCATCAGGCCGTGTCCCACTTTATTTCGTCAGGTCGTCTCCCACTTTATTTCGTAAGGTAGTCACCCACTTTGTTTCGTCAGGTAGTGTCCCACTTTGTTTCGTCAGGCCATGTTGCACTATATTTCGCCAGGTCATCACGCACTTAATATCTCAGGTCGTATCCCACTTTATTTTGTCAAGTAGTTTCCCATTTTATTTCGTCAGGTCATGTCCCACTTTATTTCGTCAGGTCTTATCCTACTTTGTTTCGTCAGGTTGTGTCCCACTTTATTTCATAGGTCGTGTCCCACTTTGTTTCGTCAGGAAGTCTACCACTTTGTTTCGTCGGGTAGTGTCTCACTTAGTTTTGTCAGGTCATGTCCCACTTTATTTTGTCGGGTAGTGTCCCGTTTTATTTCGTCAGGTTGTGTCCCACTTTATTTCGCCAGGTCGTCTCCCACTTTGTTTCGTCAGGTCGTAAAAACCTTATTTTGTTAAGCCGTGTCCCAGTTTATTTCATCAGTTCGTGTCCCACTTTGTTTCATCAGGTCGTGTCTCACTTTGTTTCGTTAGGTAGTGTCCCACTTTGTTTTGTCAGCTCATGTCCCACTTTATTTCGTCAGGTCGTGACCCACTTTGTTTCGTCAGGTCATGTTGCACTATATTTCGTCAGGTCATGACGCACTTAATTTCTCAGGTCGTATCCCACTTTATTTTGTCAAGTAGTGTCCCAGTTTATTTCGTCAGGTCATGTCCCACTTTATTTCGTCAGGTGTTATCCCACCTTGTTTCGTCAGGTTGTATCCGTCTTTGTTTCATCAGGTCGTGTTCCAATTTGTTTCGTTAGGTAGTGTTCCACTTGATTTCGCGTGGTGGTGTCCCATTTTGTTTCGTCAGGTAGTCTACCACTTTGTTTCGTAGGGTAGTGTCCCACTTAGTTTCGTCAGGTCGTGACCCACTTTGTTTCGTCAGGCCATGTCGCACTTAATTTCGTCAAGTCGTATCCCACTTTATTTTGTCAGGTAGTGTCCCACTTTATTTCGTCAGGTCATGTCCACTTTATTTCGTCAGATGTTATCCCACTTTGTTTCGTCAGGTTGTGTTTCACTTTGTTTCATCAGGTCGTCTCCCACTTTGTTTCGTCAGATAGTGTTCCACTTTGTTTTGTCAGCCTATGTCCCAGTTTATTTCGTCAGGTCGTGACCCACTTTGTTTCGTCAGGCCATCTCGCACTTTATTTCATCAGGTCATGACGCACTTTATTTCGTCAGGTCGTATTCCACTTTATTTTGTCAGGTAGTGTCCCATTTTATTTCGTCAGGTCATGTCCCACTTTATTTCGTCAGGTCAGGTCAGGTCTTATCCTAATTTGTTTCGTCAGGTTGTGTCCCACTTTGTTTCATCATGTCGTGTCCCACTTTGTTTCGTCAGGTAGTGTTCCACTTTGTTTTGTCAGCTCATGTCCCAGTTGATTTCGTCAGGTCGTAACCTACTTTGTTTCGTCAGGCCATCTCGCGCTTTATTTCGTCAGGTCATGACGCACTTCATTTCGTCAGGTCGTATTCCACTTTATTTTGTCAGGTAGTGTCCCACTTTATTTCGTCAGGTCATGTCCCACTTTATTTCGTCAGGTTGTGTCCCACTTTTATCACTTATTCACAGACCTCGTACATACGACATACACATATGGTACACACTTTCACATTTATAATATTAGTAGGGATATGCTGAAAAGCTGTAGAGTCCCTTATCCTCGATAATTAGAATAATGTTCAATGTTTGCACAGTAGATGATCTTATTTATGTTTTTTTGAGGAGTTATTTAGAAGTATTTAGATATTTTAGTGTGTCTTACCGTTACGATTTATCGATCCGCATACGATCGTTTGCTGTTGGTAGTGGAATTTTCCACATTTGCAGCACGGCACCTGGTAGTACTGATGTTGAATGCAATCCTGGGTGGGTCTGAAAATTATTTCAAATTCAAAACTGTATTTTAGAGTCGCCATCTAGTCTATCGCGGCCGATGCGGTTTTTTTGCATAATCTTAGTCAAAGACGCTCCTGAAAATTTGTCCGCCTCTTTCAATGTCATTAAATTTAGTTACCCAGTTGACATCTGCTTGTCACAGTGTAATTCTCCATCTGTATGCGTACCAGATTTATTATTACATGTCCATGTTGATACATCAGATTGTGTTTTCCGCAATTCTGCTTGAGGCTTAGGATTTCGACGATACTCATACGGTAATATAACGTTTTCAGAGCGACTGATTATATTTTTCCTATCAGAAGACGCTGCCGGTAATGAAGGTTCCGTCTTTTTAGAACGTTGTTTCGAGCAGTTTCCAGAATATTGGCATTTGCTTGCGACTGCGGTTTTCAACGGTTCGACTTTAGGTTTTTGAGGGTTAGATTCCCTTATAGTATTTCTGATGCAAGGTTCAGTCTTACTTTTCAGTTGATTTTTATTGTTATAGAAACTGCAAGTGTTTTTTGTGCACCTTTTGGAGCAATTTCTAGAGTATCCACGATCCCCCGTCACAGCAGGCATTAAAGGTTCCACCTTAGCTTTCTGAGGTCTGAATTGGGTTTTCTGCAGGTTGCAATAGCAAGGAGGACTTAGATAACTTCTAATAGAAGGCTCTGTCACACTTGTCAGTTCATTAGTGATACTATAATATCTGCAGGTACTTTCTATGTATTGATTCGAGTAGCAAACTCCTGTATATTGACTTCCGCCTGTCTTTGCTGGTATTAAATGTTCAAGCGCAGGTTTCTGAGGTGTAGGTGGGGAATAATTGCGAAGTCTAGACTTAGTATAACAGCTACCACATCCCCTATCCGGATGTATCCGATTGCTGATCCACTGTTGCTTCTGAGCGTTCCCGATGGTATGCATCATGGTTTTTGATGGTTTGTACTGCGTCCAATCTTTGTCGGCTCCCCATTGGTAGATCCATGAGCACATTGGGATCGGAGCGGAGTCACCCGGTGACAGGTACGGAGCGCTAGGGGAGGAAAATCATCATTAAAATAAGATAGACAAACGACTATCGAGGACGCAGAAAACTAGAAAAAAAAATACAAAATTTCAACACGCCCAAACATAAAAAAAGTTGCGAAGCATCAAAAACGAAGTTTCAAAGCGGCCTATTTTTTTGGCATTCTGCTTCAGTGACATAGAAAAGTCTAAATTAACACGTGCGACATGAGGTCCTGCATTGCCTGCTGAAAAAGTGGACGTTGCATTTTATATGTCACTTAATACAGGGTGCGGCAGAGAGGATGGACGGTTTTAAGAAACTCATAAAATAGTTAATTTTTACGCGAAAACAAATTTATTGATGGAATCTACTCGACTCTCATTATTTCGGAAGAAACACGGTGCTCCACCATCCAAGGCTCCATAACGACAACTGGTGAAATAATGCTACGATCTCACGAGTCAAACGGCACCCTCCCCACCTCTCTCGTAGACGGTACTACCCATCCCAAAAACGTCCGTCCTCTCTGCCGCACCCTGTATAATTGTAAAACTTTTCAAATCGCCTATTTCTACCTCACACTTCAGCGGAAACGTTGCAATGGTCGCTGAGATCACGCAATTATTTTGGACACAACAGTAATGATCATCAGACTATGAATAAACAAACAACCTGCTTTTTATAATCATGTGATGCTTTATAAAGATTTCCAATCATACAGGGTATATCAGTTGTCAATGCAACAAAAGTGTTGAGTCTCAATGAACATTTTCTGTGCATACTGTTCTCTGTATTGTCCTCAGATAATCATTTTTCCATTATTTTAATCATGCTTCTTCCCATATGTGCGCTCAAAATCGTAAGTTTGCAGACCATTTCTGCTTAAAATCTGATGCTTTTTCATATTAATTTAATTTTTTTATGTAGATAAACTCATTGAATTTCTTTTGATAAATGAAAAAAATACAAGATAGTTTAGTACTAAATATAAGTAAATTACATACCTTGCAGCCGCTAAGCAGGGATACTTGGAGATATCAGACATATCTTAAAAAGCCCATACAATGTAGTGGTAGCTAATTTTCCTTAATTTTTCATTATGATCGCACACATAAATTTTAATATTCGTTGACAAGTTAGTATGACAGTATGACTTATACAGGGTGACTTCGAAGTTGAGTCATTTATTTTAACAGTGAGTAGATTTGATCAAAAGAAATGTTTTTTTCCTTTAACATTTTTCTGGTAAAGTTAAAGTAACAAAGTTATAGCCCTTTAGAAGTTTGAGTACCGCCCTGTCTCAATAATAATATTATGTGCTCGTGTTTGGCAACAACGGATATAATCCGCCTTATCGGTTCATCGCATCGGAAACAAAAAAGCGAAAGAACTTAATACGCTTATCACGATGTTTTTACTACAATTTTATTCAGTTGTATTCAGTCAATATGTCAGTCGGTAACGCGTGAGTGCATAGTGGTGTTTGTTGAGTGGCTCAAACGAAATAAAAAATGGCACATGTTTACGAAAATGCTGAATTTGTGGACATGATTCTTATTTACGGGGGAGTCTTTACAAAATGCTGCCGCGGCATCACGGATTTATGCGGATCGGTTTCCCAATAGAGTGCTACTAACCCCTCGTGCCTTTGTTAATGTAGTACAAAGGGCTCGTGAATCAGGTGACTTAAGACCTCACAGGGGAGGGCATGCCGGTGCTCCAAGACCGCACGATCAAATACAGGCCCGCACTGAATTTTTTTTTATTTTTACACATATTTTGGTTTATCTTCCTTCTACAATCATTATCTGAAAATTAATGACTCAACTTCAAAGTCTTGCGTAATTTAAAAAAGTTTGGTAGTTCGAAAATATATGGACTTCGAAATGGTGTTTCTTGATCTTAAGAGCTTTTGCAGAAGTCTCTATAGCGTCTTCTATCTGTGGAAAATCCATCAAAAATACTCTTTCTGTGTGACGGGAAAACAGTTTGACATTTTATCTCTGTTGACAGGTAACAAAATGTCACTTTTAATGCAATTACTTTTTTCCCCGGGAAAAAAATGAGTACTTTTTTCCCGGATATTGATGGTTTTTGTTGTTGTGCGAAAAATAAGCCAATCACACTGTCTCCGACAAAGAACTGCATGTTTTTTCATTTTCCATTTCATGAATTTTTGTGACGCTGCTTTGGCTACTTCCACTGATTCCGATGGAGTCAAAGAAAATTTATAGTATTAAAAATATACTTTTAAGTTCACAATTTTTAAGTCAAATCACAAAATTAAATTGACAACTATTTGATTAGTTTAAAAGTTTCCTTAGCAACGCAGGTCTAATTTTCGCTATAAGTACAACAAAGCCTACTAATTTCAAAATTTTCTGACTCAAATATTGTAATAATATAATTTTTCAATATTGAATCGTTGTTCTGCCCGTCTCCGAAAAGAATTGTGTATTATACTTTTAGATTTTAGCATTAGTACTTTTTTCCCTTGTATAATAAATAAATATTAAGGATTTTTCTAGCACTTTATTCATAACAAATGGAAAATTCTAACACTACTTAACACACGATGCGTTGATTCATTTTGCACTAACTACCAACTAAAATATTCCTGTCTTCTTGTGAATATTCTGAAACAAAAAAATCTACATGCCAAAAAGTCACCAACTACAGTTCTTAACGCTACTATATCCAGTAAAGAGTATGTTCTTATAACGATCAATTTATCACCAATCGATTATATGTGTACTACATCTTTCTCGATTTCTTCTTTAAATGTTGTCCGAGGAATACTAAATGGGTGGTTGGAGATCATGTCCAAGGTTATAAACAGACAGAAGGACATTTGTGCAAGTGTAGCAAAGACTTCGAGATATATTAAATTTCCATAATACTCACACGTGGGCCCAAGAAAATCGTGAAGGTCATTTCCAACACCGTTTTAAAATGAATATTTGGGTGGGTATTCGTGACGATCAGGTAATTGGCCCTTTCGAGTTACCACCAACGTTGTTTGTGGTTTCTTCATGACGGGGCACCACCACACATTTTTAGAGGCGTCATTCAGTATTTCAATGAACATTATCCAAATCGCTGGATCGGTCGAAATGCTTCTGATCCTCGAAAATGGCCAGCAAGATCTCCTGACCTCAATCCGATAGATTTCTGGCATTGGGGAGAACTTAAAGGGATGGTTTATGGGGCTGGTCCAATAACAACTGAAGCACAACTTCGCGAAAAAAATCTTAATGCGGCTGAGATAATAAATGGACAACTTCGAGAACCTAGATTAAGAAGAAACTGGGTTCGTCGTAATGAAGCTTGTGCGGGATTTGGAGGACGACATTTTGAACACCTTCTTTAAACACAAAGAAAAACAATGTATGTATCAAAATTGTGTTCCCTATTTCCACCCGTTTAAATAAGGACTATCATAACGTTTACACCCTATGTTCACAGTTGGATCTCGAACCACACAAACGCTACGTAGCGGCAGCAAAATTGGACACCGTTGCCATTGCACTTACTGTCATTGTGACGGGTCTTCTTCAGCAATACTCTCAATACCACGTCCTGAAAAAATTAAACCGTTAGATCGGAATAGAAATAAATGGCAGATCAATATCACCTTGCGCTGAAGAAGTGACACAATGGCACGTTTGCGTTTTTTGATGGACATCTGAAAGTTTAATCGGTTTTGTTTACCAGTACTGTCTCGATCGAAGGTTTTGTCAACTGTTTCAAATGCAGGGTGATTCGCTAGTCGTGGATGAAACATCATTCACAAGACCGCATTAAAAAGATACGGGGTGTTGAAGTTCTTTTGTCGTTACTACTACCATTTTTTTAGTCAAGTCAAAAGTTCCTTTTTTCTATGTTTGTTTGCTTGTTGTCAAATGAAATTTAGCAATGATGAGTACGCCGATATTATTTTGTGTACGGGTTCTGTAATGGAAATGCTTTAGGGAGTATTATATGTTTCCTAACAGACGTCATCCTGCCCCAAAGGTTTCTACGCGTTCATTTCTAAGACTTTGGCAATCTGGAATTGCCAAATTTCCCGGAGTTACTGTTCATCAGTTACAAGAAAGAATAGACAATGCGTCTCATCAAACTCAAGCCACAACAAATGTTGCGTGTTTCTTTATATACTAAGTGACATATAAATCCGAACACCCAGTTTGAATGGTTTTATTTTAATAAAATTTTGTATAAGTACTTAATGAAGCATAATAAGTAAATGATAAAAATTTCAAAATGATTGCACTGCTTTAAAGTCCTTTGACCTTTAATAATGTGTGGATGCACCCTGATGTGCTACGCATTCTCCAACGCGCCTAGGCATGCTTCTGATCAGGTGGTCAATGTCCTCCTGTGGTATCTCATTCCAGGCAACCACCAACTCCTCTCGAAGTGCTTCTAGAGTCTGAGGAGGACGTTGCAAATTGAGCAATCTCCTACCCATCATATCCCACACGTGCTCAATTGGGGATAAGTCGGGTGATCTTGGTGGCCATGGTAACAATGTGACATCATTATGTTGAAAGAAGTCTATTGTGACTCTTGCAACATGTGGTCGGGCATTATCTTGTTGGAAAGTTGGATCTGCCAAGGTGTCAAGATAGGGTAAAAGATGGGGTTCTAGAACTTCGTGGATATAACGCTGCGCGTTCATGTTACCTCTGATGAAGATTAAAGGTGACCTGGAACCATAAGCTATCGCACCCCAAACCATAACTCCAACAGTGTGATGAACATATCTTTCAACAAAAAACTGTGGATTCCTCCTTTCACCACGTCGCCTTCTAACCCTGGCACGACCATCGTGCATGCCTAAACAAAATCGAGACTCGTCACTAAAGACAATACTGTCCCATTCCTGATCCCAGAGTGACCGTTGTCTGCACCACTCAAGGCGATTACGTCGGTGTTCTCGAGTTAAAGGGAGGACCCAGTGTGGCCGGTATGAAAACAAGCCAAAACTTCTCATTCGTCGGCAAACACTTCGCATGCCAATAGGTCTTCAATGTTCTGCAAACCATTCATTTGCAATGGACCTGGTAGTGGAGAAACGGTCCCTTAAGGCCAATAATCTTAGGCGGCGATCTTCACGGTCTGTTGTTCTACGGCGGCGTCCAGTGCCCCTTGCTCTTTGCGTACGGCCTTCTCGAAGCCATGCCTGACAACACCTAACCACAGTGTCTACACTTCTTTGCACTCTACTACAATTGCCCGAAAAGAAAGTCCAGCTTCCCGAAGTCCCACTATACGGCCCCTATCAAACTCACTAAGTTGACGAAATCGTACAGGTCTCCGTACTCTAGGCATCGTAACCGATCGTAAAGGATATCATCAAGAACCAAAATCCGCCAACGTTGATTCTTTACTGCGGCTGAAATATTCATTTTTAGAGCGTTAGTGAATTAAAAAAAGCACTATAAAAACCGGAATGTCCAACTGATAAGGCTGAAAATTTTTTCACTTGTTATTTACAGTAAGATGAATACATTCACCAACTTTTATTAAAATAAAACCATTTAAACTGGGTGTTCGGACTTTTATGTCACTTAGAAAAAACACAAGAGTAATTATTTGTAAAAAATTGAAAGCAAAAGTTGAAAAATCGCGCGTTTCGAAAAAAAAAACAGTGGCGTATCTGCGCCACTGATGCACGTTAGTTTTAAGTAAAGACTTTTAAATATGGACAATACTTAGGTAAATCCACATACCAAATTTTAGTCCATTCCAGTTGACGATTTTGAAGATATTAAAAAAAATGTTTTTTATTTTTAAACATCAATTAAGTCCTCAAGGAAAACATGTTAGTTAGTTAGTTTGGTCACCACTTGTGAATCACCCTGTATAATAAAAGGTGCGGTTTTTACCTTTCATGCTGGAACCAGCTGTTTGACTGCTCACTGACGTACTCTGACTGGTCCCTGAAAAAGTCATGCGAGTTTCGAAACTGTATATTTAGGAAGTCATATCTTTTATTTATACTAAGTGACATATAAATCCGAACACCCAGTTTAAATGGTTTTATTTTAATAAAATTTTGTATAAGTACTTAATGAAGCATAATAAGTAAATGATAAAAATTTCAAAATGATTGCACTGCTTTAAAGCCCTTTGACCTTTAATAATGTGTGGATGCACCCTGATGTGCTACGCATTCTCCAACGCGCCTAGGCATGCTTCTGATCAGGTGGTCAATGTCCTCCTGTGGTATCTCATTCCAGGCAACCACCAACTCCTCTCGAAGTGCTTCTAGAGTCTGAGGAGGACGTTGCAAATTGAGCAATCTCCTACCCATCATATCCCACACGTGCTCAATTGGGGATAAGTCGGGAGATCTTGGTGGCCATGGTAACAATGTGACATCATTAGGTTGAAAGAAGTCTATTGTGACTCTTGCAACATGTGGTCGGGCATTATCTTGTTGGAAAGTTGGATCTGCCAGGGTGTCAAGATAGGGTAAAAGATGGGGTTCTAGAACTTCGTGGATATAACGCTGCGCGTTCATGTTACCTCTGATGAATATTAAAGGTGACCTGGAACCATAAGCTATAGCACCCCAAACCATAAGTCCAACAGTGTGATGAACATGTCTTTCAACAGAAAACTGTGGATTCTTCCTTTCACCACGTCGCCTTCTAACCATGGCACGACCATCGTGCATGCCTAAACAAAATCGAGACTCGTCACTAAAGGCAATACTGTTCCATTCCTGATCCCAGAGTGAAAGTTGTCTGCACCACTCAAGGCGATTACGTCGGTGTTCTCGAGTTAAAGGGAGGACCCAGTGTGGCCGGTATGAAAACAAGCCAAAACTTCTCATTCGTCGGTAAACACTTCGCATGCGAATAGGTCTTTTGTGTTCTGCAAACCATTGATTTGCAATGGACCTGGTAGTGGAGAAACGGTCCCTTAAGGCCAATAATCTTAGGCGGCGATCTTCACGGTCTGTTGTTCTACGGCAGCGTCCAGTGCTCCTTGCTCTTTGCGTACGGCCTTCTCGAAGCTATGCCTGACAACACCTAACCACAGTGTCTACACTTCTTTGCACTCTACTGCAATTGCCCGAAAAGAAAGTCCAGCTTCCCGAAGTCCCACTATACGGCCCCTATCAAACTCACTAAGTTGACGAAATCGTACAGGTCTCCGTACTCTAGGCATCGTAACCGATCGTAAAGGATGTCAAGAACCAAAATCCGCCAACGTTGATTCTTTACTGCGGCTGAAATGTTCATTTTTAGAGCGTTAGTGAATTAAAAAAAAGCAGTATAAAAACCAGAATGTCCAACTGATAAGGCTGAAAATTTTTTCACTTGTTATTTACAGCAAGATAAATACATTCATCAACTTTTATCAAAATAAAACCATTTAAACTGGGTGTTCGGATTTATATGTCACCTAGTATATTTCTGTTTACCTAAGGCTAGCTTTTTGTGATTGGTTACGCAGCAAAATGATAAGAAGTCCAGCTTTTCTAAGTCAAATATTGTTTACAGATGAAGCCGGCTTTTCGCGCAATTTGGTACTAATTTTCACAACAATCACATTTGGGCCTTAATAGAAAAACATTTCAAAAACAGTTTTCTTTCAATATTTGGATTGGAATTATCGGTGACTATCTTATCGGGCCTCATTCTTTTCCACCTATACTTAATGGAGAAGAATACCGAAGGTTTTAAGAATTTGTTTTGCCTGGACTTCTGGAAGAAATTCCAGTCATGGAAAGATTATGTATTACCACGCTTACAAAACTCCCATTGAAAGGAACTTACTGAATAGAATCATTAATAATAACGGGTGATTCATTTAGAGGTACTTTTTTGGTGTGGCGCATGCGTCATGACAACTGATTTGACATGTTCTGTTTCAGTGTTGTTCGACATTTCATCATGCAAAGACTTAGTCCAGCACAGCGTCTACAAATAATTCAGCTTTACTACGAAAATCAACGTTCTGTGAGATGTGTGTTTCGATCAACTTATTTTGTACATAATCTGCCCACCGAACGCGCAATTCGCCGTACGGTCGAAACATTTTAAACCCAATTTTCATTATTGGATAATACCCGACCAAATAGACCACATCCAGCACGCAGTGAAGAAAATATAGCTGCGGTAGATGAGAGTATACGTGAGGAACCGATTCGGCGCCGTTCTCAACAACTTGGCGTATTTTACGTGAGAATCTTAATTCGAAACCACACAAAATTCAACTCGTTCGAGAATTGAAGCCGGCCGATCTTCCAAAGCGTCATCGTTTCAGTCTTTTGGCTCTTGCACGGCTTGAAGAAGATCCGATGTTTTCGAGCAAAATTTCGTTTAGCGATGAGGCCCATTTTTGGCTTAACGGCTACGCTAATAAACAAAACTGTAGTATTTGGCGTGAAGAACAACCCGAAGTGATTCAAGAGCTGCCATTACATCCAGCGAAAACAACGGCTTGGTGTGGTTTATGGGTCGGTAGAATCATCGGTCCCTATTTTTTTAAAAACGAAGCCGGTCAGAACGTAACTGTGAATGGTGCTCGTTTCCGCGCCATGATAACGGATTATTTGCTGCCTGAAATTGAAGCCCGTAATCTCGATGACATTTGGTTCCAACACTTGCCACACAGCCCGTGCAACCATGGCTTTATTGCGAGAAATTTCACGATTTGGACCAGTGAATTGACCACCTAGTTCATGTGATATCACACCTCTAGACTTTTTCCTTTGGGGCTACGTTAAGTCCAAAGTCTACATTGATAAGCCCAATACGATTGAGGAATTAGAAGCCAACATTATGCAGGTCATTCGCCAAATTCCAGTCGAAAAGCTCCAACGTGTCATCGACTTTAGAATGGACCATCTCAACCGCAGTCAGGGTCAACATTTGGAAGAAATATTTAAAAAATAAATGTCAAAAATACTTCTTTTCTTTAGTAAAAAAGATTTGACAAGAAAAAAGAATTTTGTTATTTTATTTTGTTGCTGAAAAAAGTACCTATATAACTGACATTTTGTCGATTTTCCTTTTTTGCACGTTTCGGATAGATTAAACTGGATATTCTTTGCCCATTTTTTGAAAATTAACTTTTCGAAAGTACCGGTCGTATTTTAATGAAATTTTCACACGATGTTACTAATGTATGTCACAATTTAGCAGATGCATATATCGAGGTGCAAATCGTCAATTTTACATTGAAGTTGACGTTATTTACCGCTATATCCTGCCTCTGATGATCTGTAACTTGTCTCTTGGGCTGGCCTGTAGAAAGAAAGGTTTTAATATCAATTGATTGGAAAAATCAGGTCGCAAGGCCGATGTTACGTATGTCCTGATAGTTTTGACACAAAATATTTATCGGTTTCTTTTAATGAAGAAATTTAGTTAAACACTAACTAGCTATCATAAATTACAACTCATTACTATACGATCGAATTATGTCTCTTTCGATATTTAAAAGCAATTCCAACGATATCGTGCTCTTAGAAGGCCTTGTTGACATTCCAACTTGATTTTTTGATCTTTTCACCAATTTATCGGTGTTCGAATAATGGATCTACGGGAAATGTTTTCATTCAGGAATATTCAACAGATATCAGCTTTGGGTACTCGCCCAAACAACTTGTAGATACTTTTTCTTATTTCTAATTTATACGACATCGTAAAGCAGAAACTTCAAAATAAATAAATGACAACCGACAGTAAAGTAAGTAAACTTTTGTCTCCAAAGGCAACTTGATATTATTTTGTGTTTGTTAAAATTAAAGTCAATGAATTTTGTGACAAAACTTTTCAGACATACGTTAATCTGTCTGTTTTATCAAATAACATTCAGATTCGACATTTTAGTACTACTTGTATTACTGAACTAAGCCCAGTTGGCATATCTTATTTAGACATAATTTGTATGATGTAAATGCTGGGCAACCTATAATTGTAGATTTAACAAGTGATTTCTCAATTTTACTTTAAATTTTGTCAAAGTTTTCTGGTCTTTTATCTCTGAGTATAATTTATTATATTCAATCAACCCTTGATGGAATACAGATTTGTAGCATATGTTATACTTTTTGGTCATTAAATGGAAATCATCTTTATCTATTATGTAAATGATGGTCGACATTTGATGATGTTAAATTAGTTAGACTTGATGGAAATATATTATTTTTTACTTTATAAATGAATATCATTACAAGATATTTGATAAATTTTTTTACATTGAGCCATTTTAATTTGCTAAGCATTTGCCTAATTGGCGTATATTTATCTTTATTTAGTAGTATTCTCATGCACTTATTTTGTAAAATTTGCAGTCTTTCAAAAATGGAATTATTTGCTAAATATAGAATAGTCGAACAGTACAAGAAATTTGGAAGAATGATGGTATTATAGATAATTTTTCTGCTATATGAACTCAGACATCCAGAAACTCTCGATAAATATCCCACTTTACTACTAATCTTATTTATAACTTTTTCATAATGAATATCAAAAATTAATCGAGAGTCAACAAAAATCCCAAGGTATTTAAAATTTTCTACGAATTCAATATCTTCACCATCAATATTCAGTTGAACATTTGTACATTGTTTTTTTCCGATTAACAAGGCTTTCGTTTTACTTGTATTTAATTTTAGTCTGTTAGATGCTAACCATTTTGAGACAAGTTTCAAGTCTTCATTTAAAGAATAGATACCAGACTGAATATTTTTAGTATTTATATAAATCATAGTGTCATCGGCGAAAATATGAATTTTGCATTTTTTGACTATGGCAGCTAAATCGTTTATGTATAAAATAAAAAGAAGTGGTCCCAGGATACTGCCCTGTGGAACACCCAACGTATTTTCAATTTTTGATGAAATAATGTCATTAACTTTTGTAACCTGCATCCTTTTAGATAAATAATTTCTAAACAAATCTAAAACACTTCCTGTTATACCATATGCCTTCAATTTACCTAACAAAATATCTCTATCAATCGTTTCAAATGCCCTCTTCAAATCCAAAAATACTGCTATGACAACTTCTTCTGAGTCTATGGCTCTTCTCCAATTCTCAGTTACCAACTGGAAAGCTGTTTCTGTGGAATATTTTTTTCGAAAGCCTGCTTGCGCCTCCACTAAAATTTTGTTTTCTTCTATAAACTGCAATAATTGGTCATGCACTGTGGACTCTAATAATTTTTCAATGTCTGGCAACACATTTACTGGTCTCATATCGCTGCATCTTTTAGAATTTGTTATTTTGGGAACTGGTGTTATTGTACAGCATTTCAGGAAAAGAACTGCTTCTCAGTGAACAATTGATCCAATTTAATACAGGATGTCCCAAAATTTCGAAACAGTTTTTCAGCACGTTTTTAGTAGTGATTTCGGCACAGTTTTCATTTGATTTTAAACTGTTTACTTTTTTTCTTAGATAATTCAATGATACGCTGTGAAATTTTGAAAGTGTATGCAACATTTCCCCCTGGAAACTGATTTTCATATAGTCAGGTGCAGCCTTGGCAGTACCCACAATATCAACAATACTTTCCACAAAATATTCATTTAGTTTGTTTGCAATCACCAAAGAATTTGTTTCGGTACCGTTTTCGAATTGAACTTGATTTACACAAAAAAAGGTTTTTCGCATTTCCTGAAAATGTTTGATGAGTAGTTTTTCCACTAGACCATCGATATTTATGTTCATTATGCGACCGTTTACTTAGAACTTAGACAGTCAGATACAAACTAATAAGAAAAAAACTAAGATTTCAATAGTTGGGCCAACTGAAGTAAGAGGGGGCTCGTATATTATAGACCAGGTATTTCCCCGTATGTAAAATACCGTTCTGGTATTCACCGACGGGGAATCACCGATGAGGAGTCACCGACACAGCGTTTCGTTTAGTAATTCCCCGAATGTTATGAGTTACGATTTCCGACCGGTTTGTTGATACAATTTGGTGTTCGCACATTTTAATATATTTTGAATCATATTTTATAGGTACAAGCGAAAGGTATTTTAGAAGTAATATAATTTGTTTCTTAGTTTATTCTCTATCTCTCGTTTATTTTTTGTCCCTTCTGCTTAAAATTGTCTTATAGAATTTAGAATTCTCTAGATTTTGTACAAATTTCAATAAACCTCCCTTTTTCCCTAAGCTTGCTCGTAATTCTCTAGATATAGGGAAATTTCCCTAGGTCTGGTAACAATGTAAAAACTAACATCGTTGACCAACCAAAATGTTGACTCGGTGCGCGTACCAGCAGCGCAATCCGACTAAACTATCGGCCAATAGAAAGTTGTTTACGCTCCTGTCGCGGTACGAAAAATCGCAGTTTGCCGTGATTGGAGCTGCAGTTATCAGGCGGTTTGTGATTTGTAGCGAAGCCAACTCCGAATTTGCGCTCGCGCTAGCCAGATAACCTGATTTTTATAACAATGATGCATACCTATGTACATGTTCGTCTACGTAATCCCTTTCAGGAACTGTATCGGACTCTAGCATGTGCTGTTCTTCTGGTACTAGACTGGCGGCACGGTACTCCTGCGAGTAGAATCTATCTGTCGTCCTACGTGTCGTATCTAAAAATTTTTCATTTAATAATAATAATGTTTATCGTCACAAAGTACAGGTAAACATTAAATATTGTGCGCAATAAACATAAAGTGCCCAAAAAAGTTTGCACTTGTGTTTGGGTTTGTTCAAAATAAAAGCTAAAAGTACAGTCAAAACGTAAATACTATATAATTTGGTGAATTGAAATATATATATATATATATATATATATATATATATATATATAACTTGAGACGTGGTCATTGTCGTCTAGACCAGTTAGGTGAAAAATTAAAGCTTCCACCTTTTGTTGGGTACTTCGACAAAATTTAAGCAAAGAGGACTCTTTATACTTTTTTAATCCTCTCTAGCTTTCAATGGACTTTGCCGTCATCATCAGGAGCTGCAATTACAATGATAACAGTAGCAACAAAAGTGTAAAATGAATTTAAATTGACTCAACTTACAGTAGTATGTGAGGATGTTGCTAATTGTTGTTTACGTATAGGATGAGGGAAACGTCCAGTAACATGGTGAGAGCTGGATAGATGATACAATGGTCAAAATTATATAAAATATGACAAGAACAAGTTAAAAACAGATTAAAAATTGTTTAAAAACATTAAAGCATTACATCGTGAAGCCACTTGATGATTGCACAAAATGGTGGTCATGGAATGATGACTGAGATGAACCCTTTGACAGAAGGCCGAAGGTTGTCAATGTCTGTGTAGAAGGATGGAACGAATTGTGGGCGTGTGCCAACGTTGCCAAATCACTTCAGATGATGTGATTTTCAGAATGTTATGTAAGAAATTGTTAAACCGACCAGAGGCAGTTGAATAAACTATATTTTAATTAATGGGAAATTAAATTAACAATTATTATTAAATCGTGAGAAGGGAATTATTAGAATTTGAGTGGAATGAAATTTACTGGTGGAATCGACCAAGATACAGATTCTATTTATGGTTGTGAAAAGTCAAAATTTGGGGAGATGTGTAAGTTCTACAACAAAATTATATTATTGTTTTTCAACGTAAACAGTGAAGGAGAACTACCTGTTGATCTGGAAGAGGAGACTAGCCGAATGCTTCTGCTTCTCGAGCACGGGCATGGCGAAGTGCCGGTAAAATCGCTAGTTCGGCTGACGCTTCTATAGGAGGCGCCGCTGGACAACGGGGCCAGGTATTTGTCTACGGGGAATGTGCCCCCGTAGGACATCGGTCTGATGATGGGGTGCACCGCGTTGCACCTTCGTTTTCGGACCACGGGGCATTCGATTTCGTTCAACTCCATTACTGGAAGAAAAGTGCACTATTAAAATCCCTATTAACTGGAGCGAACAGCGAGTGAGGTTTTAAAATTCGTTCATATTGAGCCTGATTGTACAGGGTGGCTAACTACGAATGCGACGTACTGTATCCATGGTAGACGCTTACGGCAAAAACAGTTATTACTAAAACGACCAAAAGAAAAACCCGGAATATATTTTCCAGTTTCTGAAATGGCCGCTAGGGGGCGTAACTGCAATGTTGAATACAAAAAAGTGATGTTTCTGTGAATTCCACTATATCAACCTAACAAAAAAATACCTGATCTTTAAATTCGTGGATAATCTGAACCTTTCTTGTTTGACAATTTTTGTTGTATCTATAAAAATAAAATGGTGGGGGGTATTGAAAGGTTTCCGTATAAAACCTTCCAAACGGCTGAGTCGATTTTAACGAATTTGGGCTAGTTTAAAAGAGCTATTCTTGGACTACAAATGTTATAATATTTGAAGTTTTGTTAGTTTCACATGTGGCCGCTACGGGGCTTTTTCGAAATTCCGACAGAAATACTTGATTTTCTCAAAAAAATTAAATGCATTCGTATGAAAAGTAGCTAAATGATGTCTGAATAAGCCGCATCTCGATATTTTGTTCCTAACCTTCAATTTAGGCCAAAGAAAATTTTATACAATCCCTTAAATTTTTATTTTTTTAAACTAATTTTTCAGGAACTAGTTTTCAAAAAATTATTATTACCATTGATAAAATATTTGTAGTGGGTTATTCATTCGTTCGTTCCTCTTCTCCAAGACTAACTTCGAATGATCTAAAACAGGGCTGTCCAACTTAATGTGGCCCAAGGGCCACTTCAAAAAAAAATGCAGTTTGGAGGGCCGCATTATAAAATCTTTCTATACAACATTATTACTGAGTTTTAATAGGTATATACAGAAATAGTTTTTCTATTATTTTTATTTATTCAAAGAATATGAAATTACAAAAAAGTCAGTGGGACATTTGAGGATGTTGGTTTTCTAATACTAATGCATCAATATTAACATTAATATACTAAGTGACATATAAATCAGAACACCCAGTTTAAATGGTTTTATTTTAATAAAAGTTGGTGAATGTATTCATCTTACTGTAAATAACAAGTGAAAAAATTTTCAGCCTTATCAGTTGGACATTCCGGTTTTTATACTGCTTTTTTTTAATTCACTAACGCTCTAAAAATGAATATTTCAGCCGCAGTAAAGAATCAACGTTGGCGGATTTTGGTTCTTGACATCCTTTACGATCGGCTACGATGCCTAGAGTACGGAGACCTGTACGATTTCGTCAACTTAGTGAGTTTGATAGGGGCCGTATAGTGAGACTTCGGGAAGCTGGACTTTCTCTTCGAGCAATTGCAGTTAGAGTGCAAAGAAGTGTAGACACTGTGTTTGGTGTTGTCAGGCATGGCTTCGAGAAGGCCGTACGCAAAGAGCAAGGGGCACTGGACGCCGCCGTAGAACAACAGACCGTGAAGATCGCCGCCTAAGATTATTGGCGTTAAGGGACCGTTTCTCCACTACCAGGTCCATTGCAAATGAATGGTTTGCAGAACACGGAAGACCTATTGGCATGCGAAGTGTTTACCGACGAATGAGAAGTTTTGGCTTGTTTTCATACCGGCCACACTGGGTCTTCCCTTTAACTCGAGAACACCGACGTAATCGCCTTGAGTGGTGCATCATTGATCCCATTGTAAGTCCTAAGTTTCGCAAGTTGGGGTATCGTTCTCCTGGCAGTAACTTAAAAAAGTCCAAGCCAGTTTCAGTTCTTCCTTGGTAAAAAGGATCTGATTCCAAATCACACAATTCCAGTTGAAGGTCTGCTCTGTTTACGTTCTCAACAGAAATTGTTAGTGGCTGAGTAAAAACTGAAATGTCGCTTTCGATTTTTTTAAAGTCACTAAATCGATTTTTGAATTCTTCTGCAATCGTGTCAATGTATTTTATATGAGGTAAATATGAAACTTCCTCAAAATCCTTCATTTCTTCGAAATGTTCTTTACAAGTTGGAAAAAATGAAAAATAATTTTTTTGTAATGAAGACATGAAAAGCTTAATTTTATTCTTAAACCCATTTATGTGTCCAAATAAGTTGGCAATATTCTTGTAGCTTCAAATTCAATTCGTTAAGGTGAGATGTCATGTCTGTTAAAAATGCAATGTCTGCTAAAAATTGTGCATCTGCCACTTGATTTTCCAGCTCCGTAGTGTCGGACTTCATTTTTAAGGAAAATAGGAATTTCCTTGCGTAGAGCGAAAAATCGTTGCAAACACTTTCCGGCGCTTAACCAACGAACATCGGTGTGAAGTAACAAGTCCCTATGTGTAGCATCCACTTCGGCCAAAAAATCACGAAACTTTCTGTGAGTCAAAGCACGATTGCCCCCTCTAACAATATTAGTTATTTTAACAGCCACTTTCATGACATTTATTTGATGTACAGATTTTCCACATAAGCTTTTTTGTTGAACAATACAATGTATCATAGGACAGTTGATGCTGTTTTGTTTCAATAGTCCTGCAAATCCAATTTCAGTCCCTGTCATAGCTCTGGCGCTATCAGTGACAATACAGGAACATTTATCAAGTCCCCCGTATTCTGACACCAACTTATTCACAGCAATGTTGGGGTTTTCCTTTACACGACGTGTAGATCTTGAAACCATAAGCAATTTTTCTTAGTACCATATACACCAATGTCTTACGGGAACCGAGATAAAGGGCTCTGCAACATCAAAAATATCTGAATACCGTCCTGTAGCCGCGACATCCCTGAGTGGTACTAGGACACTAGCTCAACCCGACGACAGAACTGGGTCGGGGTCAGTGTCAGGTCAGTATGCAACCTTCAACCGACGGTTACGGTCACGCGTGTAGAGGTAATCGCGTAGACGAGAATCCCTCAACAAGCACTAGAGAAGTGCAAGTATCAAAAACTAAAGTGTGGCAAACGCTGCGTGAAGAGGGGCTGTATCCGTTTCACGTGCAACGTGTGCAAGCCCTTCAAACTGACGATTTTCCAGCAAGAGTGCGGTTTTGTGAGTGGTCGTTGCATCAACATGACAATAATCCGGACTTTTTGAAGTGCATATTGGTGACAGACGAATCTACGTTCACGCGTAATGGGGTGAATAACTTTCGCAACACTCATGTTTGGTCAGTAGAAAATCCGCATGCTGTCCGTCGGGCACATTTTCAACAAACATTTTCGGTGAATGTTTGGGCTGGCATGGTGAACGGTATGCTCATTGGACCATTTATTCTCCCAAATTTGTCATATTTGTTACCTCTGTTCGTGGTCTGCACCACCGCCGGCGTCTGCTCGGTAGTGCATCAGCTGATTTCATTTTCTGATTTCGGGCAGAGACGTACTTAGCCCTTCTCGTCAGCTGGAGAGTGAGTACTTTTTCCTTTATTTTTTTTTACTTGGTCGCCCTCGTTTCACTACGCATTACCTTTGTTATTTCAAGGTTGTTTCTGAAAAGGAAAACCCCAACTTTGCGGACACCCTGTATCTGTACCGTTGGTTGTACCATGGAGAGGAATAAGGTCAAGCATCTCCTCTGCTACACTGAAGTCGTCTTGAATACTTCGGATAAAAATTACAAGCTGGCTAATGTCAGACAGATCAGTGCTTTCAGCCAGGCATAGCGAAAAATATTTACATTTTTCAACCACGTCACGCAATTTTTTGGATACATGTTCATTGAAATGGACCACCCGTCTTGCAATTGTTTAATGCGATACTGAGACTGTTTCAAATTTTTCGGCAACTTTTAATTCATTCAATTGTTTCGCCATTTCTATTGCACACTTTTTGATAAGCACTCCATCACTAAAAGGTTTTTTTGCTTTGGCAATTTCCAGCGCTATTTTGTAAGAGGCGGCAATACTGCACTTGTTATCAGAGTCAAATTTTTTGTTTGTTGTTATAGTTTTTTCTTGTATTCCGTTATGATAGCCTGCCTCGACGCCCCTGAATATTGCCGAAACGTTCAAGGAGCCAATCTGAGAATGTTCGGCGCGAAAAATGGTCGGCTCGACGCAGCTCTTGCGTCAATTGGATCTTGTAGGCGTGTACATTCAAATCCTTGTGGAGAATGCGGAGCAAACTGGTTCTCGAAATGCCCAATTCTTGGGATCGACGCGTTGTTGATTGTTTCGGTTCGTCTCTCACACTCTCCTTCACAACAGCAATATTTTTCGGTGTGCGAACGCTCCTTGGCCGGCCAGAGCCTGGCAGATTTGCCACAGAACCTGTTGCCTCGAATTTACGCACCAGACGACCGACGGTTGTTTCTTTTGGGCGGTTGTTGCGACCGAAATGTTCACGAAGCGCGCGAAACGTGTTTTTTATTTTTGCACCATTTTTGTAGTGCTCTTGAATAACTTTAATGCGGTCTTCAATCGAATACGACTCCATAGCGATCAATGGTAAACATTCAACTAACAAAATGACATGTCGGTGACAGAAAACAAAGATGGCGTCTATGTCAAATTGACGTTTACTTTCCTGCGTCCCTATTGGACACGCTTTAGAGTTGCTGTGTACTGAAACGCACTAGCACTAGAACAAAACTGCCTGACCCGCTTGATGCAACCTTCTCGAATATTCGGGGATGATCGGTCGCCAGTGGCGTCACATGTTATTGTATTTTATCGTTAATGTAAGAATTGTGCATATTCGGTATTTGAGAGTAATTTATACATGTGATGTATACATGACCCGTGAAGCGGGACAGCCCTGATCTAAAAAAATAATGATGGTACTTACGACAGCATGCAGACACAGCTCTGTCGACGACTCTTTCAATAAGGTTGTCTGCTTTCAAGCATTCTATATTAGTACATACTCCACCTACTTTACCAGGGATTACCCTACGGTCTACAGTTTGTACAGTACTGAAATCTGCGTGTATGTATTCCCTAAAAGGCGAGAGTTATGTTATAAAAATGGTCATCATGGTGCAAATAATGCATTGGAACTTTTAAAAACAAATATCTCGAAAACTATTAGCTTTAGACAGTTCTAACAAGTGAACCTTTTTTGTTGCGGAAATACGAGAAAATAAGATTTTTCGGTCAGTTGTTGTATACAGGGTAGCACAAAAAAGCTATGATAAGTTATTTACCGAAATAGTGCTTTAAGTGGAGCCCTCTAGAAATTTGGCCATAAAAAATAACGGATTCTTGTTTATCATACTAGAAAACATCCCTATACCTCAAGCAACAAGGAAAAATAGAAACTAATTGTAACTTTGACAGCCGGAAACTATCAACCTTTTGGTGTGTAGTATCGCCAGTTTCGAGATTTCCAAACCGTTCGCCATCGGTTGGCGACCCGAGAATAGCTAGTAACGCCATCTACCGGCGACTACCGGAATTACGGAGTCTAGAACTTCCAGAATAAGCTTCGAACGCTCGAGTTTCCGGAACGGATCGAGAAGAGAAGAGGCGACACACGCGTAAAAGGCAGACGGTTCAGCAGCGGCAGGCATTTCGAACAGAGCAGAACTATACAGGGTGTTCCTTAATGATATGCGAATATTTAAGGGTACACGAAAAATATCACGTTTACACTTACCAGCATATCCAAATGCAGTCGATCAAAAACGCGATAGCAGCGATAATGCAAGCAACGATATTGAACGTGATCAATCCCGACGAAGTCACTCTTTTCGTGAAAAGCAGAAGGCCAGCGTTGAGGCAGTACATCAGGAAGCCGGCGGTGGATATGATCATCCAGGTTTTGATGGTTATGGGCGTTTTGACGCACCACGATATCACGTCCGTCGCTGTGATGAACACGAACGCGGCATTCACTGTCGCGTGGACGATCTTCGTTGTTATGAAGACTCTCTTGTGGAACATCAAGATCGATAGAAGCAGGCATACCATGCACAGAATCTGGAAGCGTTTGCGATATATGGAAATATATCTGTACCCCAGAGCCAGACTAGTTTAAGTCCTTTTTTGACAAAAATGAATTTTATGTGTTAAGCTTATGATAATATTGTGATTTTTCATTCGCTACATGCAGCGTCCATCGATCTGTAATAATAAGGATGGCTTTTTAACTCATGTCAAGTCGCATACAATACAAATACAATGCAAGAAAAATATTTCAAATACAATTATACTAAGTGACATATAAATCCGAACACCCAGTTTAAATGGTTTTATTTTAATAAAATTTTGTATAAGTACTTAATGAAGCATAATAAGTAAATGATAAAAATTTCAAAATGATTGCACTGCTTTAAAGTCCTTTGACCTTCAATAATGTGTGGATGCACCCTGATGTGCTAGGCATTCTCCAACGCGCCTAGGCATGCTTCTGATCAGGTGGTCAATGTCCTCCTGTGGTATCTCATTCCAGGCAACCACCAACTCCTCTCGAAGTGCTTCTAGAGTCTGAGGAGGACGTTGCAAATTGAGCAATCTCCTACCCATCATATCCCACACGTGCTCAATTGGGGATAAGTCGGGAGATCTTGGTGGCCATGGTAACAATGTGACATCATTATGTTGAAAGAAGTCTATTGTGACTCTTGCAACATGTGGTCGGGCATTATCTTGTTGGAAAGTTGGATCTGCCAGGGTGTCAAGATAGGGTAAAAGATGGGGTTCTAGAACTTCGTGGATATAACGCTGCGCGTTCATGTTACCTCTGATGAAGATTAAAGGTGACCTGGAACCATAAGCTATAGCACCCCAAACCATAACTCCAACAGTGTGATGAACATGTCTTTCAACAAAAAACTGTGGATTCCTCCTTTCACCACGTCGCCTTCTAACCCTGGCACGACCATCGTGCATGCCTAAACAAAATCGAGACTCGTCACTAAAGACAATACTGTTCCATTCCTGATCCCAGAGTGACCGTTGTCTGCACCACTCAAGGCGATTACGTCGCTGTTCTCGAGTTAAAGGGAGGACCCAGTGTGGCCGGTATGAAAACAAGCCAAAACTTCTAATTCGTCGGTAAACACTTCGCATGCCAATAGGTCTTCCGTGTTCTGCAAACCATTCATTTGCAATGGACCTGGTCCCTTAAGGCCAATAATCTTAGGCGGCGATCTTCACGGTCTGTTGTTCTACGGCGGCGTCCAGTGCCCCTTGCTCTTTGCGTACGGACTTCTCGAAGCCATGCCTGACAACACCTAACCACAGTGTCTATACTTCTTTGCACTCTAACTGCAATTGCCCGAAAAGAAAGTCCAGCTTCCCGAAGTCCCACTATACGGCCCCTATCAAACTCACTAAGTTGACGAAATCGTACAGGTCTCCGTACTCTAGGCATCGTAACCGATCGTAAAGGATGTCAAGAACCAAAATCCGCCAACGTTGATTCTTTACTGCGGCTGAAATATTAATTTTTAGAGCGTTAGTGAATTAAAAAAAAGCAGTATAAAAACCGGAATGTCCAACTGATAAGGCTGAAAATTTTTTCACTTTGTTATTTACAGTAAGATAAATACATTCACCAACTTTTATCAAAACAAAACCATTTAAACTGGGTGTTCGGATTTATATGTCACTTAGTATATCTCAAAACTATTTATTTTGACTTAACCTAGTCTGGCTCCGAGGTACATCCATTGTAAAAGTTTCTTTCCTCATTAAGATTCCGGTATATTTTAACAGCCGCAGTAACTTGGTGTTGTTTAACCTACCAATCGGCATCTATCAACTTTGTTCCTGTGACTTTATTCGGAGTACCCCAAGGCTCCCACGTTGGCCCACTTCGATTTCATGCATTTGTTAACGATGTTGCGGAATCTGTATCAAGTAGCAGTTATTTGATTTTCGCAGATGCTCTTAAATTATTCGGAACAGTGAGAAATATCCACGATTTTCGGAAATCTTACAAAGAGAACTCATAAACTTGTGTCCCCCTCGAAAACAAAATCGACGGGTCTGAACGTTTTTCCAAAAAAAAAACCGAGCTGCCAGTAAATGCGTCTGTTTCGTTTTCGATGCGCCACCCTGTATATTGACGAAGCCGTACAGATTATGCACATCCTAATGGCCAAGGATCCAATTGCTAAACTCTCTTCGCTGTGCATGGTCTGTTGACATAAGCTGATGAGTCAATTGGACTTTGTAGGCATGCAGGTGTAAACCTTTCGTTAGAGTGGGGGTTTAAACGTCCAATTCTTCAAAGCGTAGACGAATCGACGTCTCTGGCGTCTCGGCTGCTTTTTCGCGAAAAGCTCTGACATTTTCTTCTGAACGACCGCTGCGTATCGTATGTTTCACATCGTTAAAAGAACTCAAAATTACGCCACTCCCAGTCGGTGTTGCATTTTCTATGTCGTTTAGTATATCTTCGAAATATTTTTGTGAACGAATCTGAAACCGATACTTACTAGTTCGGTCCACCTGATAACGTTGTGCTCCCGCGTTAAGAAACATCTGCCTAATAGATTATTCCTGTCTACGTACATGGATTACAACTTAATAAGTACAGGACAAAGGGACGATTTTCCTACAGCGAATTCATAGTTATTATTTAGGGCATTTTTGCGTTGTCATTCCAATGACGTTGGAGGGTTAACATTGATTGATTGATGATTTAATTGACGTTGACAGCGGGAGATTTTGAAGGAAGCTAGAGATATACGGTGTCACCATAACCGTACCTGGATCTGTTGTAAAAGCACGATACAAAAACATTTTGAGATTCCTGTGATTAGCGGAAAATATCTGGGAGTCTTTAGATATTTTCTTTAGCGTAAAGTCATAGTTCGCTATGAAATTACTAAGCGCAGAATCCAATTATAGAGATTCCACTGACTAATACAGCAGACGCTCGATAATGTAAACTAATTTAATCCAAGTGTGGTTCACATTATCGAAATGTTTACATTAGCGAACGTGGTTTATATAATATTTGATTTATTAAAAGAAACGTTTAATACATACTATTTATAACAAAATATTCTAACAGCGATAAGTATTTTTTTAATTAGAAGAAAAATAATTAACAATTTTTGTCTGTGTAACTTTGCGCTTAGCATTGTCTTCCAATGCCTGCGCCCGTAATTTACGAAGAACTAAAATATCCGTGTATGAAACTTCTTTTCTTTCAGCCCAATCTAAAGCTTGATTAAAAACTTGTATAGCTTGCGCGTCAGTCACTACACTTCTGACTTCAATGGGATCGTTCTCATCATCCTCACTGTCCATATCCTCCTCCTTATCAGCATCATTCGTCTGCTTATCTTCGTTCCATAAATTAATATCAGCAGGAGTACAAACAATGTTGGGATTCACTGTTTTCAATAAATCAACAACATCCAATGTCACACTCATAACGTTATCATTATTGGATCGCAAACGTTCTCGAATTACGCTTAAGGGGACATCGTCTTCTTCATCATCTTCATTATTGGTACAAAAGAGATTGTTCCAACATTTTTGAATAGTTTGCTGGTTAAGTTCATTCCAGGGCATATGTAAATCTAAAACAGCTTCTCGTAATGTTACTTTTTTTAAAGCCTCAGATAAGTTTTCAGGATTCTTTGATAAGACAGACGAAAGTAGAAACTTCCTATAGTATAGTTTGGTGAGTCTTATTATATTCTGGTCCATCGGTTGAATTAACGGTTTTACGTTGGGCGGCATGTACATGACGAAAATTGACCCATCCCTGCTCCTCAGTTGTTGCTCGGGAGGATGACTTGGTGCATTATCCAATAGTAACAACGCTTTTATTGGAAGCTTCTGTTGTTTTAGGAAACCTTTTACCTACAAATTGAAAACACATCTTCGAATTATGAATAGAGCATTTGTGATAATTGATTGTTATATCTGAGGGACAAAGTAGCTGTGGAACCATTTCAGGCCTTCGTGGTAGTTGGAATATAAAAAAAAAGGATGTGGATGCCATAGTCGTAAAATATATTAACGCGTGCAATGTATTCACTTAAGTTCAAAAATTAAATACATACGTACGTATAAACGTATCCTAAACGATCATACGACTGACCGAGTTTGTCGTATTTTATCGCAGAGGTGAATCCCCTACAATCTACATCATAAATCGGGGACTCCCACCGACGCCCGACATAAATCATCGAGGCTTCAGCATTTTACCGTCGCGCTGTTTCCGTGCGCCGAGAGTTGTTTACGTTATCGAACGTACACATTGTTTACGTTATCGCGCGTTCCGTTCGATCCTATAGAACGAAGTTTGTGTTTACATTAGCGCAAGTTTTCATTATCCCGTGTTTACGTTATCGAGCGTCTGCTGTATGGACCGTAGAGGGTTGAACCTTTTTTTCATAAATAAAATTCAGCAGTCGATCAAGAATTTCGTATTAAAAATATCTTGTAACAAATACAATATCGCTTAAGCCTACAATGGACGGATTTCGATAATACATAATAATATACAATGTTCACTAAACTACTTAATAACATAAACAACATATACATAAAATAACGATTTCTATCAATTGACATTAAAGCACATATGAGATTGAGGTACTGAGTTCTGTTAGCCTTTTTTTGAACACGTTTTCCAACTACACTTTTTATACATTGATACAAATATTTTGTTATTGGAAAGGCACCTTAGGTGAGTGTGCTCTTACGTTAAATGCACCCGGAGCACACAAAGCCAAAATAATCTCTTTAGATAACACATGACTGGCAATTTGTATGCTATAGATATCTAAAACGACCTAATTATACAGGGTGTCCGAAAAAATAGACAGAGATATTTAGGGGGTCATTGCTTGTTAGAAAATGTGAAAAACAGTTTCTATTAACATGGGTCCGGAAATGCAGTTTTGGAAAAAAATGTTTGATCTTTTTAGAGAAATTTCGCAAAGAGAGTTACGTGAATAACTCTGACGCGCATATTTTTAACAAGGATTTCCCCTCTAAAATATCTCCGTCTATTTTTCGAACATCCTATATAGAAAGTAAATCTAAATGTAACTACTATACTATCATATGCCTACTATACATGACTTAACTATTAGTAATCTTAAATTATGTTAACCTAAGCAATCCAGCATCTAATGCACCTATAATTTAATTCACGACGTTTCTAATATTCTTTGTAAGTTTCACCTTTGCGGTCATTAATCAAATGACAAACTTAACTCCAGCAACAATGCATCCGTCAATAAATCTTTGTTCTATAGCTACGAAATAAGGTACTAGCAATTTTAATGTGTTTTGTACTGAACGGTTTCCTTATAATTAGCAATCAGTTAACAATAAGACATATGTATAATTGACTGTTTCAACAACATTGCAAAAATGACTATAGTAATATTATTTTTAAATATTTGGTGATCGGGTGTTCGTACTGAAGTATGTAAAGAATGTGTAAACAATAAAATAGAACGTAACCTAATTGCCCTTGGCTATAACGAGCGTACATTTGTATATCAAGAGAAGCTTTGGTTTCGAGTCGTACGATTAAGTAAATGCTAGTTTAATCTTTGGATCCGATTTGGAAATCTTTTTTCAGGACGAACGTTAGGGCAGCTTCAAGAGCCATCAAAATGACGTTCACGAAAGACAGAATGATGGCTGTGGTCATGTGGAGAGGCAGATGCATATGCGGGGCGTAAAAACTGGCTATGTTCATTTTGTGTGATATCAGCAAAATGCCTGGAAAAAGAAAAATTACAATATAATAATATATTACAATATCACGAATACATTATAATTGATTAGAAATGTAATTTTTGCTGGGTTAGTCGAAAATGTACGGTTGAATATATAGTATTTCTCTCGTTGTATATATACAGGGTGTAAAAGTTTCATATAACATGGCGGTCAAAACGGCTTTTTTTTTTAGAGAAAAGCTACTTTAAATTAAAATAAAATCTGGCAACGCCGCAATGCCAGACGCAAATTACGGCAAAACGCAGTGTAAATAAAGATGGAGTTTGTTATTTTTGGGTCTTAGGTATTATTTCATTATTTGATAATGTACTCGTAAATGCAAACAATTAAAAAACGGACTTACCACTAACTGTCTATGTGTTGGTGTGTGAAAGTTTGTTGAACGTATTAAAAAGAATCCACTTAAAAATAGGGAACACAATTTTGATACATACATTGTTTTTCTTTTCAAAACCCACACTGAACTTTTTTTGTATTTAAAGAAGGTGTGCTTCAGTTGTTATTGGACCAGCCCCATAGACCATCCCTTTAAGTTTCTCCCAATACCAGAAATCCATCGGATCGGGGTCAGGAGATCTTGCTGGCCATTTTCGAGGATCGGGAGCATTTCGACCGATCCAGCTATTTGGATAATGTTCATTCTGTTTGGGTGTACCCGTTGGCGAAATCTGTCGCAAGATTTGAATTCTGACGAGCTTCACCGTAAACTAACAACATGTCGGCGAACTCTTGATTCGAGAACATTGTAAATAAACACGATGACGTACGCGAACAAAAACAAAACACGCCCGATGCCCGATAACCACTGTTACCGTTTACGATCGATTGCCGGTTCGATAAGAGTGATGAAAGGCCGACGCGCTGTTGTCATGTGTGTTTTAAATATTTAATTTAAAGAAACTTACTTACTGACTACAAATTTTGGCTTGACTTAGAAAAACTTAATGCGATTTATTTGTTAGTTACCCAATTTAAAAACGTTTTACATTAGAACTTAAAGTTGTAAACTATAAAGCCATTAAGATAAAATCTATTGACTTTTGGACCATGGGTCATATGAACCTTTTTCACTTGTTTTGACCGCCACTATTACCCATTTCCATAATGACTACCGTAACGTTCACACCCTGTATGTGTCTTGTTAAAATGGGAACTACAATTTATATAACTTTATTATAAACTCAAATAACCGTAAAGTGGAACGTACTCCTAATATCCAAATATTGCTAAAGTAAGTAAGTGTGTGTAAGTGACGACACCACCGCAGATCCTCCACTTGCAGTTTCTTCGTATATTGAAAGACGATTTACTTCTTTTTATATCCAAAGGAATCAGGATTAGGTTAATCCTCTATATTAATTTTTCGTTAGCATTGAAATTTTTGAAAATATTAGTAGCTCCTCTTTGGGCATCCCGACTCACCAAAATTACAGTCAAGGAATAGCGTTATCTGCAAATGTATTAGAGCCATATTTTTAGAATGTTTGACGCTACTTTACAAATTTACGTCGCAACTTTTCGTTAATCCGTTTGACGATGACAGTACGCTTCGTCTTCCTACCTGTCGTTAGAAATAATCCCGCGCCCCAGGCCGCAAAAATAGCGACCGTCCTGAACGGCGTCTTCTCCCCCAGCAAAGCGCCAAGTATCAAAGTCGCGTCGATAACGATGTAGCCTCCAAATGCGGTGTACATCGGAGCCGCGTACGGAAAGTTCGTTTTCCCTAGGCCTGATTGGTAGGTCGTCGTTGGTTCGTACATGAAGCCTATACACATGATGCAAATTACCTGAAACATAAAGAAAAGGACAAGAAGTCGTGTTATAGAATAGCTACCGATATGCCAATCGGCATTGCTGAACGATGAGTCCGTGGTGGTTTTAGGATAAGAGATTCTAAGAAAATCTAATTGTGGTTTTACGTGATTACTTTTATTGTTATTTATTTTGATCAATCACAAAAAGACTTCTCAGTAAGCTATCCGAAATTTGACATTTAACTGACAGCGTAAATGTACGAAAACTGAATGCTTCTTGATGACCAAGACTCAATAGAAAAACCTGACCATTTTATCACTTGTTGTTAATTTCAGGATAAATCGATAAGTAAAAAACACTTGAATTCTGTCGGTGTTTACCATTTTTTGTCACTTGGTATATTTGTCTTATGTATGGACGCATTACGTATGTGCATATCGTTTTGAATTTATTAGAATTTCAATATGATGATTCGTTTTTATTAGTCATTCTAATTGTAGTTTCAATCTTGTTTCTCATAGACTTATCTGGTGCGTGCAAACGTTAATTAATAAAAAATTAATTAATGAAATAAATCGTCGTACTCCATGTATTTCAATCGGAGTCGAACGTTATGACTTTAGATAGATAAATATGATTTATTGTCTGAGAAATCTTTCTTTGTTAATGGCAAACCTAACTTGACACTAAACAAAATTACATATGTTATATACTAAGTGACATATAAATCCGAACACAGTTTAAATGGTTTTATTTTAATAAAATTTTGTATAAGTACTTAATGAAGCATAATAAGTAAATGATAAAAATTTCAAAATGATTGCACTGCTTTAAAGCCCTTTGACCTTTTAATAATGTGTGGATGCACCCTGATGTGCTACGCATTCTCCAACGCGCCTAGGCATGCTTCTGATCGGTTGCTTTTGACCCCTTAACAGGAATACGTGACATTACAAGTCACCCTGTAGAAAGAAAAGAGTACATTTTAAACATATCAACAAACAGAAATCGTCTCCTGCTTATGCGCAACAAAATCCACAATTCCGTTTGACTCGTCTCGATAGAGTTCTTGGAGAAATTGGTATAGCGATTAGATACTCACAATTTCCACAAGTTTTACAATCAGTTGCCAATACTTGCGAGTCGCATCTTGCAGATTGTCCACCGAATCCTCTTCTCTTCTTCCTTCCTCTTCATCCGGATGCGTCTTCTCAGGAGGATTTTCGTCCACGCCGATATATCCACTGCTGTCCATTGTCTTCTAGAATAATGATAATAATATTTATTTAGTCCTTGAGCACAATATGGAAAACGAGTAAATGAATATGAAAGATAGGTCCATAGAAGCCATTACCTGTGAATGGATCGTTAATGTTGCAATAGTGCATGGAATGAAAACACAAATAACACTGATCAACAGCCAAAAAATATCCTAAATAGAATCAACAAAATATTACCATTTTTAATGTGCTAAAACCGGAATGAAACTTATTTTTTCAATATTAGTTCAAGTTTTAGAGATACGGTAATTATATGTGTTCCTGCTGTGACAGTGTTAATATACTGTAATTCACAAGAATGCACGTGCTACATTTTTATATTCGGCAAGGAAAGATGATGTAATCGGCATGATTGTGTTACGTTATACATACGTGTACATTATATTGTTTTATATTAGCCATTTTTTCCTCAGTTGGCTGACAGCGTTCATGCAAGATGTCTCGAAAGTGTGTAAACAATCCAGATCAGTTTTGTTACGTGTGTGGTGATGTGACTTTTGCGTCTCAGAGACGGTCTATTACTCCACTAATAACAAAGGCATATCAGCTTTATTTCGGTTGTAAACTAGGTGATCAAGACAAACAGTGGGCACCCCACATCTGCTGTAATACATGTGCTTCAAGTCTGAGGAGCTGGTTAAATGGCAAAAAACGGTCTATGCGCTTTGCTGTCCCAATGGTTTGGAGAGAGCATACAAATCATATTAATGATTGTTACTTTTGCATGGTACCTTGTGTTGGACAAGCCACAGGTATGTCCAAGAAAAAAAAATCGGTTATTAACTACCCAAACATACCATCTGCGATGAGACCTGTGCCTCACAGTGACGAAAATCCTATTTCAAAACCCCCAGAATCCTACACTTGCGAATCAGAAAACGAATCAGATCATGGCGATCGAGTGATTCGTCAGGAAGAAGATATGCCATCAACGTCAAGAGATCCTGATTTTATACCGAGCACGTCATGCCACCAACCGCACAAAATAACACAGTCAGAATTAAATGATCTTGTAAGAGATTTAGAACTTCCAAAATGTAAGGCAGAGTTACTTGGATCAAGACTGCAGCAGTGGAACTTGTTAGAAGACGATGTTTCGGTATGTGTTTTTCGTAAACGCCACAAAGACAGAACCATTTTTCAATATGGAGAATAACTTGGTTTTCTGCAGTAACATTAACGGCTTACTGGCGGCTTTAAATATAAACTATAACCCAGAAGAATGGAGATTGTTTATAGACAGTTCAACATTGAGTTTAAAGGCAGTGTTATTGCATATTGGAAATATTTTACCATCTCTTCCTGTAGGGTATGCAGTTCACATGAAAGAATCATATGACAATATGAAGTACCTATTGACATGCATAAAATACGATGAGCACCAATGGCATATTTGTGGCGATTTGAAAGTTGTTGCACTTTTACTTGGGCTGCAGCTAGGCTACACAAAGTTTTGCTGTTTTTTGTGTGAATGGGACAGTCGGGCAAAGGCACTTCATTACACCAGACAAAACTGGCCTGTTCGTCAATTCCTAGAGCCAGGTCAAAAAAATGTACAGCATATGCCATTAGTAGATTCGAAAAAAATTTTATTACCACCACTGTATATCAAGTTGGGCCTAATGAAAAACTTTGTCAAGGCATTAGATAGAGATGGGTCAGCTTTTCAATACCTGCGTCAGAAATTTCCAAGACTAAGTGAGGCAAAGGTTAAAGAAGGTATTTTTGTTGGGCCACAGATTCGAAATATTTTGAAAGATACACAGTTTGAAAACACTTTATCAGGTATTGAAAAAACTGCTTGGAATGATTTCCGTCTGGTGGTCACTAATTTCTTGGGAAATAGAAAAGCTGACAACTATAAAACCCTAGTCAAAAATATGCTGTCATCGTATCAAAAGATAGTCTGTAATATGTCTCTTAAGATACATTTCCTACACTCACACCTGGACTTTTTTCCTGACAATTGCGGAGCCGTAAGTGATGAGCACGGCGAACGTTTTCATCAGGATATTTCAACAATGGAAAAAAGGTACCAGGGAAAGTGGAATCCTTCCATGCTTGCAGACTACTGTTGGACTCGTGGTAGAGATGCTCCAGAAACGATCCATAAAAGAACAGCAAAAAGACAGCGCATATAGTGATTCTTATAAGTATATGAATCTTGTTACTTTTTCTAATATATCCTTAAAAATAAAAAGTTTTTTTCTAAACCGCAACTAATTCTTTTATTTCATTGTCATTTTTGGATTCAGCGCCTCAAACTTAACAAAGAAGTGCACTTTTCCCACAAGATACAATTAAAAAACTAAAATTTGTTGTCCAGTGTAATGATTCAGCTAATCAGCGAAACATTTGATGCTTTCATTCACTATTGATTTGTGTATTCCTGGTCTTGTTAAAGAAAATATTTCATCCTTTTGATTTTTTTTAAAATTTTTGTCCAAAGGTATGATCGGTGTCTTATAGATTTGTCAGGTCTAGATACAACAGTTCCTCGTCTTGTATGTTGATTGTGTTCGATGTTTTTATCGTTACTAGTGAATTTGTTATAGTTGGTGATATAGTGAAGTTGTTTCATGTCATATATCTTTGTATAAAACGTCAGTGGTATATAATTTTGGTTTTTTAAACATTGTTTTTGGAATTATTTTTTGGGTGACTTCTAAATCATAGATATGAGTTGAGCATGTACCTCGCCATGCCAGTGTACCCTAGGTTAAATGCGGTTCGATCAAGGTGTGGTATACAAAGTGTTTCGACAAATTTTGTTGTGAAACACCCTGTAGAGATATTCCTGGACAAATCTAACTTTTTCAAAATATGAAATATGAACATCCCAACGCAAGTGTGGATCCAGGAAGCAAATGTTCGAATAAAGATCTGTCAAGTTGTAAATGCTACCAATAACAGACGATGTTTCAGATCTTGATCAAAGAACTCTTTTTTAGATTGATATTATGTTATTATGTTTGATGTTTATTAGCTATTTCAGGAGTCTATAAAATGTGGATAAAACAAGTGGTATAATGAGGCATTGTAGTGAATAAAAAACTTACAAGAACGCGTTATTAGTAAAAGTTGATATTGTACATTTTGCAAAATACGATTTCAATTCGAGTCATAAATTTATATTTATAAATGTAAAAATACGCTTTTAAAGGAAATGCCATATACTGGCACTAATTTCATGTTTTGTAAGTTTCTTTATACGATAATGTGTCATCATATTAAGCACAGATATATTGTAGATTCACAAATTCTCGAAAGCTACAATTAGAAAAAAAGAACACTCTTTAGCCTGGTTTATTTTATTGGCAGCATCCCGAATGTTTTACATCAAGTTTCTAGCCTTAAAATAGAGTAAAAATTATGACCGACATGATGGAAATTATGAATTTAAATTAAGATAACAAACAAGTCTAAGCTTCACTGTTTAAAATTGCTTGAATTTGATAAATTTTCGAACTCATTACTTTACAAGTAAAAATACACAAACAATTAAATGGATAATTGTAACACTACCTTTTGGTACACCATGCCGCAAAAACTACGTTTAACTCGTCAAGAAACTGTTTTCCCTCCAAAATATTTCGCCCGAACGCAGCTAGAATGTTTTGTTCGTTGTGTCGTCGTTATTGATTTTTTTTCTGCAAGCGCAAACGCCCAACCACTTGTTTTTAATCGATATTGCGAGGAAAATCACCCGGTGCATTCATATGGAGAACAGAATATGTACGAACAGTGTGAATTGTATTTTTGACGTAGGGTTGAATTGGAAGATGGTCGTGTGGGTCTTCATAACATTTAGATCAGATTCGGCTGAAATTTCTATCCGATTTTGATGTGTGTTCTAAATGCCATGAAGCGGATCAAGAAATCGTGGATTGTCGTCATTGATGAATTTGTTTGACTAAATGTGGTACAAACTTGAAATTAGAAGGAATATCTACTGATTAGTTAGCCGAAAGAGGTCAAAATGTTGGCCAACGAAGAAGATATATACTAAGTGACATATAAATCCGAACACCCAGTTTAAATGGTTTTATTTTAATAAAAGTTGGTGAATGTATTTATATTACTGTAAATAACAAGTGAACAAATTTTCAGCCTTATCAGTTGGACATTCCGGTTTTTATACTGCTTTTTTTTAATTCACTATCGTTTTAAAAATGAATATTTCAGCCGCAGTAAAGAATCAACGTTGGCGGATTTTGGTTCTTGACATCCTTTACGATCGGTTACGATGCCTAGAGTACGGAGACCTGTACGATTTCGTCAACTTAGTGAGTTTGATAGGGGCCGTATAGTGGGACTTCGGGAAGCTGGACTTTCTTTTCGGGCAATTGCAGTTAGACACTGTGGTTAGGTGTTGTCAGGCGAGAAGGCCGTACGCAAAGAGCAAGGGGCAGTGGACGCCGCCGAAGAACAACAGACCGTGAAGATCGCCGCCTAAGATTATTGGCCTTAAGGGACCGTTTCTCCACTACCAGGTCCATTGCAAATGAATGGTTTGCAGAACACGGAAGACCTATTGGCATGCGAAGTGTTTACCGACGAATGAGAAGTTTTGGATTGTTTTCATACCGGCCACACTGGGTCCTCCCTTTAACTCGAGAACACCGACGTAATCGCCTTGAGTGGTGCAGACAACGGTCACTCTGGGATCAGGAATGGAACAGTATTGTCTTTAGCGACGAGTCTCGATTTTGTTTGGGCATGCACGATAGTCGTGCCAGGGTTAGAAGGCGACGTGATGAAAGGAGGAATCCACAGTTTTTTGTTGAAAGACATGTTCATCACACTGTTGGAGTTATGGTTTAGGGTGCTATAGCTTATGGTTCCAGGTCACCTTTAATCTTCATCAGAGGTAACATGAAGGCGCAGCGTTATATCCACGAAGTTCTAGAACCCCATCTTTTACCCGATCTTTCCAACAAGATAATGCCCGACCACATGTTGCAAGGGTCACAATAGACTTCTTTCAACATAATGATGTCACATTGTTACCATGGCCACCAAAATCTCCCGACTTATCCCCAATTGAGCACGTGTGGGATATGATGGGTAGGAGATTGCTCAATTTGCAACGTCCTCCTCAGACTCTAGAAGCACTTCGAGAGGAATTGGTGGTTGCCTGGAATGAGATACCACAGGAGGACATTGACCACCTGATCAGAAGCATGCCTAGGCGCGTTGGAGAATGCGTAGCACAACAGGGTGCATCCACACATTATTAAAGGTCAAAGGGCTTTAAAGCAGTGCAATCATTTTGAAATTTTTATCATTTACTTATTATGCTTCATTAAGTACTTATACAAAATTTTATTAAAATAAAACCATTTAAACTGGGTGTTCGGATTTATATGTCACTTAGTATACATATACAAAGCAAGATAAACGAGATTGGCAGAAAGCGCCCAAGACACCTAGGTTGCCGTTTTAGGATCTCGTACAAAATCGTGCAGAAATGCTTAGAAATGACGTCCTTTGTCGAAAAATAAGAAAAGAATACACTCAGGCACAGCTCGAAAAAATACGTAGATGTTGCAAGGTTATGATGGATTTTTCACTTGGATATTGGAAGTCAAACTTTTTTTTTAAAAAATCGGTCTTTCTAAATATCTTGATAAACTTTCAGTCGTTTTTGTTCAAATTTAGCAGTGGTATCAAGCGCAGTAAAAGGTGATAATTTAGCCCCAATTAAATTGAAATTATTAAGTTCAGTGGCGTCGCGTAAAACACCCTTAACAATACCTTTGATAAAAAATTTGTGAAAAAGAATCACCTTCTGAAGTTTGGCCACGTACTTGAATAACACCATGTATAGTTTCATTTAATAAAAACTCACCTGAAGGCTCGAACTGTAAGTCCTCAAGTCTCACCCTTCGACGTCAGTCCACACACCAAGCGCAAAATCATCCACCAAAGTGACCGTCAGACGATAGAACGATGCACCGACTCATCTCGCAATTGTCACGAATTAACCCCAGGTTCAAACTGACTAAGACACCTACGCCCACGCTTCGGGCGTCTTTGCTCCTCAACTCACACCAGACGATGAATAATGTTCTAATTGAGAGCAATTAGCTGGGATGCATTGTCGATTTGGTACGAGCCGTAGAGGAAGTCGCGACCTGATGCGATCGATAAACAATCGATTTCCCAAAAATCACCTGTCGACTATTACGCGGTTACAAGATTGATCTACGCATCTTGTCTATGTCCGGATCACGCAGCCGTAATTACAAATCGTATAATTTTCCGGCCTTGGAATATTTTTCTTAATCGGTTGTTGTTTGCTTACGAGTATATCAAATTATTCATGAAGCCGTATTGAGTCACGGTGTTTGGTTCTTGGAATGCATTTGATCCTTACCGCGACATGTGGGTTTATCTTTTTAGACTTTCGAAGCTCTTTGTTTATTATTAATAATAATAATAGCATTTGGTGTCAAACAGTTATACTTTTCAACTCCAACTGTAAACCCAAACAGTCTTAAATATCTCTTATAGATGAATATATTTTCAGCAAAGCAAATTGTATACAAACCAAATGTTCTCATTTACAATGAAAAGAAAACGTTCCAAGTTGGACCCTTGGAGCAGAGTAATCAGGAAAGCTTCTATAGCTCCAAGGAAACTCAAACCCTCAAAGAAAAATAATTTATATTTAGTCAGTTCGATTAAATACAAAAACATTAATTTTCCCTTAAATATTCACATATCATTAAGGGACACCCTGTATATGTTAGTATATGCAACAGAGGTTAGGGCCACAAGCCCTTTAATAAAATAATTCTATGGTCCAGAAAGTTCGGACTGGAACCGCTTGACTTTAATTTAATTACTACTTAAATTTAATTATTCAATCAATTTAAAGCAGCAGAGTAAAAGAGTATGAACGGTTTCGCTGTTAATGAACGTAATTCGTCAACGTACTATTTAATAGAAGCACACAACTACGATTGTTATTCGAATCGTAGCAAAAAAAGAACAGGCCCAAGGAATTTTTTATCGGTATTGACAAAACGTACACCTTTTACTAACTATCCTGTTTAATTCCAGAAACTGGGCTTGGACATAACCGACGAGCAGATCCGCGAGATGGAATCCAACATCCACAAGATCGACTTCGTAGCCGCCGCCGAAGAAGAGAAACTGACCCGTCATGACGTCATGGCTCACGTGCACATTTTCGCCCAACAGTGTCCCAGGGCGGCGCCCATTATACATTTGGGTGCGACGTCGTGTTTCGTGGGCGACAACACCGACTTGATCATCATCAGGGACGGGTTGGATTTGTTGCTGCCCAGGGTCGCATCGGTTATGCAGAATCTCACTAAGTTCGCCGAACATTATAGGTGAGGTTTTCATCTTAGATCGGTCTCAGGTTCGACACTAGTAATGCAGGACAGTCCTTAACAAAATGCTTCATTTTAAAGATACTGACAAGAATTCCAGTTTCCTAAAAAATATCTAAAAACGGATGTGCATTTGAACTACCGTGCATTTGAACTACTTTGCATTTGAACTACTGCGCATTTGAACTACTGTTCATATGAACTACTATGCATTTGAACTACTATGTATTTGAACTACTGTGCATTTGAACTACTGTTTATATGAACTACCGTTCATATGAACTACTGAACATATGAACTACTGTTCATATGAACTACTGTTCATATGAACTAATGTTCATGTGAACTAATGTTCATGTGAACTACTGTTCATATGAACTACTGTTCATATGAACTACTGTTCATATGAACTACTGTTCATATGAACTACTGTTCATATGAACTACTGTTCATATGAACTACTGTTCATATGAACTACTGTTCATATGAATTACTGTTCATATGAACTACTGTTCATATGAACTACTGTTCATATGAACTACTGTTCATATGAACTACTGTTCATATGAACTACTGTTCATATGAACTACTGTTCATATGAACTACTGTTCATATGAACTACTGTTCATATGAACTACTGTAGTTCATATGAACTACTATGCATTTGAACTACTGTGCATTTGAACTACTATGCACTTGAACTAATGTGCATTTGAACTACTGTTTATTTGAACTATTGTGTATTTGAACTACTGTGCATTTGAACAGCTGTGCATTTGAACTACTATGTATTTGAAATATTATGCGTTTGAACTACTGTATATTTGAACTAATGTGAATTTAAACTACTGTGCCTTTGAACTACTGTGCGTTTGAACTACTGTGCATTTGGACTACTGTGCGTTTGAACTACGGTCATTTGAACTACACGTAAGAACGTTCTTAGAGCAAGAATACAAAATAATTTTAATATTGTTTTATATATTTTTATACTAGATTTAAGCTTACTAAACAAATTTGTTTCATAATAGATTTGGTATTATCTGTTACACGTTTATTTAATTTAAATTAAAATAGCACGGACGGTAGAAAATTATAAGATATATTTGCCAGTTGGGTAGATACGACCATTTTTCACCCAAAGGCAACCTGTCGAAAATCGCTGAAGAAATTTGGACTACTTTCTTGCTCCCTTTGGTAGTGTACTAGCTTGTTCTTCATTACAGATCGCTTCCAGCGCTCGGTTTCACCCATCTGCAACCCGCCCAGCTGACCACTGTAGGCAAACGCGCGACTCTCTGGTTGTACGATTTCCTGATGGACGAACGCGCATTGCGAAGGGCTCGCGAAGACCTCCGCTTCAGGGGCGCCAAAGGCACCACGGGGACCCAGGCCTCTTTCATGCAGCTGTTCAACGACGGCGCCAAAGTGAGGCAGCTGGACAAGAAGGTGGCGGAGCTGAGTGGATTCCACAAGACGTATCCGGTTACGGGACAGACGTACTCGAGGAAGGTCGATTTGGAGATTGTCGCTGCGCTTTCATCTCTAGGTATTTGATCCTGATATTCTTTACTTTGGAACTAACATAGGGGGCGAAAACTGACTGCTTTTTTTTCCACATCGCCATTTTAAAACCGTTTTGTTCCAGGTTCGACGATCCACAAGATGTGCAGCGACCTGCGCCTGCTGGCCAACATGAAAGAGATCGAGGAACCTTTCGAGAAAAGCCAAATAGGCAGTTCGGCGATGCCTTATAAACGCAACCCGATGCGTTCGGAAAGGTGTTGCGCTCTGGCCCGCCATCTCATCACTCTGTTCTCGAACGCCGCGAACACGCACGCCGTGCAATGGTTCGAGAGGACCCTGGACGACTCCGCCAACAAGAGGCTCACGCTATCGGAAGCCTTCCTGAGCGCCGATGCGGCTTTGATGGTGTTGGTGAACATCACTCAAGGATTGGTGGTTTATCCGAAGGTGATCGAGAAGAGGATCAATCAAGAATTGCCGTTCATGTCTGCGGAGAACATCATAATGGCGATGGTGAAGAAAGGCGGGGACAGGCAGATCTGCCACGAGAAAATTCGGGTGCTGTCGCAAGAAGCGGGAACTCAAGTGAAGCAGTTTGGAAAAGACAACGATTTTCTCGATAGGGTCAGGGCTGATCCTTACTTCAAGCCTATCATTGGAGAGTTGAACAGTCTGTTGGATCCTTCTACTTATATTGGTAGGGCAGCTGAACAGGTTGCTGAGTTTATTGAAGAGGAAGTGCAACCTGTGCTGGATCTGTATAAAGAGCATTTGAAGAACGAAAAACCTGTTACGTTGAACATTTAGTTTTTTGTTGGTCCCCAGTATATTTCTATCATTTTTCGATAAAGTAATATATGTTATTTTTCGTTATTACTTTGTTTGTATCGTGCCACACCTGCCTCAATTTTTTATTCTTGGTAAAATAGGAATTCAACGCAGATACAGAACAGGTAAGTCAGCAAGCGCGTGCCCAGCTCAAACATTTTTTTTTGGGACAAACCTATCGAAAAAAAGTGGGACAAGCCTAACGAAAAAAGTCGGAGAAATCTAACGAAAAGTGAGAAAAACCCAACTAAAGAAAGTGGGACAAACAAATCGAAAAAAGCGGGACAAACCTAACGGAAAGAGTATGACAAACTTAACGAAAAACGGTGAGACAAACGTAACGAAAAAAGTGGGACAAAACCAACGAAAAAAAGTGGGACAAACCCAACGAAAAAAAGTGGGACAAACCTAACGAAAACAGTGGGACAAATTTAACGAAAAGTGAGACAAACCCAACGAAAAAAAGTGGGACAAACCCAACGAAAAAGGTGGGACAAACTCAACCAAAAAAGTGGGACAAACCTAACAAAAAAAGTGGGGTATATCTAACGAAAAGTGAGATAAACTCGACGAAAAAAGGGGGACAAACCTAACGAAAAACGGTGGGACAAACGTAACGAAAACAGTGGGACAAATCTAACGAAAAGTGAGAAAAATCCAACGAAAAAAAAGTGGGACAAACCTAACGAGAAAAATGGGACAAACCTAACGAAAAAAGGTGGGACAAATCTAACGAAAAAAGTGGGACAAACTTGACGAAAAAAGTGGGACAAACCCAACGAAAACAAGTGGGACAAACCTAATGAAAAAATTGGACAAACGTAACGAAAAAAGTGGGACAAACCTAACGAAAAAAGGTGGGACAAATCTAACGAAAAAAGTGGAACAAACCTAACGAAAAAAGTGGGACAAACCTAACGAAAAAAGTGGGACAAACCTAACGAAAAAAGGTGGGACAAATCTAACGAAAAAAGTGGGACAAACTTGACGAAAAAAGTGGGACAAACCCAACGAAGACAAGTGGGACAAACCTAATGAAAAAAGTTGGACAAACGTAACGAAAAAAGTGGGACAAACCTAACGAAAAAAGGTGGGACAAATCTAACGAAAAAAGTGGGACAAACCTGACGAAAAAAGTGGGACAAACCCAACGAAAACAAGTGGGACAAACCTAATGAAAAAAGTTGGACAAACATAACGAAAAAAGTGGTACAAATCTAACGAAAAACGGTGGGACCAACGTAACGAAAAAAGTGGGACAAATCTAACGAAAAGTTGGACAAACATAACGAAAAAAAGTGGGACAAAACTAACGAAAAAAAAGTGGGACAAAACTAACGAAAAAAGTGGGGCAAATCTAACGAAAAAAGTGGGACAAACATAAACAAAGTCATTGATATTTTTCTCTGGAATCAAAAAACGTAGAACAGCGCAGAACTTGTTGTCTACAGATGGTAAAATCAACAATGACAGTTTTAGCTTCGTTCACCAGAATTCTGTTGCGTTGACAGCACGCTGAAACTGATCCATCGCGGCCACTAAATTTGAGTGAATCTCATCGCTAGTTACAGCGGACAATGATAGAGTAGTGTCAACCGCAAACATAGTTACGGGCACATCGTTGATGAACAGTAGAAAGAGGAGCGGCCCCAATATCGAACCTTGCGGAACGCCCAGTTGTAGTGGATGGCTTCTAGGCATTTACCTTCACTCTTGTAGATCTATCAGTCATATATGACATCAACCTGTCCAATAGAAAACTTCTAATACTGATGCTGTTTAGCTTCCATCGCAAGAGTCATTTATGATCGATATTACATATCAAGATTCTCGTAGACGTATTCAAGAAGATGGCAACAAACAGTCTCCACGGATTTTTTATATCTAAAACCATGCTGGGAAGGAGAAATAATTTCTTACTCTCAATAAAAAATCATATTTTATACTGTTGCAAACAATCCTTTTTGAGATTACGCTAAGAGCAAAAATTAGTCTGTAATTATGAATGTTGTCAAGCTTACCTTTTCTATGTATTGGTACAGCAAGTGCACATTTGAGTATTTGGGGAAAGTAGGATAATTTTCGGGAATAATAAATTTGGTAGGTTTAATATTCGTTTTAATATATACAAGTAAGTAACGTACTAACATTTATAATATCTAAAACCATAGGCTATAACAGTTATATAAAAATCTAGTATAATCTACAGTATTGTATTTTATATTAGCCTAAATTTAAACTCAGTAAATTGACTTTCTTAACTATGGCAAAGGACCACTAATATAAAAATACAACTTTAAGGTTTTTTCAAAAAATCGCTATTTTTGCTTGTTATGGCTATTAAGAACTTCTAAGTTATGAGTTTTTTCCTGGGCTACCATTAATAGTTGATTGAGACAACCGAGTATTCATGGTGGCCCAGGAAAAAAGTCACAAGTTAGAAGTTCTTAATAACAGTCAAAAAGGAGTTTTTTGAAAAAACCTAAAAGTCGCGATACCTCGAAAACTAGAAAACTTTTACTGAGGTCATGTACCTCCCGTGTCACTCTTTGACGTGTTATTTCTGGGATACCCTGTATACAACTCTAACAACAGGTTATGGTCATAAGCAGATCGAAAATAATATAGCCCACAGACAAAGTTCAAAATACACAGGAGAAATATTTATACAGGGTGACTTCGAAGTTGAGTCATTTATTTTAACAGTGAGTAGATCTGATCAAAAGAAATGTTTTTTCCTTTACCATTTTTCTGGTAAAATTAAAGTAACAAAGTTATAGCCTTGGAAGTTTGAGTACCGCCCTGTCTCAATAATAATATTATGTGCTCGTGTTTGGCGGATATAATCCGCCGTATCGGTTCATCGCGTCGGAAACAAAAAAGCGAAAGAATTTGGAACGATGTTTTTACAATTATTTCATTCAGTTGTATGCAGTCAGTGTCAGTCGGTAACGCGTGAGTGAATAGTGGTGTCTGTTGCGTGGCTCAAACGAAATGAAAAATGGCACATGTTTATGCGGATCGGTTTCCCAATCGAGTGCAACCAACCCCTCGTGCCTTTGTTAATGTAGTACAACGGGCTCGTGAATCAGGTGACTTAAGACGGCATGCCGATGCTCCAAGACCTCGCGATCAAATACAGGTCCGCACTGAAATACTTGTCGGGAGGATACTTTATAAAACAAGGTAAACATTTTTTTTAATTTTATTTTTATTTTTACACACATATTTTGGTTTATCTTCCTTCTACAATCATTATCTGAAAATTAATGACTCAACTTCAAAGTATATTTTAGCAATATTTAGATTTAGCGTGTTTTCTTGTGAATGCAGTAGTTATACCGGGTGTTTCAAAAGAAATAGTAAAATATTGAAAATTTGCATAAAAATAAGAATGTTATTACACACATTTTTTGATATTCTCGACCACTGCCGCGTAAAATCATAGCGTTTTTTTTTGTTTACTTTTTGGCCTGCTCGCTCCCCGGATTTAACGCCTTGCGTTTTTTTCTGTGGGGCTACTCAAAGGTGTATCATGATGGAGCAGTAAATAGTCTGGAAGAACTTAACAGCTCACTGAAAATGCTTGTGATTCAATTCGTGGACATCAGGATTTTATTTTTGAAACTAACTCTCTTATTATGCAACTTTTATATAGATTTTTGGTATACCAACTTCATTTGACTTAACTTTAAAAACACCCTGTATAGTTTGACATGCATCGTACGATTCGATTTCGTTTTTTGAATCTCATTTTCTTTGAAAACTCCAACGAAGGCGAAGGAAAATAGAGTCAGTCTACTTGACGCGAATTTTTCATATTGTTTTTCGGGGTCAAATTTAGCATTTGCAATGTGCACTCTCTGTTCAAAACTATATATATTTCGGTATCAGCCCTTCACAAATATTTAAAATCAGTTGAAGGAAGAACCGAAAAAGTCTTTGGCACCAAAGCTGTTTGTCATTTGGTCGGGCTTCACAACTGGCATAATTCTAAATTAACATGCTACAGAACATACTCGAAGGTAAGTTACAAAAATATCGTATCAAAACTGCTTTTCTCTTTTCGAGACAGAACATCCTTGTTTCAAGTAATGGGTGATTTTTTTGCTAGTATCTTTTTGGCAACACTGTTTTTGACAGATGACGCGTGAATCGTGTCTTGTGTCATTGTCAAACTTGTTCAGTTTGGTCTATAATTTAACCATGAATCGACTTACGAACGAACAACGCTTGCAAATTATTGAAGTTGACTATCAAAATTCATGCTCGGTTAAGAGAGTGCATCGAGCACTGCTTCAAATTTATGGGCAATTTGGTCGGCCTACTGAGGGAGCTATTCGGAAGCTTGTGACTAAATTTCGAACCCAGCCAATATCGAAGCATTTATTCGTAAGATACCGGCCGATATGTTGGAGAGAGTGTGCCAAAATTGGACCTTGCGCATGGGCCATCTAAAGCGGAGCCGCGGCCAACATTTACATGAAATAACTTTAAACATTAAATTGTATTTTTTTTGAAAATCAAATCCTATACCTCCTAAAAAATCACCCGTTATAAAGCTTCTTGTGAGGAAGATGCAGTGTCTCTCCTCTCTTTTATATTTTAAACTTCTGTGGGGCTGTGCCGTGGTGTTTTAGTGGTACTTTTTCCACCCCAATGTTGTGCAGTGTATTGGACGTATCCGGGATCCCCTGGTCGACTAGGCGGACGCACTTCTTCCATCTCTCTTTGAGGCTTAGGCAGTATTATTGGGGTGGAAACTATGTCATATCTACCGTATTGACCTGGAAAGATCAGTTGTTACAAAACGTGTCGTATTTGTCTGAGTAGTCAATTTTGAACTTGAGTTTACGAGGTGCGTTCGGAAAATGCGTTTAAAAAATTCGCGGCGTCGCGTTGAGGTGGTTCCCTCTCTCTGTGTGCAAAATGGTGCTGGGCGATGTGAAATGAAGAATTGTAAAATAAGCTTTTATACGTATTTTCCGTAACATAGATTCAAGTTCAAAATTAACTATCATCACAATACAATAAATACTACGATTCTTTCAAAAAATTAAATCACAAGTGGTGCACTTGCATTGCTGTGATAAGCAGAAATTCGTTATTCACTCAACTCTCAAAATATTTGAAAACGTTTCATAAGTTCGAGACTTTCTTCGTCTGTTCGTGTTCAATCTTTATCTTAAGTACCAAGAAGTATTAATACGTAGAAAGACAAAAAATTGGGCAAGGCGTTGTTGATATATCGGGTTTTCCAATAGGGACTTGACAACTTTGAACTTTCACAGTGAACGCACCTTTAAATCAATTATCGAACTTTCAATGTCAAAACATTCAGTAAAGACTACAACTTCAAAAGCGTTAATGCCAATTTTTGGTCGTTAGTCTTGTCCCAGTAGACAATCAATTCATAGTCTAGTAAAAAGTACACACATTCGCTATTGGACGTTCCCGTGCCGAAAATCTTGCCACAGCGTTCTAAAGAATTGGGCATCGCTCATCATACAGGGTTTGTCCAGAAAGTAATAGGACTCATTTTCACTGCATCGACGCAGAAGGAGCCTATTTTGAAAGTTTTTAAAGAATCGTAACGATTGACTCAATACATTTTTTTAAATCGACTCAGTCCTATTACTTTCCGGACAAACCCTGTATATTTCATATTGTAATGTTTCCACTAACTGATGCAGTGTCATCATAGTTTCAAAACCTACCAACTTCACGGAACTCGCAAAAATTAAAACAAATAATTTTTCAAAAAAAAAAAAAACATCACAGCGATTTCCGAAAACGTCTTGAGCTATTCTTATTCTGGTTTCGTGCTCAACATTTCAAAATACATCTGAAATAAGCACCGAAGACAATTAAGAAATATGAATTGTTATATCCCGGTGATATTTCCTGAAAAACTAATATTTGCGTACGAAACGTGGCAACGCTGTAGTGTCAAATTGAGAACAGCTGGGCTGATTTCTGGTGTTTCATGCTGGGGCTTTGTGCAATTGAGGGGAAGCTTTATTTTGCTCATGTTGTCATGTTTACGTGTGTTTCCGTGATATTTTCATGTAGTTTTGAGGAGGCAATCTTCCGAGTGGCACACGACGGCGTCTCCTCGCCCAAAAAAGGGAAGAATGATCAAATCCAAAGTGAAAACGATGCTCATTTTTACGTGGAAATGCTCAGGAGACTCAAACGAAGGGTCAGTCGGGTCCGACAAGACATCGCAGCCGACAACGCCCCGGCTCACACCGCCTTCAATGCTTGGAAATCGCGCTGGCAGCGCTGCATCGACGCAGAAGCAGCCTATTTTGAAAGTTTTTAAAGAATTGTAACGATTGGCTCAATAAATTTTTTTAAATCGACTCAGTCCTATTACTTTCCGGACAAACCCTGTATATTTCATAATGTAATGTTTCCACTAACTGAGCAGTGTCATCATAGCTGCAAAACCTACCAACTTCACGGAACTCGCAAAAATTAAAACAAATAATTTTTCGAAAAAAAAAAACATCACAGCGATGTCCGAAAACGTTTTGAGCTATTCTTATTCTGGTTTCGTGCTCAACATTTCAAAATACATCTGAAATAAGCACCGAAGACAATTAAGAAATATGAATTGTTATATCCCGGTGATATTTCCTGAAAAACTAATATTTGCGTACGAAACGTGGCAACGCTGTGGTCGCAAATTGCGAACAGCTGGGCTGATTTCTGGTGTTTCATGCTGGGGCTTTGTGCATGTTTACGTGTGTTTCCGTGATATTTTCATAGAGTTTTGAGGATTATTAAACATTTTAGTGCAATATATAGCATTTTGGACTATTCTCGAAGATGGTGAAGTGTTACATGTTATGCAAAAAGCGGTTTCAGCGCGGTGCTCGGGGAAAAGTATTCAATTTTCGTTCAAGGTAAAATTTTGTGTAAACAATAATCTGTTGATGTTGCTATCAAACAATCGTTTAAGATCATATGGGCTTAGCTTCTTCTAACCTAGTCCGAATTCGTTGGTTAGTCCAGAAACGATTCGTAATTGTTTTCGCCATGCTGGTTTAGTGAAAAACATAACCGAAAGAGTCAACGATTTGAAGAAGATGAAATTCAATTAAGTGATTTACTGAGAATTAAAAATTTACTGAATATAGACAAATTTAATGAGTATGCAAATGTTGACAATAATTTAATAGCAACAACAAGAATTGTCAGACTGCAATTTGGTTAATGAAGGATCCGTTGATAACGAACAGGAAGACGAACTATAAAACAACGATGAAGAGTTTCCAAGACGACTAAGAAGGCATAAGATTGCATGAAAAAGTTGCAACGTCGTTTTCAGCTAGAAGAAGACAGTACAGCCACACTTACCGAATTAAATAAAATTCAACTTGCTGTTCTAAATAATTATTCGAAAAAACAGTCTGTTCAAATGAAACTTACTATCTTTTTTACCAACTAGTTTACGGTTTTTACACATACCTACACAGTACGTATGCCTGTAATATACATATATATATAATATGTGTATCAGATTCTGAAAAAATGCAAATTTCAAAATTACGTATAACTTTTTTGTATATATCTTTATTTATGTTAAACAAACACATATGTTATTTCTGCTACTTTTTTCATTAAAAAAAGTGTTTCTTTTAAGATGGTCATCCGCCTATAATAGACTATTCGACACAGTTTTGAGTATACTTCAATCCAATAATAAAATTTTCGAGATATCTCAAATGGTTTGCGTTTTATTTAAAAAGAAAGTTATCAAGTCCTTAATGGAAAACCCTCTACAAGCAGTCTCACTAAAGCTTCAGTTTGATTTTTAATAAATTTTGAGCCATATGTGCATGGTGTTTGGACAGTATAATTACAGAAAACTGATTTGTCTCGTATTATTATAGTTTTAGAGATATCAGAAATGTCTTAGAAGAAGCTTATTCGTGATTCTTGAAGACAAAGCTTCGTTTGTGGATGGACAAACCTTAACCTTTGATTTAAGAAAAATACGTTCATTTTATGAGTACATATCGTAAAAAGTGCAACAGTACGTAAGTGCATACAAAAAAGCTACACAAATATACAACATATACATAAAGAATAACAAGCCGTCACCGGAATAGCAGTAAAACCCAACAGTGATCACCTAATCCCGTCACCCATTGGATGTCTACCCTTTCTGATATTGCTCCAAACGGGCGAATGGGACTCCATTGCTGGAGGTATTCTTAAGTCTTCTGTATCGTCAGTTTCGCTTCCGAAACCGTCGGTTACGTCTTTGCCGTAGATACCGAACCGCTTCGGGATGTCATCTTTCATTTGGTGATAACCTGAAAAAAATATTCTTCTAATGACGCTTTTCATGCAGGGCATTTGGAAAATAGACGGAGATATTTTAGAGGATGATTTCTTGTTAAAAAATACATATCTAATATACTAAGTGACATATAAATCCGAACACCCAGTGTAAATGGTTTTATTTTAATAAAATTTTGTATAAGTACTTAATGAAGCATAATAAGTAAATGATAAAAATTTCAAAATGATTGCACTGCTTTAAAGCCCTTTGACCTTTAATAATGTGTGGGTGCACTCTGATGTGCTACGCATTCTCCAACGCGCCTAGGCATGCTTCTGATCAGGTGGTCAATGTCCTCCTGTGGTATCTCATTCCAGGCAACCACCAACTCCTCTCGAAGTGCTTCTAGAGTCTGAGGAGGACGTTGCAAATTGAGCAATCTCCTACCCATCATATCCCACACGTGCTCAATTGGGGATAAGTCGGGAGATCTTGGTGGCCATGGTAACAATGTGACAAAGAAGTCTATTGTGACTCTTGCAACATGTGGTCGGGCATTATCTTGTTGGAAAGTTGGATCTGCCAGGGTGTCAAGATAGGGTAAAAGATGGGGTTTTAGAACTTCGTGGATATAACGCTGCGCGTTCATGTTACCTCTGATGAAGATTAAAGGTGACCTGGAACCATAAGCTATAGCACCTCAAACCATAACTCCAACAGTGTGATGAACATGTCTTTCAACAAAAAACTGTGGATTCCTCCTTTCACCACGTCGCCTTCTAACCCTGGCACGACCATCGTGCATGCCTAAACAAAATCGAGACTCGTCACTAAAGACAATACTGTTCCATTCCTGATCCCAGAGTGACCGTTGTCTGCACCACTCAAGGCGATTACGTCGGTGTTCTCGAGTTAAAGGGAGGACCCAGTGTGGCCGGTATGAAAACAAGCCAAAACTTCTCATTCGTAAACACTTTGCATACCAATAGGTCTTCCGTGTTCTGCAAACCATTTATTTGCAATGGACCTGGTAGTGGAGAAACGGTCTCTTAAGGCCAATAATCTTAGGCGGCGATCTTCACGGTCTGTTGTTCTACGGCGGCGTCCAGTGCCCCTTGCTCTTTGCGTACGGCCTTCTCGAAGGCATGCCTGACAACACCTAACCACAGTCTCTACACTTCTTTGCACTCTAACTGCAATTGCCCGAAAAGAAAGACCAGCTTCCCGAAGTCCCAGTATACGGCCCCTATCAAACTCACTAAGTTGACGAAATCGTACAGGTCTCCGTACTCTAGGCATCGTAAAGGATGTCAAGAACCAAAATCCGACAACATTGATTCTTTACTGCGGCTGAAATATTCATTTTTAGAGCGTTAGTGAATTAAAAAAAAGCAATATAAAAACCGGAATGTCCAACTGATAAGTCTGGCAAAACATTAACACCTGTTTACCGTGAGGAAAGTTCTTAGCACGACTAGCAGTATGGGGACGTGCGTTGTATTGCTGAAAAAGGACGTGTGGACGGCACTCTAGATATGGCAGTAAAATGGTTTGTGGGACATCTTCAACATAACTCGCAGCATTCATATTGCCACGCACGAAACGAAGAGGCAATCGGCTATCACAGAGAATAGCCACCCAAACCATTACTCCAACGGTCATGTGTACATGCAAATCCAATATCACGCCGTTCTCCTTCTACGACCAACGCGCGTACCTAGACGGAATCGCGATTCGTCGCTGACGATGACATTATGTCATTCTGCCTTCCAATGTTGCCGTTGTCTGCTTCAGTTCAAACGTTGGCGGCACTGGTCCGCAGTCAGAGGAAGCACTAACCTCGAACGGTATGAAAAAAGTTCAAAGGCGATAGAGTGTACGCATACTGACAGGTCCGCCTTCTTCTCCAAACCATTGGTCAGCGATCGGTCACGTACTGGCAAGGTCTGACGCTCCTATCTTGATGCTCTGTGGTACGCCTCGGAGGACCTTCTTCTATCCACACACGGAAACAATTTCGCGATAGATCAAACCAACATCTCGATAGGCAATAATTCTACCCCTGTCAAAGTCGCTAACATGGTGATAGTTTAGACGTATGCGACCTCTAGGCATTTTGTTATATTAACACTAGTGAATGGAAGGGCTATAACTAAAAACATCTGTACTACTCAGCTCTCAGAAACTGCTTTCTCCGCAAAAACTACGAGTTAACATTTTAACGAAGGTAAACAAAAACAAAGATGAAACATTTCTAAGGTTACCGAGTATATTTGATCGCTTACCTTTCCCATTTTTTCTGACTTCGACGTCTTCCCTACTCTTCCCGTTTTTAGCATTCCCATTCGAAACGCCACCATTTTTCATTCCATTCCCGCCTCGAGAATCCACAGTTTCTATCTGTGTCCTTTCCGATCTCTCGGTTTCCCTTTCCACATCGAAAGTCGGCCGAGGAATCCTTTTCGGTTCCATCAGAGCCAAGTTGATTATCCTTTTGGTCTTCGTCTGAGTTGGTTCCGTTGGCTTCTTGGCCTTCGGACCCGCCATGTCCAGCAAGAACAATCCCGCGGTAACTAAAGAGACTGTACCCACAACCGCTGCATTATCAACCAAGTCGGGGGGCACCGAGTCCAACGCTGCGTATGATAAGCTTCCTGAAAAGACAATCTTATATATTGTGTGACAAAAACAGGTAAACACCTACGTATGTTTATCAGATTTTAAGGATTTTTGGCATATCTATATGTTTAGTGTCGCTTAATATACTACAACTATTTAAAACTGTAATGACTCATACGCGTGATCAGAGCTCGATCCCGGCTTCCTTCCAGTACAGCCGTATAGCGTACGACATAAATATGTCGTTTCTGTGGCTTTGCGGTGGTCAACAGCACAGACAGAGATGGAAATAATGGCTGATTGTTGTCCGCCGGTAGAACCAATGAAATCAAAGACGCGCCTCGACCGGCAGACTCATAGGCGTCGGCAACGCATTGGAACGTGTTTCGTTGAGCGATCGCATATTGTGTGTTTTTATAAGAATTGTTGTGTGATTGTTATTGTTGTGGTTTCTGTGGTTACTGTTTTGGTTATACTTAACCATGGAGAGTACAAATGGCACGAGTGGAAGTACTGAAAGCCAGGGAACAAGTAGACGGCTTTTCTCTTTCTCTTTTCGTCTCTAAGAAAGGAGGTGATTACCATGACGAAATGAATGCCAGCTGCTTCGAGAGCTGGTTTCAAGGGGTGCTTCAGCGAGTTGAGCCCAACTCTGTGATTGTCATGGATAATGCTTCCTACCATAGTCGTCGAGCCGAACGTGTACCGACTATGGGATCTCGAAAAAGTGACATGCAGCAATGGTTGCGCGAAAAAGGAATCCCGTTTGACGATTCATGTGTGAAAGCGGAATTGTATGAAAAAATTAAACAGCACAAACCTGCGAACATTAGTTACGTGACTGATGAGATGGTGTCACTGTGCTGCGGTTACCGCCCTACGACTGTGAACTGAACCCAATAGAGCTCATCTGGGCTCAAGTGAAGGGTTATATTGCGCGCCATAACACAACCTTCAAATTACCAGATGTTAAGGTTTTACTTGAGACTTCCTTACAGCTAGTATCGCCCGAAGCTTGGCAGAAGGCTATCCGTCATGTTGTGAAGGAAGAAACAAAAATGTGGCAGCTTGACCACCACATCGACACCATCATAGAGCCAGTTATAGTCAATTTCAACGAGGAAAGCGATAGCGACAGTTTATTACTGTCAGATGTAAGTGGAAGCGACGATGAATAAAGGTAATTCCCAAATTTTGTTTCAAACCACTCTTTATTAAGCATGTGACAAATCTAGTTCACCCATGTTAAACATTCATACCCCGCCTATGAACAGCCGACTGTTGGTAGTTAAGTGATGTTCACGTGAACATCGATGAGTCATTTCAGTTTTAGATAGTTATAGTATAGTAAAATGATTAAATTTTCAGCTTGATTCGTCAACTGACTGCAGAAGCTGGTTCATTAATGTGTTGAGTATGCACGATTTCTTATGCACTCATTGACACGCGTAGGCATCGTGCTACCCCTACTGAGCGGGGCCGTGACAAATGCTTGTTCCGGAAGTTGTTGTATCCAGTATACAGCTTCTTTCCATTTAAGTGATTGTACACGCGTTAAGGAATACCTCAGTACCGATTGCCGGGTGGCGGTACAACTCCACCAACGGGCCACTTTAGGTCTATTTAATATCACTAACACGTAAAAAGAAGGTGGTAGACAAGGACCGGTCGACCGAGGCGGTACCACCCGCTAGCTCTTCCCGGGGTGTCTTATAAATGTCCGCAAGTTTCCACACCTGAGCTAGGCAGTCGGATATCTTCCAAAACAAAGAAATTAATGATGATGGATCCCTCGAGCACTAAAAGAACTCCGGACGTAAACTCACTCTACTCTCGGAATGTCCGACAACATCGAAGATAAAATTTGTTTTTCGAACATCTGCAATCCAATCGTCCTGCCGTGCTTTTCTTGGCGGAGACAAAATTCTCAGAGTCTGCACCGATTAACGATCTCGCCTTCCCAAACTACGAGGTGCACTCCAATCTGAGAAAGAACGGGGGAGTTGTGGCTTTTGTCCGTAGCAGTCTTTCATGCTCCAGAGATGTTTCTTTGGAATCAGACCGGAACGACATTCTGTGGCTTCGCCTCAACTCCAAATTTATTTGCTGCCTTTATCGCTCTCCCTAGGACCATAACTGGGATGATCTACTCGAATACCTCGCCGTCGAGATCGACTTCCTGAACATCAATGATCCCGCTTCAGAGGTAGTTCTTCTCGGGGATTTCAATGCCCATGATGAGCTTTGGTTGGGCTCAAACAAGACCGATGCAGCAGGTCGTGCAGTCGAATCGTTCGCTCTTACTCAAGGGCTGACCCAGCTGGTGACGAGCCCTACTTTTTTCCTCCGCGTCTCGTCACACGCCAGTAGCCTGCATTGATCTGTTTCTTACCTTACAGCACTGCTGTCCTGTCCCCCCTGGGTAACTCAGACCACGGTGTTGTGGAGGTTAGGTTTCGGTCAGAACCCGCTGTGGCAACAGAAACTCGTACAGGCCGCAAAACTTGGCATTACGGACATGCCGACTGGGAGGGGCTCAGAGACTTCTTCTCTAGCTTTCCTTGGAGAGATGTCTGTTTCACTGACGCGGATGCGTCGGCTGTCTGTTCTTCTTTCAGATATCTTATGAATCCGGCACCTTCCCAGAAAACTGGAAATGATGGAAATGATGTCCAACCCATCCCAAAACAAGACTTTGGCGTCTCATCCTAACCGTGTCGAACTTCGTACATCCAGAACTGGCCGATACGATCGCTCCTTTGTCGCGATTGTGGAACAATCTATAACAGGAAGCTTTTCCCAGTTCTACTAACCTTAAGTAGTTCAAAAATCGTATTAACAAAATTTCTTTGGGATCATCATAGCAGCCGCGGTGTTCCGGCATTTAGGCTTCTGCCTGCGCGGCTGCTCCGATATAAAAAAAAAGATGATGTGGTCGATATCTTGTTGGGGTATTTCATTCCAGGCTACTCCATCTTCATTAGTAAGAGCTGCTAAAGACTGTGGAGGGTGTTGAAAATTCAAGAACCTGCGTCCTATCATCTCCCAGACATGTTCAATTGGAGATAGGTCAGGCGATCGTGGTGGCCAAGGTAATCGGTTGATGCGATGGTGATCCACGAAGGCTAACGATGCTCTGGCAATAGGCGGTCTGGCATTGTCTTGCTGAAAACTCGGGTTTTGGATGGCGTTTTGGTATGGAATAGGATGAGGCTTCACTACTTCCTGAATACCATAAGCAACAGTACCTCATACCATAGCACCCACTTTGTGGTGAACGTGACGCTTTCTGTCAAATCGTGGGTCACGTCTTTCACCACGTAGCCTTCTCACTCTTCCTGAGACAGAAGCTGGATTCCATTCCCGGTCCCATAGTATTCTTTCTCTACACCAGAGCGAACGGTTACGCTGATGTTCAGCTGATGAAATTTTCACACCAGGTTACTTCTAAGCCAAGGATGAAAACGATCTGTAGGTTGTGAAAATCGGTCTATTGGTGGCGCAGCTAGAGGCAAAAAATAACATTCGCTTAAACTTTGTTTTTTGACGTTCTTTTTCGGGAAAAATTTTGTCAGCGTTGAAACTTAAGATTTGGGCGTTGCAGTGAAATTAAAAGAGAGATAACAAATTCTATTGTACAACCTATCATTTACAAAAATGCTTGCGTATGTGTCACCACTCGAGCAACATTGCCTTGTACGAAATTTCCTCTGCTCCATATTCTTCAAGAGCGTAATACCGCTTTTAATGTGCCATAAAAATAGTGGACAACGAACCACATTGTTTACATACATGTAACTATATTTTTTCTTCAAGATCAGGCATATACTAATGTCTGTTCTTCCCTTGACCAACCCATTTGCGATTGCATAATCGAGTTAGCCATGCCATAACGTTCAACTGTTCAATGCAAATCGCGCCGCGCACACAAAATAAGAACGAAAACAAGTGCGTTATTATCGTCACGTTTGTTATCCATACATGAGATAATAATTGCTTGTTGGGCGTCGGCTGAAGGTGCAATATTGTACATGTAAGGAGTGCAAACGATAATAATTACACAGAAGGAGATGTTATGTGCGGAAGATATGAAATTACACGGACCTTGAACACATTATACAGGGGTTTTCCTTTACACGACGTGTAGATCTTGAAAACATAATCAATTTTTCTTAGTGCCATATACACCAATGTCTTAAGGGAACCGAGATAAAGGGCTCTGCAATATCAAAAATATCTGAATACCGTCCTGTAGCCGCGACATCACCGACTGGTACAAGCTCACTGGCTCAACCCGACGACAGAACTGGGTCGGGGTCAGTGTGTCAGATCAGTATGCAACCTTCAACCGACGGTTACGGTCACGCGTGTAGAGGTAATCGCGTAGACGAGAATCCCTCAACAAGCACTAGAGACGTGGCTAGAGAAGTGCAAGTATCAAAAACTAAAGTGTGGCAAACGCTGCGTGAAGAGGGGCTGTATCCGTTTCACGTTCAACGTGTACAAGCCCTTCGACCTGACGATTTTCCAGCAAGAGTGCAGTTTTGTGAGTGGTTGTTGCGTCAACATGACAATAATCCGGACTTTGTGAAGTGCATATTGGTGACAGACGAATCTACGTTCACGCGTAAAGGGGTGAATAACTTTCGCCACACTCATGTTTGGTCAGTAGAAAATCCGCACGCTGTCCGTTGGGCACATTTTCAACAAACATTTTCGGTGAATGTTTGGGCTGGCATGGTGAACGGTATGCTCATTGAACCATTTATTCTCCCAAATCGATTGGACGGGATGCAATACCTAGAACTTTTTACGCAACATTTTGCCTTCCTTGTTTGCCTGCGTCTGCTCGGTAGCGCATCAGCTGATTTCATTTTCTGTTGGAGCGGTATGATTTCGGGCAGAGACGTACTTAGCCCTTCTCATCAACTGGAGAGTGAATACTTTTTCCTTTATTTTTTTTACTTGGTCGCCCTCGTTTCACTACACATTACCTTTGTTAATTCAAGGGTAGTTGTTTCTGAAAAGGAAAACCCCAACTTTGCGAACACCCTGTAGTGTGTCTACAATTTTCCCTACTACACTCATACTTCCAAAACATGGTAGTTTCTGTGTTTATGTGACGAATTTTTATTATTCAGTTTTTATTCCTGGTTTTGTCTTTTTCGCCTTTGTCTTTTCCTAACTTGAGTCTAATAAATCTGAATTGGATTTCATCGAATAAAAATGGCATCAAGTTGATTGACTCTATACAAGGGTGTCCCAAAGAAAACGAAAGTTCTTTTCTTCAAACGCATATCTTCTAATTCTTATCCATTGGACTTTCACAACTCAAAAAATAAATATTATTGCGATCGGAAAACGATAATCTAAGCCTTCGTTGGAGGTTTTAAGGAAAACCGTTGATTCACTTAGGTACGATCATTTTACTGTTTCAATTTTAGTTTGAGTTAATAAATAATATTATTAACGTAGTGTAAATTCTTGAACGTCTCACCAAGAGCGATGAAGAGCACAGCTCCGACCCCCAGCAAAATATACTCGGTGATTCTGTTCTTGGTGGGCAGCTCTCCGGCCAGGCGCCCTATGAAAAGGGCAGCTGTGATGATCAGATAGCCCCCGTAAGTGGCATCCGCAACTGCGGCCCCCACTCTGCTCCAAGTCACGTTGTTAAGGAGACTCCACTGGCGCGACAGCTTTTGGAGGTAGAGGAAGAGACGCGATGCTTCGTCGTCAGTGACGCGTTTGAAGATCAGACACACGACCACCAGAACCTGAAAACGAAAAAACGCTAAGTTTTTACACGGCTGAGGTCGAGAAAATAAAAAAATCTGTGTAATAACAGTCTTATTTTTTTAAAATTGTTAATCTTTTACAGTTTCTTTTTATCATGCAGCTTATATAGGTGATTTTTGTTACATCATTTCCTTTTGAAGAGTCTTACTAGCAGTTAAAATAAACGACTCAACTTTGAAAATACCTTGTATATATATAAGGTAACTTTATATACATGGGTCGAAAAATGCGTGGCTTCCGAAATACAGGGTGTTTAAGTTTACTTTTTAAAATAGTTTTTTTTAAATATTTCGAACAATATTTGATGTACACCAATTTTCCCTGTTATACATCAAATATTGTTCGAAATATTTAAAAAAAACTATTTTAAAAAGTAAATTTAAACACCCTGTATTTCGGAAGCCACGCATTTTTCGACCCATGTTTATATAGACTTTATGCATTAATTTCAAAAGTTCTATCGAATCTTAAAGTTATGCAACAATAAACTGAAACACCATGTATATTAGAAACTTTTAGAGAAAGAATCCCTTGACGGTTATGGAAAAGGTTTTATTCCAGAACTGGACGATACGACCGCTCCTTCGTCCCGAGCGTGTCGAGATCGTGTAACAATCTACAAGAGGAAGCTTTCCCCAGTCCTATTAAACTTAGACAGTTCAAAATAATAATCAATTAAAATTATTGCATACTATTAAAGAGCGATAAGAATCTCTGTCATTGAAATCATGGTTATGTTAACCTACACTCTCGCATAGATTATTACTGCATTGAAACTGTATTGTTTCAAACCGAAATACCTATAATCTGCAGCAATGTGTCCATTATTATTTTATATAGTTAGTAAACTTGTGTGATGACATTATTTTACTTCACAGCATTAGGCGCAATAATAATCATTTATGTATCAAGGCGTGTCTAGATTACGACTAGAAGATAGCATCACACAGTAACAAGGACGAAACTATGAATAATATCATCTTTGCATATTAAATAAATACACAGGGTGGCGCATCGGAATCGAAACAGACGCATTTACTGGCAGCTCAGTTTTTTTTTGGAAAAATGCTCAGACCCGTCGATTTTGTTTGGAAAGAAAATCTAAATTAATTTCACCGGTCAGTCGATGAGCATGCGAATTTTCTACTGCCCAAACATGATTTTTGTGGAAATTGTGCACTCCATTTCGTGTAAATGTGGCCTCGTCTGTACACAAAATTAATTTCGTTAAATCTTCATCTCTGTCTTTGGCTCTAGTATCTGCTCAATGTTGGGTCGTCTTCCACCATTTCTAAAATGTCTTCCTTATTTTGTAACATTTCAGGTTGAGCAGGTCGTTTTTATTATTTTTGGTACATTACCTCAAATCAGCCTGTATTAAATTTCCTCTGTATTTCTTAGAATAAGGTATCTTAAAGCAAGCGTCTGTTGTGACAACAGAAACAATGACAATGAGCTTTGCGGTTGCAGACGTGATTCGCTAAATCGAAAGCATAAACAATGAAACATTTCACTATCACTTTCACACGATAATTTTCATCTGCCAGATCCAGCCGTCTAGTTAATATACTGTGACCATCAGAAGTAGCCGAGTTTTTGATCGGACGAGTTTTTGCCAGTTTCCTAATATTCGATTCACCTGTTTTGTGGAAGTGAAAGTGAAACGATAACAAGCTATTAAAGCGCGTATTTGTGTTTGGTTTGGACAACAATGAATCAATGGATGTCTTTCGTTTTCAATGCTCCATCGTTAATCAGATATTCATGCAAATCGGAACGACTCATTGTGGTAAATACGCAAGAAACAAGTTTGCACTTTCTTTGGTAAGAGTGGTTGGACAACAAAAATCCCAAGCCGTCCTTAAATAACTAATAACAGCCACCTTATTATATATATATATACTTTAGATGTGGTCATTGTCGTCTAGACCAGTTAGGTGAAAAATTAAAGCTTCCGCCTTTTGTTGGGTACTTCGACAAAATTTAGGCAAAGAGGACTCTTTATACTTTTTTAATTCTCTCTAGCTTTCAATGGACTTTGCCATGATCATCAGGAGCTGCAATTACAATGATAACAGTAGCAACAAAAGTGTGAAATGAATTTAAATTGACTCAACTTACAGTAGTATGTGAGGATGTTGCTAATTGTTGTTTACGTATAGGATGAGGGAAACGTCCAGTAACATGGTGAGAGCTGGATAGATGGTACAATGGTCAAAATTATATAAAATATGACAAGACAAGTTAAAAACAGATTAAAAATTATTTAAAAAACATTAGAGCATTACATCGTGAAGCCACTTGATGATTGCACAAAATGGTGGTCATGGAATAATGAGTGAGATGAACCTTTGACAGAAGGCCGAAGGTTGTCAATGTCTGTGTTGAAAGATGGAACGAATTGTGGGCGTGTGCCAAACGTTGCCAAATCACTTCAGATGATGTGATTTTCAGAATGTTATGTAAGAAATTGTTAAACCGACCAGAGGCAGTTGAATAAACTATATTTTAATTAATGGGAATTTTAAATTAACAATTATTAATAAATCGTGAGAAGAGAATTATTAGATTTTGAGTGGAATGAAATATATATATATATATATATAATTATTACTTACCACTTCGATCAATTTTAAGAATGTCCATCTGTCGAAATGTGCCGCCATGGTGAATTTCTCTATGCGGTCGTTTCCCCATTAAGGAAGTAGCAAATTTATCTGAAAAACGATTTTCAACTTAATTCTTAGAAAGGAAACGTGCAATTTTACCGAAGCTTCGATTACGTTGAATTGGTATTTAATTTTTGTCAGTTCTGTTACCTTGAGATTTCATATTCTGCCGCAAATAATACACTTAGGTAAGGTAACATTCATGAAACATAAGTGGTTACATATTTGCCAGAAAATTAATTCATCTAACGTATGTCCAAGGATTTTTTATCTGCACATTTCGCTTTACGTTTTTAACATTATCAAGGTATTCTTCTACGTTGTCCGTAGAAAATCCGTCGTTTTCCTTCATTTCCGAATTGCTCAAAGTGAAATACTTTTCGTCAGCGAAAACTTCAAAATAGATAAATGTCAACAGACCGTAAAGAAGTAAACAAACTTTTCCAAAGGCAACTTGATATTATTTATACTAAGTGACATATAAATCCGAACACCCAGTTTAAATGGTTTTATTTTAATAAAAGTTGTTGAATGTATTTATCTTACTGTAAATAACAAGTGAAAAAATGTTCAGCCTTATCAGTTGGACAATCTGGTTTTTATACTGCTTTTTTTTTAATTCACTAACGCTCTAAAAATGAATATTTCAGCCGCAGTAAAGAATCAACGTTGGCGGATTTTGGTTCTTGACATCCTTTACGATCGGTTACGATGCCTAGAGTACGGAGACCTGTACGATTTCGTCAACTTAGTGAGTTTGATAGGGGCCGTATAGTGGGACTTCGGGAAGCTGGACTTTTTTTTCGGGCAATTGCAGTTAGAGTGCAAAGAAGTGTAGACACTGTGGTTAGGTGTTGTCAGGCATGGCTTCGAGAAGGCCGTACGCAAAGAGCAAGGGGCACTGGACGCCGCCGTAGAACAACAGACCGTGAAGATCGCCGCCTAAGATTATTGGCCTTAAGGGACCGTTTCTCCACTACCAGGTCCATTGCAAATAAATGGTTTGCAGAACACGGAAGACCTATTGGCATGCGAAGTGTTTACCGACGAATGAGAAGTTTTGGCTTGTTTTCATACCGGTCACACTGGGTCCTCGCTTTAACTCGAGAACACCGACGTAATCGCCTTGAGTGGTGCAGACAACGGTCACTCTGGGATCAGGAATGGAACAGTATTGTCTTTAGTGACGAGTCTCGATTTTGTTTAGGCATGCACGATGGTCGTGCCAGGGTTAGAAGGCGACGTGGTGAAAGGAGGAATCCACAGTTTTTTGTTGAAAGACATGTTCATCACACTGTTGGAGTTATGGTTTAGGGTGCTATAGCTTATGGTTCCAGGTCACCTTTTATCTTCATCAGAGGTAACATGAACGCGCAGCGTTATATCCACGAAGTTCTAGAACCCCATCTTTTACCCTATCTTGACACCCTGGCAGATCCAACTTTCCAACAAGATAATGCCCGACCACATGTTGCAAGAGTCACAATAGACTTCTTTCAACATAATGATGTCACATTGTTACCATGGTCACCAAGATCTCCCGACTTATCCCCAATTGAGCACGTGTGAGATATGATGGGTAGGAGATTGCTCAATTTGCAACGTCCTCCTCAGACTCTAGAAGCACTTCGAGAGGAGTTGGTGGTTGCCTGGAATGAGATACCACAGGAGGACATTGACCACCTGATCAGAAGCATGCCTAGGCGCGTTGGAGAATGCGTAGCACATCAGGGTGCATCCACACATTATTAAAGGTCAAAGGGCTTTAAAGCAGTGCAATCATTTTGAAATTTTTATCATTTACTTATGCTTCATTAAGTACTTATACAAAATTTTATTAAAATAAAACTGGGTGTTCGGATTTATATGTCACTAGTGTATTTTGTGTTTGTTAAACATACGTTATCTATCGAATCGGATTTGTTGTTGTAACTGGTAACTGTCAGATAACGAAGAATTTGTCAGGTGATAGAGGCTCTGAAAGTCTATCAAATGAAGAACCCCTATATGTGTGGTCCGAAATTTTACAGCTCATATTTGCAATTATGTAAAATTTACAACTAAACAATTAGGTTTAGGGCTGTGATATTTTTTCTAAATGGTTAGTTATAGCAATGGCTATGTCACTTTTTAACAGAGCTTACGAAGAATTAACGCAAAAAATCTTAAATTCATTTTTCTGTGAAAAACATGAATTTAACATTTTTTGCGTTGATTTCTAAAAATCTCTGTTAAAAAGTGACACAAGCGTTGCTGAAACTAACCATTTAGCTCATCTCAGAGAAAAAATCACAGCCCTAAACCTCATGGTTTAGTTGTTTAATTGAAAGTTCATTATTCCGCGTTTTTTGAAATTTCAACAATTTGCAAATTTGTCCTGGACTATAAAATTTCGATCCACACATATAGTGATTCCCTCTATAACACCTGACTTCCGTTGGTCCACTACTAACTTTACTCCCTGAATATTGATGTTGGAGACTTAAACGGGAAGATAAGACAGAAGCCCACCTGTACTATCAATATCAGAGCATTGACACGATCAATGTACGATAAATTCTGCTGTGATTCTGTCACCACTTTCTTTAACAGTGCATAAAAGAGGTTGATAATCCAGCCTAAGATTATAATGATTTTCCTGAATAATCTTATATGATAGATAATATCACCGAATGCTCACTTGTGTACAGAAAATTCATCTAAGGTTGATTCTAGTATTATTATAATCTTGCCTTGGAAGTCACAATAAAAGATGGTAAAAAACGACGTAGCTACCCAGCTGGAACAGTCAGCATTTTTACTTATAACTGAAATAAACGACTTTTTGTTCGATTCGATTATCATTATTACACGCTCTGAAAATTCATTCAGAAAAATTAAGCGATCAACGAACTGAAGGTATCACGAGTGCGTCTCATCTAGAAAATGCATAAATCTTCTTTGAATATCTTCATGATACTGTTTAATACTATACTAAGTGACATATAAATCCGAACACCCAGTTTAAATGGTTTTATTTTAATAAAATTTTGTATAAGTACTTAATGAAGCATAATAAGTAAATGATAAAAATTTCAAAATGATTGCACTGCTTTAAAGCCCTTTGACCTTTAATAATGTGTGGATGCACCCTGATGTGCTACGCATTCTCCAACGCGCCTAGGCAGGTGGTCAATGTCCTCCTGTGGTATCTCATTCCAGGCAACCACCAACTCCTCTCGAAGTGCTCCTAGAGTCTGAGGAGGACGTTGCAAATTGAGCAATCTCCTACCCATCATATCCCACACGTGCTCAATTGGGGATAAGTCGGGAGATCTTGGTGGCCATGGTAACAATGTGGCATCATTATGATGAAAGAAGTCTATTGTGACTCTTGCAACATGTGGTCGGGCATTATCTTGTTGGAAAGTCGGATCTGCCAGGGTAAAAGATGGGGTTCTAGAATTTCGTGGATATAACGCTGCGCGTTCATGTTACCTCTGATGAAGATTAAAGGTGACCTGGAACCATAAGCTATAGCACCCCAAACCATAACTCCAACAGTGTGATGAACTTGTCTTTCAACAAAAAACTGTGGATTCCTCCTCTCACCACGTCGCCTTCTAACGCTGGCACGATCATCGTGCATGCCTAAACAAAATCGAGACTCGTCACTAAAGACAATACGGTTCCATTCCTGATCCCAGAGTGACCGTTGTCTGCACCACTCAAGGCGATTACGTCGGTGTTCTCGAGTTAAAGGGAGGACCCAGTGTGGCCGGTATGAAAACAAGCCAAAACTTCTCATTCGTCGGTAAACACTTCGCATGCCAATAGGTCTTCCGTGTTCTGCAAACCATTCATTTGCAATGGACCTGGTAGTGGAGAAACGGTCCCTTAAGGCCAATAATCTTAGGCGGCGATCTTCACGGTCTGTTGTTCTACGACGGCGTCCAGTGCCCCTTGCGTACGGCCTTCTCGAAGCCATGCCTGACAACACCTAACCACAGTGTCTACACTTCTTTGCACTCTAACTGCAATTGCCCGAAAAGAAAGTCCAGCTTCCCGAAGTCCCACCCACTATACGGCCCCTATCAAACTCACTAAGTTGACGAAATCGTACAGGTCTCCGTACTCTAGGCATCGTAACCGATCTTCAAGGATGTCAAGAACCAAAATCCGCCAACGTTGATTCTTTACTGTGGCTGAAATATTCATTTTTAGAGCGTTAGTGAATTAAAAAAAAAGCAGTATAAAAACCGGAATGTCCAACTGATAAGGCTCAACATTTTTTCACTTGTTATTTACAGTAAGATACATACATTCACCAACTTTTATTAAAATAAAACCATTTAAACTGGGTGTTCGGATTTATATGTCACTTAGTATACTTTCAGCTATTTTTCACATTCTTTTTTAACAAAACGGGGGTTGGTCATTTTTCTCTACTTCAACGACAATTTGACATTTTTCGAGCAAAAGCTCGCGGTACAATGCAAGTACTTACCGTGTTAGACGGCGATGTCATGACGAAGTAACAACAAAAACAAAATATGTGCACACGCAGTAACAATGTAGGGCACAACTTGATACGAAGCAACTGCATGTAAAGTCAAATGTAGTAAAATTTGAAATAGCGATAACGGAAAGCGCGCGTCGGTAAACTAAAATCAAGCCGGCGTTTGATGCGCACCGACTTCACCGATCTCGGATCCCTTCCACCTGTAGACAAAGCAATTATTTTCATTTTTATGCTTTTAGTGTCCGTGCAGCGCAACAAACAAATAAGTAAATTGCTACTGATAGCCCGGTCATGCTTTTACAAAATCCAGCGCTCTGCGGAAGCCCCGGGATAAAAACCCATAGAAAATTTTACTTTTTTTTGTTCACTTAGAACCCCTGAAGCTTCCATTAGCTCGTGACAAATGCGTATCAACGGCAAGCTAACCTATCATGGAATAATAACGTCCTAAAAGTTTTAATTTAAAAAAAAATAATATCAAGTTGCCTTTGGAAACAAAAGTTTGTTCTTCTTTACTGACATTTGACATTTATCTATTTTGCTGACGAAAAGTATTTTACTTTGAGTGATTCTGAAATACAGGGAGACGACGGATTTTATACGGACAACGTAGAGGAATGTTATTATAGAATCATAAAGCGAAATTTGTAGATAAAATCCTTGTCTGGTGCGCAATTAATAACAGGGGTGTATCCCAACCTTTTGTCTGAAGAGTGAGGGGTGGAGCTTTCAATAGTCAAAGCTAATATATATATTTATATATAGAAAGAGATAGAGATCACGCGGAGAAAGGTATATAACAAAAAGTAGGAAAATAATGGGCAAAATCCGCAAAAAGGAGGAAAGTGGATCCGAGCAGAAAATAGGACAGGTAACCCGAGCGATACGTATTTCTGCTGGTTGGCTTCATCAGGCCCGGAATGAATGCACATATGAAACTACAAAAGTAGATACACATGCCCACATATCCGGATACGGGTGTAACATTAGGAAACGAGGATGGAGAGGGAAAAAAACGACGCACGAAGTCCACAACAAGGGCCAACCTACGCATTGTAGTATAAAACGGCTAGAGAACCTCGAATTTTCAAGGAGACATCTAACCACAATGGATCTACAAAGAGAAGATGATGAAGCCAACCAGTAGAAATACGTACCGCTCGGGTTACCTATTCTATTTTCTGCTCGAATCCACTTTCCTCCTTTTTGCGGATTATTTTCCTACTTTTTGTTATATACCTTTCTCCGCATGATCATAGTTGTTATTAAATTGTACAACAAACTACCCGACCATGTGAAAGATATAAATACGATGATACTATTTATAAAAGCTGTAAAAACATATTTTCAGAAAACACTTCTTACTCAGTAGAGTGATACGTCAATCACGATTTTTAAATGTGTTTTGACTATTATAGTTTACCTTCTATGCAATGTTATCTTGTTTGTTTTAAACGCTCTATGTCTATTTTTGACTATATTCCTATACCACCTTGTATGTATCTTAGTTATTTATTTATCTTAGTACTTTTCGTCAAACATTTCAGAAATTGATTCATTTCTTTCTATTTTCAAGTAGCTGTGAAGGTCGCTTTGGAATACCGGAGTACTGGGGCGAGGAAAGCAACAAGTTGCAATGCGAAGCAGAAACCTGCCAAGTTGCTTAAGCAATCCTAAAAAGTGACTGCAAGATTTCTAATAGTTTGTCGATTGTAATTGCTTGTTGTGGAATCGTTGAAATTTTAAATTCAAAATTTCACTGGGTTATATTTTGCGTTCGCATATTGGTTGTAACAAACCAGATAAGTACTTATGCATAGTGAGCATTCGTTAGAAAATAAATTCAAAGAGTTGTATTCATACGATGTTGGTGAATGAAACTAGTTGTTTGTTTCAAGCTCTAATTAAGTTAATGCGTGTTACAAATATTCGAGGAATTTTCATCGTCTGGTTGACATTATCCGTCGAAGGCTTTGTTTAATTGTAACGATGGGACGAGGACAGAACCTTGTTCCTTATGTGAGATTCTGCTATATGTATTTCTGTTATTATACCGAACCTTGGTATATTTACGTAACTGACAACGGGTATATCAGTGAGCCGATAATTTTTTGTACGAAAATAGGGCCTTTGAAAGTCCTGCTTACAATCGGAATATACTCATCCAAATTATCCAGAAAACAAGATGCCGTTGCAACCTAGAGTGACAATCAAGACATGCAATCCCGACGAGCAAGCTTGTCTTGCAATCTCGATGGGTAATGACGTTGGATAATCATGTCGAGCAGTCCCGAAACGCAATCGCAGCAGGCAAGGACGTTAAATAACCACGACGTGCAATCTAGACGGGCAATCACGACGTGCAATCCCTACGGGAAATAACGTCAGGAAATTACGACGGCCAAATGCGTCATATAATCTCTACGTTTAATTCAGACAGGGTAATCGCGTCGTGCAATCACGACCGACAATAATTACGTCAAACAATCACGTCGGACGATCACAACCGGCAACTAAGTTGGATAGTCGCGTCGGACCATCCTGACGGGCAATCACGACCGGTAATGTCGACGGATAAATACGTAGGGCAACAACGCCATGCAATAACGTTAGAAACAACAACGAGCAATCTCGATGGCCAATCACGTCGGGCGATCACGATCGGCAACGACGTTGGATAATCACGTCGAACGATCACGACTGGTAACGACGTCGGATAATTAGGTAGGGCAGTTACGGCGTGCAATAACGTTAGATAACAACGACGGACAATCACGACATGCAGTCCTGACAGGCAATGAGGACGGGCTGTGACGTCGGACAATGACGTCGGGCAATCCCAGGCTGGCAATGACGTCGGATAGTCGCGAACCACATTAGGCAATCACGATCGACGTTGTATAACCACGACGTGGTAGTCCGATGTACCATCACCTCTTGGAATAACGTCGGTTAATCACGTCGTGTATTATTAATAAAAAACCTGACGAGGAATGATGTCGAGCAATCACGACAAGCATTGCGTCGCATAGTCACGCCGCGCAGTCCTGACGGGTAATCACGGTATGCAATCACAACTGGCGATGAGGTTGGATAACCACGACGTGCAATCCTGACGTGAAATCACGGCTAGCGACGACGTCAAATAATCACGGCCGGCAAAGCCGTTGATAACCACGAGGTGCTATCAAGCCATGCAATAACGACTTGCAATGACGTCTGATAATCATGTCGGACTATCCTGACGGTCAATGATGTCGGAGAATTAGGTAGGGCAATTACGGCGTTCAATGACGTTAGATAACAACGACGTGCAATCCGGACATGCAGTCCTAACAGGCAATGACGACGGGCAGTGACATCGGATAATGACGTCGGGCGATCCCAAGCTGGCAATGACGTCGGATAGTCACGATGGGCAATCCAGTCGAGCAACAACGATAGACAATGTCAAACAACCACATTAGGCAATCACGATCGACGTTCTATAACCACGACGTGGTAGTCCGATGTACCATCACCACTTGGAATGACGTCGGTTAATCACGTCGTGTATTATTAATAAAAAACCTGACGAGGATTCATGTCGAGCAATCACGACGAGCATTGCGTCGCATAGTCACGCTGCGCAATCCTGTCGGGTAATCACAGTATGCAATCACAACTGGCGATGACGTTGGATAACCACGACGTGCAATCCTGACGTGAAATCACGGCTAGCGATGACGTCAAATAATCACGGCCGGCAATGCCGTCGATAACCACGAGGTGCTATCAAGCCATGGAATTACGACTTGCAATGACGTCTGATAATCATGTCGGTCTATCCTGACGGTCAATGATGTCGGATAATTAGGTAGGGCAAATACGGCGTGCAATAACGTTAGATAACAACGACGTGCAATCCGGACATGCAGTCCTGACGGGCAATGACGACGGGCAGTGACATCGGATAATGACGTCGGGCGATCCCAAGCTGGCAATGACGTCGGATAGTCACGATGGTCAATCCAGTCGAGCAATCACGATAGACAATGTCAAACAATCACATTGGGCAATCACGATCGACGTTCTATAACCACGACGTGCTATTCCGATGTACCATCACCACTTGGAATGACGTCGGTTAATCACGTCGTGTATTATTAATAAAAAACCTGACGAAGAATGATGTCGAGCAATCACGACGAGCATTGCGTCGCATAGTCACGCGGCGCAGTCCTGACGGGTAATCATGGTATGCAATCACAACTGGCGATGAGGTTGGATAACCACGACGTGCAATCCTGACATGAAATCACGACTAGCGATGACGTCAAATAATCACGTCGGGCAATCACGGCCGGCAATGCCGTTGATAACCACGAGGTGCAATCAAGCCATGCAATTACGACTTGCAATGACGTCTGATAACCATATCGGACAATCCTGACGGTCAATGATGTCGGATAATTAGGTAGGGCAATTACGGCGTGCAATACCGTTACATAACAACGACGTGCAATCCCGACATGCAGTCCTGACAGACAATGACGACGGGCAGTGACATCGGACAATGACGTCGGGCATTCCCAAGCTGGCAATGACGTCGAATAGTCACGATGGTCAATCCAGTCGAGCAATCACGATAGACAATGTCAAACAATCACATTGGGCAATCACGATCGACGTTCTATAACCACGACGTGCTATTCCGATGTACCATCACCACTTGGAATGACGTCGGTTAATCACGTCGTGTATTATTAATAAAAAACCTGACGAGGAATGATGACGAGCAATCACGACGAACATTGCGTCGCATAGTCACGCCGCGCAGTCCTGACGGGTAATCACGTTATGCAATCACAACTGGCGATGAGGTTGGATAACCACGACGTGCAATCCTGACGTGAAATCACGGCTAGCGATGACGTCAAATAATCACGTCGGGCAATCACGGCTGGCAATGCCGTTGATAACCACTAGGTGCAATCAAGCCATGCAATTACGACTTGCAATGACGTCTGATAATCATGTCGGACTATCCTGACGGTCAATGATGTCGGATAATTAGGTAGGGCAATTACGGCGTGCAATACCGTTAGATAACAACGACGTGCAATCCGGACATGCAGTCCTGACAGGCAATGACGACGGGCAGTGACATCGGACAATGACGTCGGGCGATCCCAAGCTGGCAATGACGTCGGATAGTCACGATGGGCAATCCAGTCGAGCAATCACGATAGACAATGTCAAACAACCACATTAGGCAATCACGATCGACGTTCTATACCAACGACGTGGTATTCCGATGTACCATCACCACTTGGAATGACGTCGGTTAATCACGTCGTGTATTATTAGTAAAAAACTTGACGAGGAATCATGTCGTGAACTACGTTTATCTGAGGTTGGATCAAAATCAATGCATACAACTTTCGTATAAACCAAAATATGATCCCGACATTTTTCAAAACTCTCTTGTAAGAATCTCAAAATATCCACATGGTCTCCTGTCGTCCTGAATAACCATACACTTCAATTTATATTGCATTATTTCTACCAACCAATTAGTCATATTGCGTGTTATATAAACAGAGTGCGTATGGTATGCGCCCTCTAATCAGATGTCATTTGCGTCCCGGTCGTTGCGCTCATCTTTTACAACCTGAGATAATCCTCGTTATCACAGGCTATTATCTTCCTGATCCACCACGGCTACTCGCCATTGAACGCTGGAAGACCACAAATTGGCGCTAGCGCGTTCTTATTGTTGAATATCAGTATCCCATGCTTATGCGTGGAGGTCGCAGCGATATTTCGTAAGAGGTCACCAACATCCTTGCTACAAGAACAAACGACAAATTTCTCACGTTCCTATTCAGGTTTTTCTTCAACGTGTATTTTTATAACATAAATTGTCGTGATTAATTTAACGATCATAAGTCATGGTTAAGGTAAAATAATTGCCTCACTTTTTTCGCACTTCAAACTTACATTTTCAAGGCGGTCGTTGTGTTTAAATCTGTGTTTTTGCTTGATAGATGCAAATGGAATATCTTGGAGATTGTACGGGGCTTCGATGAAATTTCGGAAAAAGTACAACGCGCTACGTGGTAATGCTGATGACAGGTCACAAAATAAAAAACTGCTGTGTTTTCCATGTATTTTTTCACTCTAAACACGAATATGAAGTCGAACATATTGGTGGTAGGTGGACAAATTTAAGAGAACACGCATTAAAATGATCCACAGGACCACAAAAAATACAGTTATGTGTTCTATAGTTGAAATCACGAAAGATGACGATTTTAGTCTGTGATTTGTAGGAATATTTATAATGAAGTTTCAGATATGTTAGACAGAGACAAAAATAATTTGATTGTCTAACTCTAAACAAACTGTATTGCTACTGTGCAATTATCCGATGTTTTCATGTTGCATGATCGATCATATTAAATTTGAAAGATGAATAGTTAGGTTATGTTTAAGCAGGTTAGGTTGTTTTCGAATAATACTTTGGTCTTTGGTGTTAATGTCTTAAGGTGTATTCACTCATAACTGTTTTTTCAAAACAAAAACTCCACACAAACTTATTATTAAGGTATCACTCAAAACCATGAAATAAAATGAAAATAAAAATAATCAGTGAAATAACCTAACTTCGCAAAATCATAATATAAATTTGTGGTCATTATGTCCCTGACGTCGTGATTTTATCATCGACGTACGTCCATTGATTACTTCGGTACAATTTATGATATGACGTAATAATCATCTTTCGTGATTTTGACGATATACTCGTATTACTTTCTACGTCAAAGTGCGAGAAAAACTTTTGTAGGGGTTGAAAATTGGGGATTGTGTTTTTTTCAAACGCATACCCACGGTAAACGTTATATCCCATCGAAAGAAGACAATTTAGCCCACTTTATGGCAAGTCTGACGAATAAATTGTCGTTTGTTTTTTACTGCTTCGGTATAATATGCTAACTGTTAAAATAAGCCAGCGATTCTTGCAATAGATGACACCTCACACCATCTTGTTTCGATAGATCTCATACGATAGAGAGAAAGAGGTTAGTTGCTATGCTTTCGTTCGTTGTCCTGACTTGAGGCCTAGACGATGCTGATGAGTTGTCAAAAAGCACAAAACATCTCTCCATGGTTGACTGTCTGTTATCGGACGGACAAAACCTGCATGTTTAGATGGTAGCTATTCTTCGTTTTTTCATATCAGAGAATAATGACGATGCCTTTGTTTCAATTGAAAGCAAGTCCTCGACGAGTGTCCAACTTCATGGCCACATAATAATTTTTTCAACACGCTAAGAATAAGGTGCGAACGCTGAGAGCACTTAACGATACGGTAGAAAAAGCGGTCAAGTTGATGCAAAACTTCCACGGGTTAACCACATTTTTCGAACAAAAATTTGTTCTGACCTCAATATTGGGGGAAGATGGGCAAATATTGAAGTACACAATTAAAAATTTCAGATGTCATCTGAGAAATGTGTTATCTTTATATTAGAATTATTTTCTTATTTATCCACCAACCCGCAATTCTGTCATAAAACTTTTTCACTTTGTGGGCCTGTGTAATTATTTTGGAATACGCGAGTTGGTGCAAGTTTCTAAAAAGTAAAAAAAACCCAGAAGGTTACAAGCCTTGTTTTTTAAAAAGCATTTCGATAGATTTTTAGCGACACTAGTCAAAAAAAAAGAACTTACCGATTGAGGATAAGGAAAAGTTAAACACATAAAGTAACAAGTAACGAATTTATTCAGTTCTGAAAAATTGACCTAAAGCTAAAACTGTAATGTAACAATAACTAGACATATTTATCTAGGTACGACTTTCCTTCCCTTTCTACGTGTAATTAGAAAAATAATTTTTCAACTACGTTTATCCTCAGCACGTTTTTTTTTCTGCGAAATTTGAGCACAAAATTATATTGCTAGGCATAGAACTTTCAAATTTACTCAGATGATAAAATAACCATTATATTGCTTGACATGCATTGGTTACAATGCATAACCAATGCTCCGCTTATAGTAGAAAGAGCTGAAAAGGATATTTTAAGCTGGAAATCTATTTCCCTGAGATGAAACAAAAATGTGCGGTCGCCGACATATACGTTCTCGAAACTTGTGCTATTCGACACTATTGCTGGTTATCGCTTACAATTTTTCCAAAATATCGGATCCACAGTGAGCAATGTAAAAATATTATTGCTTTGTCAGTACAGGGTGTCACCCAATGGTAGGCAAAGGCCTGAACTAACTTCAACCGGAAAAGTCCATATAGACATGTGTCCTAAAAAAAGTCTGATTTCCAAAGGAGAAGTCACGGAAAGTCAAAAATATGTTCACAACAACAGAACAATATTGGTGAAACGATATATTTCCCGTTTTTTATACAACATTTTGTACGCTATACAGGTGTCCCACAAAAAAGACGTGCAATTTTCAATTGTAGGTTTTAAAAAATAAAACAAATTGTATTGGGGAACGGTGGAAGAAACAAGTTTACTCACAGCCCAGGCTACAGAGAAAGAAAATAGGTGTTTCGTGTAAAAAAGTTTAGCAGATATCTGAAAGTTTTAAATGACAAATACATAAAAAGGTACAACCAGATATGCGTTGTTTTTTTATAAACAATGGGAAGAGCCCAAAATTCAGTATTTTGCTTATATAATTTTCAAATTAAATTTTATAAACAATCGGTAAACTGGAAATTTTAAGAATTAAAATCAAGGCACAATTAAGCTAAATACGTGGCTTTTTAGCAATATTGAATAACTGTTTATAAGTATTGCAATAACAATCGTAAATCGCTAACAATTTGTGAAATGGGGGCATCATTGACAAAAAGGTTTTTCCCCAAAAACAGTGCATCGAACGAAAAAAACTCAAAAGGTTGCAAAATGAATGAGGATTTAAAAAATGATTTTCATTTTCGAAAAAAGCAATAGCGTATCATATTTTTTTGAAAAAATATCTAGAATAGTATTAAAGTTATAAGAAAACGATTTTTTTCTTAAAATTTTAACACCCTGTCGCTCAATTGACGAACGCGTGTTTGGCACACAATAGGGTTTTTTTTTTGATACTTGAAAATCTGACTTTTTCCGGGCACACGTTTACATGAACTTTTCTACTCAAATGTGGTTCAGGAATGCTCGCTTGTCATTAAGTAACATCCTGTATACTCTTTATGTACACAGAAAAAAATTACCTAAAGAAAAACAGAAAATTTATTCAAGTTATGTATAAAATATATATTCTAGGTGAATAACTTAAAGCATAATAATACTTGCAGTTTATCAAACAATGATATTCTATGTAGCATCTAGCTATCAACTGATTGAAAGGAAAATAGTTAAACTCATTTTAATTTAGGAATCGTGATTTTCGAAACAAATTCATATACCATATAAGATTTGATTTTTAAGGAACCATTTTCCGTTCAAACTTGCTGCTAATGTTTAGAATTTCGGTGAGCGACTAGTATTAATTCTATTAGTATTTTTCCGATCCAGTGCCAGCTTTGGTAGCGTATACAGAAGTGTCCTCAAAGTTGGGACTTTTACAAGTTTGCCGAAAGTTCGACATTCTGAACTATATGAAAATATGAAGCCGATTAATATATGGACAGATGTCTAGAAGCTTTTCAAATAAACGAACAAATCATTGAAATTTTGACAAAATCACATGGTGGATTTAGAAGAAATATTCTACAGAAAGAGCAATCCAAATGGCGAAGAAGTATAGATGAGTAACAGTATTTTTAGATTTGAGAAAGGTATAGAAAAATTATTAATGAAATTTAAATATCTTAGTATATATGTGGATAGTAAGCTACTGTTTCACGAACATTATGAATACATTATTTCAAAAATATCGATAAATTACTTCTATAGTTTCCCATAATCTTAGTTTGTATTCCAAAAAAATTGTGTATAACACTATAATTCTTCCCCATTTTTTATATTGTTCAACCATCTTGTTTACAGCAAATGAAAACATATTTTCAAAATTACAAATTCTACAAAATAAAGCTACGAGAATCATTTTAAATAAAAACAAATATACTAGGATTAAGTCTATGTTAGAAGAACTGCAGTAGTTGGATGTGAAAAATTTCATATATTATTTAGTTTTCGTTTTCATATCAAATGAAAAAATCATTTATTACCGCCACATTTAGAGAACTTGTCAAAATTAAATAATCATTATCATAACTACGAAACTAGAGGCAGTATAGATTTTCATCTGCAAAATTGTAACAGTAGCATAACTAGTAAATCTATATTTCAAAAGGGAGTATTTGAATTTATTAAAATGAATAATGATATTGGAATTTAAAAATGTTTAAGGTGAAATTAAAAAATACTTTATGAATAATCAAAATATATAGTGACGTAATTTTAATTTTAATAGACAAGAATGTAAAATTACAGAAAGTAGATTGAAGAAAAATAAGTATCCGACTCAAAATTGAAACAGCTACAGTGCATTAATGATAAATAAATCTTCAACGACAATAAAAAATTACATCATTTTAGTTTCAAAGGATCACTATTAAAAATTATTTAGAAAATGGACATCCAAAAACTAAAATTGGAAATACTATGTCAAACGTTCAAAATTGGCATATCTGTTCTTATTTGAAATGATTATCATAGTTTCATTTTTTGGATTCGTAATTTTCAAAATACATTTTCATTTGCTGTAAATAAGATGGTTGAACAATATAAAAAATTGAGAAGAATTTTTTAGGTTTCTAATTCTCATTTTCATATTCAAATTGAAAAATCATTTATTACTACCACATTTAGAAAATTAAATAGTCATTATAACGAAACTAGAGACAGTTAAGATTTTCATCTGCAAAATTTTAATACACCTAGTAGCAGAACTAGAAAATCTACAGTTCAAAAGAGAGTATTTCAATCCAATTAACTGAATAATGATGTTCGAATATAAGAATGAAAAATGAAAAAATTGAAAAATCACTTTGTAGATACCAAAAATGCGTCGCCTTGTAATTTTATTAGGAAATAGTGTAAAGTTACTGAAAATTAATAATAAATCTTCAACCAAAATTGGCACATTCTCACAGAAATAGCGCACTTACCGATTTTATTTTGGTTAACTCTAAACCGACTTCAAGATACTATGGAGTGTATTTAGAACGTCGTCTTCAATGTTTCCATCAGAACCGCATAAGTTTGATTGTATAGCAAAAAGCCGTCTGGATGTTGAACATTTAGGAAAAAAATATAAACAAAACGTGGCATGAAATGCCCTACCAAATAAATACTCTTCAATTTCTTTTTATTATTTCGGTGCTGTTTAACCTCGAATCATCTTTGCTTAGTTCCAACGTAGCTGCTTCTGAAAAGGAAAGCCCCAACTTTCAGGACACGCTGTATATTCATGTAAAAAAGATATACTCGCAATAAAGGAAATATTGTTTGACAATTTCCTGGGATTGCCTAAAATTGATTCAGTATACGCTTAGTCGAATCCTTTGATTTCAATTTTCCTACAATAAAACCATCGTTATTATACTCGAATTTTTCGTTTTGATATCAAGCATCACATATTCGTACGTAACATATTCCTAACGCAACCCAAATAAGAGAGAGAGAAAATATATTAACTATCACCTAAGAGAGTAACATTCCAAAACGTGAAATGGTTCATGTTTCTTTTGCAACGTTACCCTTATCACAAATTTTGTGCAGCACCTCTTGAAAAGATTTCAGCGCCGTGGCGAGGGACAACCTCAGACCTTTGCTGACCGGAAGCAGCGGGAACTCCGGCAGCCAAGGTTCACCTTCCCTGCAGTACCTGCATCAAAACAGACGTGTTTTTGGTTTATAAGAAAATACAAAAGTTCAACAATCTCAGCTGTATACAAATATGCGACCGATTAATGTCTTGCACGATGTCGAGAAACTGTTCGAAGGGATAATATAGGATTCATTGAAGAAACCAAAATTTTGACAAAAAATCAAGCTTGATTTAGAAAAAATGTTTCACAGAAACTGCAATCCAAATGGTGGTGGAAGACTGGAGAAGAAGTATAGATGAGAAAGAATATATTGTAACAGTATTTTTAGACTTTAAAAGGGCATTTGACACTATAGATAGGAAAATTGTTAATGAAATTAAAGGATCAGTATTACGCATTGTACAAAATTATTTAGTAAGTAGAAGTCAAAAAATTAAAGTTGGAAATATTATGTCAGTGTTCAAAATATATCAGTAGGGGTGCCACAGGGGACTAAATTAGGGCCGTTACTATTTATTATTTATGACATTTTAGAACACTGCAAAATTCAAATATTTGCGGACGATACACTTATATATATATATATATATATTATAAGCATTTGGACACTGCTTTAGAACTGTTAAATAGTGATATTGAAAAAATTATGAATTGGTTAAATGTCAATAAACTTAAATTAAACACGAATAAAACAAAATGTATGTCAATAGGAAAACATTTAGGTGGCAATACAATTAGGCTCATGATTAATGATGAAAAAATTGAAGTAGTCGAGTCATTCAAATATCTTGGTATATATGTGGATAGTAATTTACTGTTTCAAGAACATTATGAATACATTTTTTCAAAAATATTGAAAAAGATAAATTACTTCTATAGAGTTTCCCATAATCTTAGTTTAATTCCAAAAAAAAAAATGTGTATATCACTATAATCCTTTCCCATTTTTTATATTGTTCAACCATCTTGTTTATAGCAAATGAAAACATCTTTTCAAAATTACAAATTTTACAAAATAAAGCTATGACAATCATTTTAAATAAAAACAAATATGCTAGGATTAAGTCTATGTTAGAAGAACTGCAGTGGTTTGGATGTGAAAAATTTCACATATTATTTAGTTCTCGTTTTCATATTCAAATTAAAAAATCATTTATTACCACCACATTCAGAAAACTTCGCAAAATTAAATAGTCAATATCATACCTACGAAACTAGAGGCAGTATAGATTTTCATCTGCAAAATTGTAATAGTAGCATAACTAGTAAATTTATATTTCAAAAGGGTGTATTTGAATTCAATATTATGATATTAAATAGAGTTTGAATTTAAAAATGTTTAAGGTGAAATTAAAAAATCACTTTATGAATAATCAAAATAGATAGTGACTTAATTTTAATTTTAATAGACACGAATGTAATATTACAGAAAATGGATTGAAGAAAAATATGTAACCGAATCATTATACAAAAATTGACATTGTAGCATTAATGCTAAATAAATCTTCAATAACAACAACAAAAGCGAGATGTTTCAGAAATATCTGCCAATATTTGTAGGATAGAAAGTCGATAAAAAAATAACAAAAAAAGGTTCCTATAAATCAGGGCGATCAAGTATTTAGTATATTATATGAATTTTAAAAAATTAGTCGTGACCAAAAATTAAATATACACAGGACCGCATTTTAAGGGGGGGGGGCTCTTCTATGTAACATTTTTCCTAGAGAGTTTCTTTAAAAAGATACGGGGTCGTGAAGTTTGAAAATGAAAAACAATTTTTTTAATATCTTCAAAATGGTCAACTTGAGAAAATTGAGTATTTGGCTTCAACGTAATAGAACGAAATTTAATGCTAAAAAACAAAGTAAATGTTAACCGAATCACAGTATCATTGTAAAATGTACAACATATCGATTAAAACTGATGATTAGACCATAAGATTTAAAAATAAAATTAAATATTTTTAGCAGTTATTACACATTTGTCGTTCCTCGATCGCAATATTCATTTTTTTTGACAGGCACCTAATATCAACATTTCAGTTACTGACTAATTTCTTGTTCACTAGATGATCAGCAGAAGCTCCAACTATTATCCAATAGTAGTATTAAATAAAAATATGTATACAATTTAAAATTTTTAACAATGCATGAAATCATAGAAGAGGTAAACGATTAAAAATTAACGAATAAAGCATTAACTTATTTTAGCAAGCTTATGACGAAAAGATCTGATATGATATTAGATCAAAACACAATTATTATAAAGGGTGTCCGCAAAGTTGGGGTTTTCCTTTTCAAAAACAACTACCCTTGAAATAACAAAGGTAATGTGTAGTGAAATGAGGGCGACCAAGTAAAAAAAAATAAAGGAAAAAGTACTCACTCTCCAGTAGACGAGAAGGGCTAAGTACGTCTCTGCCCGAAATCATACCGCTCCAACAGGAAATGAAATCAGCTGATGCGCTACCGAGCAGACGCAGAAACCACATTGATTGTCTTACACTTAATGGCACATCTTCTAACAAGGAAGGCAAAATGTTGCGTAAAAAGTCTAGGTATTACATCCCGTCCAATCGATTTGGGAGAATAAATGGTCCAATGAGCATACCGTTCACCATGCCAGCCCAAACATTCACAGAAAATGTTTGTTGAAAATGTGCCCGACGGACAGCGTGCGGATTTTCTACTGACCAAACATGAGTGTTACGAAAGTTATTCACCCCATTACGCGTGAACGTAGATTCGTCTGTCACCAATATGCACTTCAAAAAGTCCGGATTATTGTCATGTTGATGCAACAACCACTCACAAAACCACAGTCTTGCTGGAAAATCGTCAGGTTGAACAGCTTGTACACGTTGGACGTGAAACGGATACAGCCCCTCTTCACGCAGCGTTTGTCACATTTAAGGTTTTGATACTTGCACTTCTCTAGCCACGTCTCTAGTGCTTGTTGAGGGATTCTCGTCTACGCGATTACCTCTACACGCGCGACCGTAACCGTCGGTTGAAGGTTGCATACTGACCTGACACACTGACCCTGACCCAGTTCTGTCGTCGGGTTGAGCCAGTGACCTTGTACCACTCTGTGATGTCGCGGCTACAGGTCGGTATTCAGATATTTTTGATGTTGCAGAGCCCTTTATCTCGATTCCCTTAAGACATTGGTGTATATGGTACTAAGAAAAATTGCTTATGTTTTCAAGATCTACACGTCGTGTAAAGGAAAACCACAACTTTGCGGACACCCTGTATAATTAGGACATTGGAAAAATATATTTTTGTTCAAGGTTTAAGAACTTACTGCTATAAATAAAAACGGTATAAAATGTAACGAAATTCAACAGGCAAATTAAAGACTTTATATTTCAGATCCAAAACACCTAAAAGACAAAGAAGTAAAGGGGTGCAGCTTACATGTCGAGCTTTTCGCAGAGTTTCTCTCCGTTTTGCGTGAAATGCGCGAATATCTCCTGTTTGAACACATCTGGCGGATTTTGAAGCAATTCGCTCATAGACTGGACCAATTTCAATATGACCAGTTCATTGTACGTCCTCGAATTTTCGTACCCTTGCTGTGTGTCCGTTTGCTTTTCGTAGCCGGCTTCATTGTAATACGGCTCCGAAACAAGGATCAGACCCTGAAAAAAAAAATTATATGATTACTTTTGTAATCGCGGCAAATCTCGAAGATTGTTTGACATAGGAACGAATTGTAAAACCTCACTTTTTTCGCTGTCCACTTGACGTGAAATGTCTTTCGATGCAGGTCCTAGATAATTTTTTTGCAATCGCTAAATGAAATTTCCTTTCTCACCTGAATGGATACGATCAGTTGCAACAGAGTGCTGTCCGGGCCCCAGACTTCGGTACCGCGACCCATCCACGTGCCGAGCAGCGAAACGCAAACCTTTCCTTCGACGTAAAGGTTCGGATTCAATCGTTGCGTGCTGTAACTTATGTAATGCACCACCGGCGGGCATCTAGGGTAATCGGGACTCAACTATAAAAGAAATATATTATTAGCAACATTCAAAAGATCAAAATAGGTGTACCTCAGGGGACGGTTTTGGGACCAACACTGTTCCTCGTATACATAAATGAACTACTTCGATCTAATTTCAACTGTAAAATGATATCATATGCAGACGATACTGTTTTAGTTTGCACTGGTCATTCAAGGGATGACGCAATACGGAATGCCGAGTTGTCATTAAATAAAGTCAAATGCTGGTTGGATAACAATTTACTTAAACTTAATATCTCTAAAACTAAGTATGTAACGTTTTCTCCAACCAAAGTAGGCATGCCATTACACCACCGAACATTAATTATAAATGATAGTGCTGACACTGTCGAAAGAGTTGAAGTTATTAGATACTATTGACAGTAATTTAAAATGGCAGAGTCATGCCGAGCTTTTGGCATCGAAATTAAGGAGAATTATTCATAAGTTTTTTATTCTTAGGAATATTTTAAGCAGAAAGAGTCTTCTCTCGATATATAACTCGTTTGTGGGGTCTCTGCTAACTTACGGGATAAGTATTTGGGGAGCCGCATACACTAGTACTTTAAAAATACTACAAACCACGCAAAATTATATTGTCAGGACTATTTTTCGTATCCCATGTAGGTCAAGTTGCAGATTTGTTTACATTGAAAATGATCTTTTGAATGTTAGAGGTTTATATATTTTTGCTGCTCGAAAATTTGTTCACTCCCGAAACAATGTTCCAACCAGCCACGCTTATGAAACAAGAACTAAAATAAATATAAGTTACACCTATACCAGAGTGAATAAATCTGTTTGCCAAAAATGCATAAAGTTTGATGGTAATAGGTTGTATAATAAATTACTCCTAGAATATAAAATCCTCTCGAAGTATAGTTTCAAAAAAAGAATTAAGAAGTTCATCTTAAATAACTTTGACATGCTTGCATCGACGGTAGCTTGACTCAACTCAGTAATTTCGTTTCTATCTAATGTTTTTTTTTTATTTCTTTTTTTATATACATTTGCTCATAATATACCTTATAACCATTAGCCATGCATTGAATTTGTATATTGTATGACATACACAAGCTTATAGCTTAGGTGTCTATTCTTTTGTAGTAAATTGTAGTACTCTTGTTTCTCTGCTTAACCTTTACGCAAAATTTTTATTGTTTAAACAACATAGTTTGACCTTACTCGAAATATCCCTATATTATCATATTTCAGATATTCATATTTTATGTACTCTATATTTATACTTCTGAGTGTTTTTAGTATGCTTCTGTACTATTGTTATGAATTTTAGATTTGTTTATGCAGACACGTAATTTAGGATTTGTGACGACAAGATTCAGACATTTACCCTTTACGAAAGTATACAGAATTTTCACAATTCATATACCGTTACTTGCTGGTTCTAGATCTGATTCTAGTATCTTTTCTCAGATTTCTGTTGCAATCTTGCTTATTCAGGGTAGCAAGAGTACACAAGCTCATGTATTTTTGAAGCTTTTTTTTATTTAAATTGTACTGAAGGTTGTTTTTTTAATTTGTAAGTTATATTGGTTTTTTTGAATTTGAATTTGAATAAACTTTGAAATGAAATGCATTTTTTGTGCATTCTTTCTCCAATCGGAACTTGTTAACAAATATAAGTACAGCTCTGAAATTGTGTGTGGATATTCCTCTTTTATGGAAGGATGAAACGAGTGATTACTTTTGTTCTTCTCACTTTTCTTTTTCGAAAAAATCAGCAAGTTGAGTTTTCAGGAAAAGCAGAGGTTTTTCGAAAAGGAAAAGTGATATGAACAAAAGTAATCACTCGTTTCATTCTTCCATAAGAGAGGTATATACACATACAATTTCAGAGCTGCACTTATATTTGTTAACAAGTTCCGATAGAAGAAAAAATGCACAAAAAATGCATTTTTTTGGAAAAATGTAACAATTGTTTTTTAGTCATTTCTATACACACCATGAAATTATCAGATGAAAAGGAGTCAGAATACTGCTGCAAACAGGAAGTTGGCAAAAATCTAAAAAAGGGACATGCCACTTTAATCAAATAAAATTGTTGAACATGCATCTTTTCTCGTAATAAAACAAAAAAAAATATATTCGTTTGAATATCTATATAAATCACGAATTATTTTATTTTTACTTTCTATGTGTGCATACGAAGTTGAGTCATTTATTTTAACAGTGAGTAGATCTGATCAAAAGAAATGTTTTTTCCTTTACCATTTTTCTGGTAAAATTAAATTAACAAAGTTATAGCCCTTTAGAAGTTTGAGTACCGCCCTGTCTCAATAATAATATTATGTGTTCGTGTTTGGCGACAACGGATATAATCCGCCGTATCGGTTCATCGCATCGGAAACAAAAAAGCGAAAGAATTTGGAACGATGTTTTTACAATTATTTCATTCATTTGTATACAGTCAGTGTCAGTGAATAGTGGTATCTGTTGCGTGGCTCAAACGAAATAAAAAATGGCACATGTTTATGCGGATCGGTTTCCCAATCGAGTGCAACCAACCCCTCGTGCCTTTGTTAATGTAGTACAACGGGCTCGTGAATCAGGTGACTTATGACCTCACAGGGGACCTCACGATCAAATACAGGTCCGCACTGAAATACTTGTCGGGAGGATACTTTATAAAACAAGGTAAACATTTTTTTTTATTTTTACACACATATTTTGGTCTATCTTCCTTCTACAATCATTATCTGAAAATTAATGACTCAACTTCAAAGTATGTTGAGAATTGTTTATGTTTACTTTTATTTTGTGATGGTTTACATCGATTATATTTTTCAAATTGTTAAAATACAGGGTGTAAACGTTATGATAGTCATTATTTAAATGGATGATAGAGGGTTGTTACCTGGATGTCAAACAGAAACAGACCGTCTTCGTAGGGCGTTTTGGCGGGTCCTCTGATCATCACGGATAACAGATCGATCCTGTTCCCGTACGATCTCACCCAAACGCCGGGAGGTAGAGATTCCTTCAGCAGCTTGTACTCCTTTTGGACAGTTTTTAGGAATTTTTGCAGATCCGTCGGTTCGAATTTGCTTGTGTAGTAGTGGTGCGACAGCTATAAAATGTGCCATTAAAATCACCGTAAGTAAATAAGTGCTAGGCGTCCATCGGAATACGAGAAAGTGCAGTAAAGTAACCTCAAAATATTCCTCGGAATCTTGTAAAGCAAGGCTTACGCTTTAATTGGCGAACACAAAAAATCATAATGAGCCGTATTCGTGAAACAAAGGATATCCTTGTACTTGCAAATTTTATAATAATTTGAAGTAAATGCTTTTGCTTTTTGAGTATAAGTATATCCTTCAAAGCAGTGACATAAGTAAAATCATATTCATAATCTTCACCTTATACTTGGCATAGGAAGCAGATTCTTCAAAAATTCTGAGTGTGAGTGTAGGATTACAGTCACCTGCCATAGCTTTCAGCAACTTTCTTTCCCAATCTAACAATTTAATCGCTTTATTACCAGTTTTTTTTAGATCTGTTTTTTTCTTCAATCTTGACTGAATTTTTTTAATAATCCTTTAGTATCTAATGGTTTACCGAATGTTGATTCGTATTTTTTCAACATCTTCTTCAAGGCATCGTCCTTTCTCATTTTTATTTTCGGAACTTGTGACTTTTGCAAAACAATGGGAGCAATGGCAATTTCATCTGCGATGAACTGCAGATCGTTGCCATTATTTTCTACAGTTTCCTCATCATTTGAGGATGACATGCTTATTAATTTGATAAAAACCTGTATCCAGTAAAAATACGGAACGGTCTGTGTAAGCTCTGGAGTACAACTGTCAGTGATGCTGAGTGAACGAACTCCCACGTCAACTACAAGCTGGAACAAGTCAGGACATGTCGCTCAAGATACAAATACCAGTCAACCTTTTACTTCTTCTTGGAGGATATCCTCGCGAGTATAAGGTAATCATTATGAATATAAAAACAAGGATATGCTTATACTTCTACCTTTTTCTCCGAAGCAAGACCTTATGCTTCCGGGGATATGCTTCTCTTTTATGAATACGGCTCAATTTTTACCGAGTGTTTAAGCAATTATTATACCGATTTTTAAGGCTTTCCGTACATTCGCTTGTAACTTTAAAGCGGCCAGCGATACAGAAAATTCAATAAAAACCTTTTTTTGTTCAGAATGACCCAAAAAACGGGCAAAAAATTGTAACTCAATTAAAAAAGTTGTTGAAATAGAATTGATCTGGGGTATTTTCTTCAAATGAATAAACCATTGTTCAATATTTATCACAACTAGGTAGTTAACTTAACAATTTGAAATGGAACACAAAGTGACATACGATGACACTGACTGATGCTAAATGTTCTTACTGGTATCCATGATTTTACATTCCATTACCAACTCAAAAAGCTTCACAACGACTGAAGATAGGTATAAACTTCATTAAACAAAAGTTACCAAAAACTTCATGGAAAATATAAAAATTTAAAAAATGGGGGTTCCATTATCATTAAGAATGATGAAGAATTGGAAAAGAATCAGAAATAACATACTAAAGCTTAAAATGTGTCTGTTTAACATCATCAATTTTCCAAATTCTTCAGCCTTTATTTGTAGCATAGGTATACTTTATCTGAAGTCACTTGAAATAGCATAAAAACCTTTGGTCGGCGCGTCCTTTGTAATTTCATGACATATCATAGGCGTGCGGTCATTTATTTAGAACGATAATAATAATGTTTTTATATCACAATAAATGGATTTTACTATCTTCTTATTTTTTTGATTTGGGATAAAAAATACTTATATTGGGAGTTTAATTTATGTTGACTGAAAGTTAAGAAATGGAAAAATTACAGAATTCCAACGTTTGACATAGGCAAATATTTACATAGCAGGTAGGTATATAAAAAGGTATATAAAGACTTACATTATAGGTATTTATATATCATCCTCGCCTTCGCAGCTGTCGCTAGAGTCATTTTGTAGAGGAATTACAACGGGATTTACAGGAGGCAAAACACAATATTCATTTTCTTTTTCAATAATATGCCTAGAACACTGCTTCCATAGGTCTGTGGCAGCAATATGAGATACTGCATCTTTTATTGTGGCCAATAGCGATTCACTTAATTGAGGGGTCTGATTATGTTTTCTTACTTTTTTTTTAAAGCAGCCCAGACCAACTCAATCGGGTTAAAAATGCAGTAATAGGGAGGTAGACGTAATACTTCATGGCCATTTTGCTGAAGCAGATTGTCAACAACATACTCTTTTTCAAATTTTTGTCTTTTAATAAGATCCAATAATATGGCTTTGGTTGATTTTTGTGGTATTTCCATTCCCTTATCCTTCATAAAATCAATAATGTTTTGTTTTTTTGTGCCTGTATTCGGAATTTTGTTTTTCTGTCGGGAATGGTATGGCGCATTGTCCATAATAATCACTAAATTTGGGGAAATGTTTGGTATTAACTGCTGCTCTATCCACTTTTCAAATAAGTCGGAGGTCATGTCCTCATGATAGTCGGCACATGATTCTTTGATATTTTTGGCAGATAACAGCAAGGCATTAGGTATAAATCCATTTTCACTGCCAGCATGGAGAATAATGATTCGTTTTCCACGGTTGCATGGTGCATTTAAAATGCACTTGTTGCTGTCGTCAACCCAGCCGTACTGCACAACATCATGGGTATCATACCACGTTTCATCCAGGTAAATCAGATTTCTTTTCTGCTCTCTATAGATTTTAACTTTGTGCAAAAATTCTTGGCGCAATTCAACGATTCGAGACGACTCCATAATCACCATTCTTTTATCTAATTTTTTGTATTGAAAACCACACAGTTTTACAATACAGTGCAGTGAGTCTAAGCATTTGTAATTATAAAAATCTTCAGGATAATCTTTTAATTTATCCCGTATCATTTCCAACGTGGGCACCAAATTTTCTTTATAAAATCCGTATATTATACGACGAATATCTTCCTGAAAACCCACGTCTATTCTTTTTAATTTTTGCCCTATGCGCTTTCTGTGGAAGGAATGGTTGACTACATCTCCCCTTTTTATAACCCGATAAATGGTAGACCGACTCATTTTTGTCAGGATACAAATTCTGTTTAAAATTTGATTTTGCGAGGAACCTGGATTTTCGTTTTTCAGACAATAATATATATTTAGGATTACTCTTTGGGTCTGTTCCTCTAAATCTTTATGAAAGAATTCTGCCTGCACAGGTTCATCAACCATCTCCTCGTGGCTTGGAGCATTTTCCCAAGGTCTCCAAAGAGCCATATTTAGGACACACAAGAACAATCAACACAACAATTAAATCTACAAGTAAACTGAGTATTCAAAAGTCAAAAACACACAAACTAATAAAATCTATGAAAAAACACGGACACACTAAAGAAAATACGTTTATTCACCGTTACACGGCACTGGCTAAACTGTTTCAATTTTCAGTAGCCACCTGCACTTGTTCGGAGCTCTGAAATACACGCTTTCTCATTGGCTATGTCCACGCATAGGCGTGCTTTACTCCACGTGGACCGGTGAAACTGCCTTTGATCTTATACGGGGGATATTTGCTGCGAAATTTGGCTTTTTTTGCAGCAACAGAGCGTGTTAAATATAGATATATAAAACGCACCCGGTATTTCACAGTGTTTCAAGTGACTTCAGATAAAGTATACACTTATTGGAAAATTATTAGCACGCTTCTATTGAAACCATTTAAACATCGACTTGGGGGTGTAGCGATAGCCGCATTTTTTTCTATTGACTATTTGATTTCCAGTCATTTTTAATTTTGTCACGGTTTTTCCAAATATTTGACATTGATTTTTTTACAGCCATACGGGCATATATATTTGCTCGAGATGAACCCTGCTCAAGGTCACTAATTATTGTGAACTTTTCGTGTAAAGTGAATGCACGTTTCGCACTTTTCGACATGTTTATAACACTGGCGGTCAAGTTTGAATGAACCAAAATAGCTCGCATATAATGGATTAGGCGAGGGTCTATTTTAAGCGAGACTATAATATCCGAGGATCTTACGTGCAATTATTTATAGAACCTCAAATTGTGTCCATTATATACGGGTTTCCATTATAAGCAAGTTCATCATAAGTGGATTTCACTGTAATACAGATTACAAATAAATTCACTTGTAATAATACTTTTTATGAAATAGGGTCCGGAAATCCTAAAACTTTCACTTATAGGGATTTCTGTCAAACGCATATAAAAATAAAAACAATCAAATGATATTTGTTTTCTGAAAATTATTTTTCAAATGTCAAACATTTTTTTTGGCGCCATAAATCCAAGTTTTGACGCCGATTCATTACTGTAGATGAAACTTGGATACACAAAATACAGTCAGAGAAGTATGTAGAGTTACAAGTAGACTACGTTGGAAAATAAAAAAAAAATGTCTTGTATTTTTGTTAGGTCGGAAACTTTTCAGACCACTGAACGGAACTTACGGGCGCTTCTTCAATGATGGTGTACGCTTCGTTAGCGCCTGCTTGATCGAACGTGAGCTTTGGCGGATTGAACGTAGAGAAGGAATCTTCTGGAGTCGTTGGGCAGCTTGGCAAAGGGGTGGATGTGAGCGGCACCTCATCGTTTTCCGAAGCCTGAAACCGAATAACCGAACTGACGGTAACACTGCAAGCATCAAAAGTTACATAACCTACCTTAGTAAGCACTGAAAATGCTTGGCTGCCGCCGATCCGGCTGATTATTTCTGCATAGGCGAGGTCCATTCGAACCTTGAGCATCGAAAGTAGCTCCAAACAAAGGTTGTCCTGCACGTCGTAGTTCACCTCGGCAGCTTCCGGCGTTAGGGGAGTTGTTGGAGCTAGAATACGTGTTTTTTTTATACTTCAACTACCACGAAGGCCTAAGCATGGGAAAGGGTGGACACATTCTGGCTCCGCCTACGAGATACGCCGGGTGGTACCTCCGCGTTCGACAGTCAGAGACCGTCTACCACCTACGGACAATCACAACATCCATAGCCAAGAGAAAAATTTCTCCTGGGACGGGACTCGAACCCGCACAGCGCACGGCGACTGATCAGGAGACCGAAGAGTCTACTGCGGCCACCGCTGCTGCCTAAGGTATCAAAACTTCTTGCTGTTAAGAGCCACATTCATAGACGTTCCTTGATGCATAAATCGACAGCTCCTTGATAATAAAAGGTCTTTCCCTGACACCAAATATGCAACAATCTACCGCATATAGCTTGCAAAAACCTACAATTTTCCTCGCCTCCAAACAATGAAAAATTAGCAGGAATCTCTGTCCCAGCCATTTTGTTTCCGCTGCCTCTGATTCAATTTTCAAAATCTACGACTACCTAAACGATGCAAGAATTTGCGATAATATTCAAACTCCGATTCACAAGTTTCCTGCTGCTTGAAGATATCTGCAGTACAGAAGTCAGTGTTTCTCATTTATGTCGCTTTGTAAGTCCGTGTCTTTTGTATATCAATGCGTCATAGGTACTGAGTCAATCTACTTGTTAGTTGTTGAATAGAACAAAAAAAAAATAGAGACAAATGAAAAGGTCATCAAACACAGCGGTGTCGGATTAAAAAAGTATCAAACAAAAAACTCTTCCAAGGCGTAGAAACGTTTGTCTAGCAAAAAATGTTTAAACTTACTAGTAGACTCCTCACCGCTCCCTTTCTTTTCTATTTGAGCGTTGATCTTATTTTCTAGCCGGATCATCTTCGCGATATTTTCCTTTTCTGCAACCTGTAAAACAAACCATATAAATTATAACAATCCAATGTTCGGTTCTATTCAATCCTTTACCTTTATTTTGGGTACCATCGGACAGAGATTATCGCTGGAGAACAATCTTCCTCTCAGTTCGACGCCTAACAACTTTGCCTTTTCCTTGGCTTGCGTCAGCAACGCCTGAAAATGCTTGCTTTTCAAACTGAAGAAAGAAGTGCCCAAAAGTTTGTCCAAGTAGCTGGAATTTTCATATACCACAAGGAGCTCTTTCAGATACTGAAAAAAAAAAAATATTTATCAAAAAATAAAGCATTTCTGAGCGTAAAAAACGACAACATACCGTCAGATTTTCCGTGATTGTATGCCGCTTGAAGGCCTCTTTCAAATAAATAATTTTGTTCCTGACAAAATCCAGCCTCGCCGCCATATTCTGCAAAACCGTCTCATCGGAAAGATCGCCTGCATATGATTCTGCAAATAATATTCAATTAAAACAAGAAAACTCATAACATTTCGTGGCTGAAACGCATATACAGGGCCAAACACGTGACGTCATAAAAAAAAATTAGATTCCCCACATCGAGAGGAACCCAAATCACCCCCATATATATGGTCCGATTTTGTTTAGTTTAGGAGTTATGATTTTTTTTCGGATTTTTCGAGAATTTTTGAGTTCTGTGTTTATTTTTACCATAACTTCGTTAATAATTGTGATAAATACCTGCTTTTTTCACGATTATGTAGCTAAGACCTAAGGCTTAACTATCATATAATCATTCAAGTCATGTAACTAATACTACTTTTTAATTTTTCAGGCTCTGGTTAGGCCCACCAACAGAGGACACGTCATCACCACCGACCAGCCACGTCATCTACGGCACAGGACACGTCAGCCGTTCTGGTATAAATAACCCCGAAAGGCTAAGTCACCTGCAGACGAAATAAGAGGCCATATCAGCCGAAACCTCGTGCTCTAAAAAATTGGATATTCCGGGACTTTGCTTTGCATACTGATTTAGACTTTGTTTGCTAAGAAGTTTGTGATGCATTATACGTTGCGTGAATATGCAGAAATGCATTATTATTATGGCGTTGCTCAAGGCAACGGCGCTTTAGCAGCTCAGCTGTACCGGGAACAACTTATACGCCGAGGCGGACCACAACCTGAGCATTACCCAGACCACCGTGTTTTTATTAACACACATAACACTTTCATGGCAGGCCGCATTCCAGGACGAGGAAGCAATGAAGGATATCCTACAGCTGATCCGGATCGCAGAGAAGTAGTACTTGAAGAAATTAGCCGGAATCCCTCAACGAGTACGAGATCTATGGCACAAAACCTTAGAATACCACGAACATCGATACAAAATATTCTTCATGAAGAAGGTTATCATGCCTATCATGTTCAAAGAGTTCAAGCGTTGATGCCTTCAGATTACCAGTTAAAAGTGGATTTCTGCGAGACAATGCTGCGAAGACAACGAGAGGATCCCGATTTTTTTGATAAAATTTTATGGACTGACGAGTCACGTTTTGAAAGAACAGGGATATTCAATATCCATAATTTACATAGTGGGGCTGTTGAAAACCCCCACCAGTCAAGGCCGTCGACATTTCAACACCGTTTTAGTGTGAACATGTGGTCAGGAATATTCAATATGGAATTTATCGGTCCATTTGAACTGCCGTCAAGGTTGGATTCGGTAGCCTACAAAAGCTTCCTTGAAAATAGCCTACCATTATTGCTGGAAGATTCAAGCCTGGAAGCCAGACGGAACATGGTGTTCCAGAATGATGGTGCACCATGCCACAACGCAACGATCGTGCGAAACTACTTAAACGAAAGGTTCCCAGACAGATGGATCGGACGAAACGGACCGATACGATGGCCTCCACGCTCCCCTGACCTCAACCCCATTGTTTTTTTTGTTTGAGGATATTTTAAAGATATAACATTCGCCCAAGAATGTGCAAATGAAAATTCATTGAGGAACAAAATTCAAGAAGCGACACATGTGTTGAAAAACAACACACAAGCATTTAGAGATTTAAAACAAAATTTCATACGTAGGTGTACACTGTGCATTTCTGTTAGAGGCAGACATTTTGAAAACCTCTTGTAAATAACATAAATGAATAATAATCTGCTGTTCAGTAAAAATCAAACGTGTTTTTGTGGTTTTTGCAAATTTTTTTTCCGAAACTAACAATTTCTATTGAGCAGAGGGTTATCCAATTTTGGGTTCGGTTCTATTTGAGCCACAATTACGGTAGCATGTAGTAAAGCTAGGTTGATGAAATTTTTACGGTAAATAGCTGATACCGTAAGGAAGTTTTTAAGATACTTACGAATAGTAAGAACATGTTTTTTCAATTTTTTATAAACGTTCAAAGTTGTTGCACTTTTTTACTTTTTTGTTATGTTCGAAGATTTTGAAAAAAATTAAAAAGTAGTATTAGTTACATGACTTGAATGATTATATGATAGTTAAGCCTTAGGTCTTAGCTACATAATCGTGAAAAAAGCAGGCATTTATCACAATTATTAACGAAGTTATGGTAAAAATAAACACAGAACTCAAAAATTCTCGAAAAATCCGAAAAAAAATCATAACTCTAAACAAAATCGGACCATATAATGGGGATGATTTGGGTTCCTCTCGATGTGGGGAATCTAATTTTTTTTTATGACGTCACGTGTTTGGCCACCCTGTATAGGGTGTTCCATCCGTTCCTTCTTTTTTTAATCTAAAGAAAAAAACACTTTTTATGAGTGAGAAACCGAACTCTTTATTGAAAATTGTAGGACGGTCTTTGCCATTTATGTACGGTATACAGGGTGTAACCGTTATGGTAGTCATAATTGAAATGCTGCTATTATTCATTTTTTTTATATTGTCGGTTTTCTGAAAAGGAAATCCCCAATTTTCAGGACAGCCAGTATGTAAAAGAATATTTTTTCTTTCATCTAACTTATCGTATAATTAATTTCACCCTGTTGCGAACAAAATATTATCCAAAAGCAATACGCCGTTTGCTAAATAAGTAAAATGAGCTCCAAAGATACGAGACACACGAAGAAAAAAACAATTAAAATTCTAGTTTTATCAATAATTATGATGCATACCAATGCTTTCTGTTTCCCATGACACCGCAGCTGCTTCGTCTTCGGAAGAATCATCATCGGAAGCATCGTAATCTGCGCTATCCGGAATCAGCTCGATATCGGTCGGCCAACAATTTTCTAAAGTTCCATTCAACCACTGAACTTTCACGTACCCCTGAAAGATCGCGCAACCATCAGGTATGTTCAGTTGCTGAATTAAAAAATCCTACCTCGACACAGCTATCAATAACTTTGCCCATTTTTTCATCTTGCGCCGGCTTAGCCTTAACTATGCTACCAGGACGGAAAACGAATTTAGAGTGCTTCCTCAATTCGTACACACTATGTTCTTTTATCACAGATTTTGTCGGCTTTTTCTGATTCTCCTCGTACGCAAACCATTTCACCTGCAACGATTTCATAATCAAAATCAACTTTGCACGATGATGCTACAATTACATTCTTTCAAAAAACTACGTATACTGAGCGACACATAAAATGCAACACCCAGAAACATTTATTGAATTTTGATAAAAACTTGTAAACATATTTGCTATCATAAATTGTTGATGGTATTCAGAGCCCCACTTTTTTTTGTAAAGGTTCCGAACTATGAACATGTTTACTTGATATTCAGTGATTTTTCTGTGTTGGTTCCGTTTGTTTCATTGCATTATCATGCAGACGCACTAATTTCACTCAAGTTTGCGAGTTTGAGAGATGAGTCCAGATTTTGTTTGGGCACGCTTGATGGGCGCGCAAGAGTAAGGATTCTTTGACACGAGGTCGGTTTCGTCCCGTATTCTGACCGTTCATTTGAGGCTAGCTATTGGAATGATCACAGTGTGAAAGGAGAAAGTGCTTGTCATGTACTTGCTATGGAGACGGCGAATAAGAAGAAGAAATAGGCTGTTTAGGATTCAAAATCGACATACTTCTGGGTCCTTCAAAGATGTATTAAATTCACTGCGGGACAGTGAGGAAAGACGAAACGCAACTCTTGATCAAAAACAACACGGTAGTACACGTACATCTTTGAAAATTCCAATAAAAACAATACAAATTTCGAGTTTAAATTTTAATCTCCTTCTATTTATCAGTTGACCTAAAACTTGCAAAAGTATGCTCAAAATAGTAGCGCTTTTAGTCAGTGTAAGATCAACGTTTCTAATGATAAATTCTTTAAATCAAATAAAAAATTACTTGTGCTTGAACCATAGTTTTGAGACAACCCAAATTCAAAGTAGCAAAAAATGAACACATTGTAAAGTAATTATTACTTACACAAGCGGTCCTCTCTAAATAATTGACACTTTGTATCACCCCATGCACCGTTTTATCCCCTTTGAAATCATCATAGTCCACCCATTCTCCGGGAAAAAACTCGTGATCATCCAGGGAGATCGAATAGTACAACTGAATGGAAGGAATGTCTTTTTCTTCAGTACCATCTTGCCAGACCACTGTAATTTTCGATTCAACGCAGATGATCTGAAAAAAGAAATGATTATAATTTTTCCGTCATTAAGGTTTTCCTATTGAAATATTCTTACCTCAACGGGCAAAGTATGCCCAGGGACCAGCTCTCTGGGCCTTGGGGGATAATGCCTTTTTCTCGACTTTGACACTGACGTATTTCTCGAGGACGAGCTACCGTTATCATCCGACTCTTCTCCTTCTTCGGTCCACCATTCTTCATCATCCTCCACTGTGTTGCTGTCTCGGGCGCTTTCTATCGGATACACGAACGACGAACTTCGGATTTTAGGCACTCGCGGCATGCTTCATATGAAAAGATAAAATGTATCGTTAGAAAAAAAACTCAAACGGGCCACGCTGTATGCAGGCTTACATCTTCGAACCACAGCTAACGACATGACGATTTTTTGTAGCCTCGGGTCTGTACGAGATCGACAGTTTCTTTATCCAGTCTTTCTTTTTGAGCAGCACATCGCTGGCCGATAATTTCAACAATTTCCTCTCGGCTAGTTCTAAACAGGAATCGCTTGGATGTTCCAAAACTTTCAACCTAAAATAGCGTTTTGGCCAATGAAATCGGGCGATCGAACAGTGTCTAATGTACGTTACTTTTTTATGTCGTCTTGCGATATTTCCGAGTACGCTACTGAGGAATTTGAATACCAAGAAACTTCTAGCAAAACGTCCTCGACACTTTGAACTGTGAATCTCTGCCTGGTGTGGATATTCCGTTTCATGGTTTTGGATTTTTTAATCCAGTGAGGTTGCTCAAAGTTAGCAGGTACACAGATCTGATAAAAAAATGGACAAGTAGAATATTGAGACACTGGTGTAACGTAGTGGTCATCCATACTTTTCACAAAGTCTCAGGGATTTGCTTTAAAAAATCAATTGTACAGGGTGGCCATATACGAGGGATGCCTTTTAAGTTTTGCATATGGAAATAAAATAACACGGTAGGTAGTTTTAAATGAATTTATTGTTTTTCGAAGTATTCTCCGCGAAGATTAATACACATCTGCATGCGCTCGAACCAATTTTCGAAGCATTTTTGAATGCGTCAACTGCTTCTTCTGGTGACTGGAAACTTTGACCACGCAGTCTGTTTTTAATTTTCGGGAAAGTAAAGAAATCGTTAGGACTTAGATCGGGACTATATGGAGGATGATCCAATAATTCCACATTTTCTTCCGTTAAATACTGCCTTGTTTGTTGGGCTGTGTGAGGATGATTGTTCTTTCAGGGTTGATTTTTCGAAGCTACATGTTTCTTAAAAGACATATCTCGTACAAATGCGAATAAACGGGCTAGTTGAAAAGTTGATGTGGCCGCTAGAGGGTATTTTCGACATTTCAACGGAACTGGTTAATTTTCTCAAAAAAATTAAATGCATTGGTTTGATTTTTTGTATGAAAAAGTGGCTAAATGATGTCTAAACAAGCTCGCAAGAACCGCATCTCATTCTAAAATTTGGGCCAAAGAAAGTTTTATACTAATTTTTCTGGAATACCAAGATTAAAATAACCCTTTTTTTATTTTAGTAATAACTGTTTTTACCATAAGACGGATGGATTTTCAATTGGCCTTCACCCTGTACATCAAAGTTTGGAAGGGAAAATACGACACCATTCAAATAAAGATAAGGGATGAATAAAGTTATGATTTATATCTCACCAATTCTTGGCCTGGATAATAAGCATATAATGAGATTCTGTTACGTTTCGATAACCAATAATCGTTCAGCTCATGGTTGATGCTGGTAAGAACGTGAACCAAAGAACCACATTCTGATTGCATACAGACCATTTGCTCCACAGCCTGTGAAAAATTTTCTATAGTTACTTTTCCAATCACAATAAAAAAATAAGAACTAGACATAACAATGACCAGTTGAAATTTATAAGATAATAACTCTTTTACAGTATATTTCTTTATTTTGTGCTTAAATCCATTATAATTTGTGATATTTCTTAGATATTTTGGAAAATTGTTGAATAAGTGAAGGCAGGACATAAAAAAGAAACATTTTTTAAATGACTGTCTTTCTCTCTCTCTTTGGCGATGTTCCGACTTTTTAAAAAATTGTGCAGTCTTAGCCAATATTCCCACAGTTTCACATCATTAACTTTTATTTAGTCAATTTTCACACTTCCTTAAGCAATGTTCACAGTCTTTCCATCAACTCCCATGCACTCTCATGCACTTTTCACACACCTATACAATCTTTACAGCTGTCAGCAATTTTCACACTTCCTTAAGAAACGTTCACAGTCTTTTCATCAACTTCCACACTCTCTTATGCACTTTTCACACACCTAGACAATGATCACAGCTGTGAGCAATTTTCTCACTTCCTTAAGAAACGTTCACAGTCTTTTTATCAGAATCCACACTCTATTCTGCGATTTTCACACACCTAGACAATGATCACAGCTGCGAGCAATTTTCACACTTCCTTAAGAAACATTCGCAGTCTTTTCATCAACTTCCACACTCTCTAATGCACTTTTCACACACCTAGACAATGATCACAGCTGTGAGAAATTTTCACACTTCCTTAAGAAACGTTCACAGTCTTTTCATCAACTTCCACACTCTCTTATGCACTTTTCACACACCTAGACAATGATCACAGCTGTGAGCAATTTTCTCACTTCCTTAAGAAACGTTCACAGTCTTTTTATCAGAATCCACACTCTATTCTGCGATTTTCACACACCTAGACAATGATCACAGCTGCGAGCAAGTTTCACACTTCCTTAAGAAACATTCGCAGTCTTTTCATCATCTTCCACACTGTATTATGCGATTTTCACACATCTAGACAATGATCACAGCTGCGAGCAATTTTCACACTTCCTTAAGAAACATTCGCAGTCTTTTCATCAACTTCCACACTCTCTAATGCACTTTTCACACACCTAGACAATGATCACAGCTGTGAGCAATTTTCACACTTCCTTAAGAAACATTCGCAGTCTTTTCATCAACTTCCACACTCTATTATGCGATTTTCACACTTCCTAAAGAAACTTTCATACATCCTCAGTTGATTTTCATACTCACTACCATCAGATTTAGTTTCCTATAATCTACTGAGTTATTCCAAATACAAACAAGCTAAGTGTATGAATTGTCACGAAAAGTATTGCAAATGAGATTGACCTACCTCAATCCGTCCGAATTTGTTTCCTAAACAGACAGCATCATCAATTTCGAAAGGTCTGACACTTTGCAGCCTTTCGCTGGACACGTGTTCGATGATTTTATCAGTGCCTACGATCTGTACGGTGGCAATCTGTTTGACTTCCTTGCAATATCCTCTCTGAGTCTCCTTGCCTTTTTCCAATCGCCTGACGATGTCCCCAGGCACGATGCTTCTGTTCATCAGTCTCACCTTTTGCTGTCTCCAAACCTGCTCTCTAGAGCTGTTGTTCCACATGACTCTGATCTGGCCCTTTTGCAACGCGTTATTTTCGTCGACATCTGAAGAGGCCTCGTAACTATCCACGACTACACCGAAAACCATTCGCTTGTGCTTATTGAATCTGTACACTACATCGTTTGAATAGAACTCTTTCACTTTTTCTGAATTGTTCATGTTGCTGTAAAATGAAACTGCCGAGTGCCCAGAATTTTCCTGTAAATGAACGAGTTTGTGACGGAAATTCAAATGCAGTTTTTTTTAGCGGAATATGGCAAATTTGGCAAATGAACGGTGATTTTGTGACATACCGTGACGCATGCCACGAATATCTACGTTTGTAAAAAATACACAGACTTTTTATAGATACCGTTTGTTTACGCTGCTTCCACAGTTATCACAAGCTTGTTATTCACTTTACTTGGCTTCAAGATTAGGGTAACAGAAAAATATACAAATAAACTGTTTGCGGAAACTCGCATCAAATGTCATGAATTTGTGAATCACTCATAATCATATGGTATAAATGTGAGAACGTGCATCTTATGCAACACGCTTTACGCATTCTTATAGGACTTGCATTACTGGTTGCATAAACGTGAACACCGTATTCGGTAGAAACTAGGAAGAAGGAAAACGGTACGAGTAAAGATAACATGGACACGCAAGACAACTATTGAAATGTATTCTAATAGAGTATCCGTAGCTAAATTTTGCTCGAAGTCGTTGCACAACAACGCAAATAAAGATCGCCGCTATGACATTGTAAATGACTCCGTGGTTACCCCGGGATAGACATTCGTTGTGAAAGTTGACCTTGTCATTCTTGTCGCCTGGATTGCGGCGTTGCCAGCTCATCGGACAATTTTGCTACTTCTGCTATTTTGCTATCACCAATTCCTTGGACTAAGCTAGTTTTTTGTTCGAGACCTTGCTAGTAGTTTTGAGAGTTTTCAGAAATGAACGTAAGTACATAAGAATACTTACAAGAACGTTATATTAGTGCACGTTTCTTTAAATTTCTTTTTATAATAATGTATTACAGGGTGGCCGCAATAAAATAAAAAGTATCAAAAACTCATTTGTTTATAACTAAAAAAAAAAACAAATGTAACGTGATACATCCTTGAAGTCGTAAAAAAGATGCTATTAAATACAGTGTACTAGTTTTTTAAAAACACCATTATGTACTGCCTGAATAGTGGCGTTAGTTTTTTGACATTTCTTAAAATAAAGTCTGACAAAAATAAAAATGATTAGTTTGGTAATTCTCTAGCTTAACTACAACAGCCGTTTTTGATGAAAAATGATTTTAGACCCGAAAGGCATGGGCCTGGAAATGAACGCAAACATAAAAGTTCTCAAATATTCGATTGTACAAATGAAGCCAGAATTGTGGAACGACGTGATTTTTCTTCACCTGATACAATTAATCTTAGCAGAGACGGTTGAGGTTTTCCTCACCCAAGTGTTAATGCAGTCACTAAAAAACTATATTCCCCTAATAAATAGTAGAGAAAATGAAAATCGTACTTCTGTTAATGATCATGTAATTTTAGATCAAATAGTTAATAAATATATTTAATTTAAAACATTGTCTGTTTCAATTGTTCCCTTATTCAAAAAGTATTTTATCCCATAAAACTGGGCATTTACAAAATTGTTTAGAGACGTTAAATTTAAACAACAGCTTTTTTTAGTGTTTTGGCAAACATTGCTACGGCTCAAATTATATATATCTCTATTGGTATCGCTCAATATTTTATTCAAAACTTCTTTTTTTAAAACATTCCAGCAAAATAGCAGGGGAACCAAAATTGTCCGATGAGCTGGCAACGCCGCAATCTAGATGACAAGAATGAGAAGGTCAACTGCCAAAACGTATGTCTATCCCGGGGTAGCGATGAAACTATTTAGATGGTACGTCGATCCGGCAGTTTTTATTTCAAATCGTTACAAATTCAAATTCTATCCGGACATTTGAGATCTTTACATTAGTCAAAATTAGATTAGCACAGTATCTACCTCTTGGTATGTTTTATTCCGACTTTGCGCACAATGTTCTTCGATCTTTGAATAGCATAGTTTTTTGTTATTAAATTATCTGATACGGTCTCGAGGCCAACTGCGGTTTTGAAAAAATGTTCGCTCAAGCGAACCTTAATGTAGACAGTCCGAGTTGGGTATTTTTTGAGTGACATATATGGTGGAGACTGAAGAATAAATTAAAAATCCTAGAACAAGCACTTTTTCGTCCTTTCCTTATTGAAACGATTCAGACCTGTGACGCGAGAATGCGGTAATCCTTCTGATGTCGAACGCGTTTAATTCCTACTACTACCGGATCTCTGATTACCAGGAATTTAATTGTGTTACTTCTTTATATAAATACTAACATTGGCGACGACTACTGAACCAGACAACTAAATGGCAATTTACCGTACAGTACACTTCTGTACTCGGCAACATTCTTATCTCGTACAAAACCAATTGATGAATTGAGTCCATTTCAAGAGTCTTTTATGCTACATGTATACAGCTATGTTGTATTGCTAGAGATACAAAATCTTTTGGGCTGGAATTGCTATGAAAATTGACGTCATTGTCTTATATAATATATGCGATATTGTATACAGGGCTTTTCAGAAAGGTCGCTGGACCCTAAATATTGTTTTGGACAGGATAGTTAGCAAGCTGAAATTTGGAATGACAAAATTGACGTATGGGGGGAATGGGTGATCATGTGATATCTGATTTTGAAGCCCCGTATGAGAATTTTATAATAATCTCATACATGAAATTGATTCAAGTCAAGCATACCAACACATAGTAAGCCCCTATGATACCGACCTCAGGGAAGAAATTACCAAAACATGACTTTAATACTGAAAACCTAACCAATAAAAAAATGACGGAATATTAACCCGACGCTTTGACGTCTACTGAGGTGAACAGCTGATCAGCAAGTGACATTTTTATGTTAGTCTGCAACGTTGGTAACGATGAATCGGGTATAAATTTAGTAAAACTTGTTTGTGGCGTTTTGCTTTTTTATGCAAATTACTTTTCTAAGTAAAAGAGCTGTTAGCAAGTACAAAATGAATATGTAGCGTACCAAAAACCAAAGCAAAATTCGGCTCTATCTACTCGTCGTTAACGTATCCGCCAGAATTATGTGCGTCCTGTGCTCATATGGGGAATTTTTAACCAATAAAAAGAGGACGGACTACTTATACAGTGTGACTTTGAAGTTGAGTCATTAATTTTCAGATAATGATTGTAGAAGGAAGATAAACCAAAATATGTGTGTAAAAATAAAAAAAAAATAAAAAAAAATGTTACCTTGTTTTATAAAGTATCCTCCCGACAAGTATTTCAGTGCGGACCTGTATTTGATCGTGCGGTCTTGGAGCACCGGCATGCCTCTCCTGTGAGGTCTTAAGTCACCTGATTCACGAGCCCTTTGTACTACATTAACAAAGGCACGAGGGGTTGGTTGCACTCGATTGGGAAACCGATCCGCATAAATCCGTGATGCCGCGTAAATAAGAATCATGTCCACAAGTTCAGCATTTTCGTAAACATGTGCCATTTTTGATTTCGTTTGAGCCACGCAACAGACACCACTATTCACTCACACGTTACCGACTGACACTGACTGTATACAACTGAATAAAATAATTGTAAAAACATCGTTCCAAATTTTTTCGCTTTTTTGTTTCCGACGCGATGAACCGATAATGCGGATTATATCCGTTGTTGCCAAACACGAGCACATAATATTATTATTGAGACAGGGCGGTACTCAAACTTCCAAAGGGCTATAACTTTGTTACTTTAATTTTACCAGAAAAATGGTAAAGGAAAAAAACATTTCTTTTGATCAGATCTACTCATTGTTAAAATAAATGACTCAACTTCGAAGTATATTGATTATGACTGTTGAAATATCAAATCCTAAATTAAGGCCAAAACGCCAAACCAAACTGTAAGGATTATGATTTTAACATCAAATCACAAAACATGAACGCGTCAAATAACGAAGGTTGGTATCTAGGAGAAAGAACCAAAACTCACTAAAATTCCCCAAAAAATTGACGCAAAATTAGAGCAACCTCTAATTTGACTATTTATTGATTGATTTATTATTGTGAAGAAATTAACAGCAATTTTCACGTTTAGACCGTTCAACTTCTTCAGGGTTAAAAAATTGTTCAATTTATTTGAACTTGTACTTACATTGGGCTTATGAATGAGATATCACACCACCCCCATTATATTAAAAAAAAACACGCGATTTCTGTATGTTCACAAAATCATTACTCTAACATATCATGTGGTTGTCAATGGTGAAAATATCAAGATTTTTAATCTTTTTCCCTGATCTGGGGCTCTGGCCATAGCCTCTTCCTGAGAATTTGTGTGGACCATATAATTTCTATATTTCGGTCGATTTTGTGTACAAATTTGAGAGAACGCAGCATAACCCTATGCCTACTTGAAGGCCACAAGTAAATTTAGCAATTTTAATACGATCGATTTCTTCTATGAGGCAACAAATTAAATTCGTTAGTTTGCTTTCATTATTTTTAACGCTCCATAGGAACATGTTCTCTTAGTTGTTTAAATTTCATTTCGGATAATCCCGCATCCTCGACTACAACATTGTACAAAAGTAGCAAATATATTTAAATATCCCCAACCGCTGCACAATTGCGCTGTTGCAATGTGCGTCGGTCGTTGCGCGACGGCTGGCGAGATCCTAACATCGCACAAAATCGAATCGATCGATCGCCGTTTCAACTCAGCCAGCAGCCGTCTCGATCTCTCAGCATGGTATAGCTGGCTGGAGTGTGCAAACGTTTCTGAAACTAAATCGCAACTGACTAATTGGTGCAGTGGTTAAATATTCGGATTATAAACCTACAGTCCCGGGTTAGATCCTAGGAAGCAGAATACTTCTTTTATTTTTTTTATTGTTTTAGGTACTCCAATTTGAAACCGAATAGAGAATCTATACCATGGGCTTGATTCTGATTGAGTTTCGACCGTTGAAATTGATTTCGATTTCGCTTTGTGGCGATATACTTGATTGGCTATGATAATTTTGAGATCTGATTATATTGATCTATATTCAAATGATCGTGGCAGTGTCAAAATTATCATAGCTAATCAAGTATATCGTCACAAGACGCCATGGAAATCAATTTCATCGGTCGAAACTCATTTATAATCAATCCCCATGTTACCATTTGTGGATGGTACCTAACATGCGCTTCCTATCCGTTTTGATTATATCTCCTGTAAATATCTCTGGGATAGATTTTGAGCGTTCCTGGCACCACTTCAGACGTAAAAGCGGCTCACGAAAATATATATCTTGTTCGATACTGCTTGCTAAGACTGGATTTTAAACTGCACAAAGACGTCTTAACTCAAGGTCAGAAACGTCAAAGAGGTCTGACACTGTCAGTTCCTTTTCTTCTGGAACAACTGTTATCGCGAAAGGAGGTCATCAGCATACCTAGGGTTACCTAGATTTG